GTGCGGGAATCGAACTCAGGTGGCCGGGTTCGTGGCGCAGCGTGCTAACCGCTGCGCCACCGCTCCCCGCCCTCAACTCGCTCACCCACCACCACCGCCTCACCCAACCACTTCTCACCCTCACCACTTCACTCTTAACCTCTCTCCACCGCTTCTTGGTTCTTTCGGTAAAGTCACGTAGAAGGGAAGTAATAATTATGTTTTATTTTTATTATTTTATTACTTCCCTTCTACGTGACTTTACCGAAAGAACCAAGAAGATGAATCCCTGCAGTCACGAAAGCTTTAAATCGAAACTCTCTCCACCTCTTCCCTCGCCACCGTTGCGTGGCTATGAGATGTTAACTACCTCGCCTGGTGTACAGGAGGTCGTGGGATCGATCCCGACCCTGACGCCTGCTGCTGTAGATTTGGAGTTTGCGCCTCTCTCTCTCATCATCATCATCAAAGTGGCTAGGAGATGTTAACTACCTCGCCTGGTGTACAGGAGGTCGTGGGTTCATGTTACGGGAATATTTACGCAAGCACAACAACAACTATTGGTCTTCAAACAGCCCGCAGCACCGGCTACCTCGGGCAGTGGCCCTGAATAGAATATGCTTTTCCGCGATTACGTGACATTTTGAAAACCTTAAATTTCGATTTAAAGCTTTCGTGACTGCAGGGATTCATCTTCGTGGTTCTTTCGGTAAAGTCACGTAGAAGGGAAATAATAAAATAATAAAAATAAAACATAATAAAATCAAATTCTCACGACGTTTCGGCCACAACGCAAGCAGCCGTCCTCAGGTGAAGAACAGGTCTTTCGGAAAGACAGCGTCTGAATGAACATCACCAGGCTTGGAAGTCTGTCTTTCCGACAGACCTGTTCTTCACCTGAGGACGGCTGCTTGCGTTGTGGCCGAAACGTCGTGAGAATTATTTTATTTTGTTTTATTTGAAAACATTGTTAAAATTAATACGTCCCAAAATCGCCTCACCAACCCCCCCCCCCTCAGAAAAAAGTTGAAACCCTCTTCTCATATTTTGGGACTGATGTAGAACAAGCTACTGTATTATATAGCGCAATGGGCCTTAGCTGGTAAAATAAAAATAAAAGTTTATGGGTGAAGAATAGTTTAGTTCCTCACCTCCATCATCTCACCCCGACCCCGTAATCCTCTGATATATTCACTGATGCACCCTCTCACCACCCCCTCCATCCTTATCCCCCCAGTCCTTCACCATCACATGGAATTCCTCACCATCACTTCCTCTGCCTCGGCCCTACTACTCACTCACCCTCTAACCCCCTCGCTTCCATTCACTCATTCTCACATCCACCCCCCTCACCCCCATCACCTCCTCACCCTCAACTTCCTCACCCCATGCACCTCCCCAGTCTCACCTCCTCCCTTTCACCTCACCCACTCGTCCTTGCCTCACCATTCTCCAAGCCACCTCCTCCTCGTCACATCTCCACCTCCTCACCCGCTCTACACCCCCCCCACTCACACTCACGGCGCAAACTCTCCCCCTCACCCATAGCCCCCCCCCTCACCCAACCACCCCCCCCCCTCACCCATAGCCCCCCCCCCTCACCCATAGCCCCCCCCCTCACCCAACCACCCCCCCCTCACCCATAGCCCCCCCCTCACCCATAGGCCCCCCCTCACCCAACCACCCCCCCCCTCACCCATAGCCCCCCCCCTCACCCATAGCCCCCCCCCTCACCCAACCACCCCCCCCCTCACCCAACCACCCCCCCCTCACCCATAGCCCCGCCCTCACCCAACCACCCCCCCCCTCACCCATAGCCCCCCCCCCTCACCCATAGCCCCCCCCCTCACCCAACCACCCCCCCCCCTCACCCATAGCCCCCCCCTCACCCATAGCCCCCCCCCTCACCCAACCACCCCCCCCCTCACCCATAGCCCCCCCCCTCACCCATAGCCCCCCCCCCTCAACCAACCACCCCCCCTCACCCATACCCCCCCCTCACCCATAGCCCCCCCACTCACCCAATCACCCCCCCCTCAACCCCCCCCCACCCAACCACCCCCCCTCACCCAACCACCCCCCCTCACCCAACCACCCCCCCTCACCCCATGCCTCACCTCACCCACGAACCCCTTGACCCCCCCTCCCCACTCACCTGCAGGTCTCCTGCGAAGGCCGCCACGAGTGGCGCCGTGTGGAGCGAGAGGCACCGCGCCGAGCAGCGCGCCTCGCGGACCCCGGGGTCCCCCACGCCCTCGGGGTCCGCGGGGTCCCCCCCCACGCCCTCGGGGTCCGCGGGGTCCTCCATCAGCTGCCCGTGACCCCTCGGGGGTCCCTGCGCTGCTCCCGACTTCGCTGCCCACGCCAGTGTCGCCAGCACTGCAAGCAGCGCTGCCCGCATGCTTGGCCGATTGATGGGGCTGCTGCTGCTGATGATGATGTTGCCGATCGTGGTGGTTGATGACGGTGATGTTGCAGAGGCTGCTGACGATGATGTTGCTGCTGCTGCTGATGATATTGATGACTTATGTTGCTGGTGGTAGCAATGCTGCCGATTTTGCTGGTGATGATGTTGTTGCTAATGACGCAGATGCAGCCGCCGCAGAAGCTGCTGTCGATGACAACGCTCGCGATGCTGCTGCTACTGCAGCTGTTGATGCTGCAGAGTCTCGACTCCACGTGCGCGCTCCCAATCTCAGAGAGATTGAGGGGAGGGGGGCTGGGCCGAGACGACGCGTTCCGATTGGCCAAAAGTAAGCTCCGCGGGGAGGATCCCCGTGCTGATTGGCCACAGCGAGGGGTGGGGGCGTGGTGTCGTGTGTGTGGGGGGGGGGGTGAGACCTCGCTGTTGTGATTGGTCGAGATTACGATAAGGGGGCGTGGCTCCAGTCCACACACGCTGTGGGAGGAGCCAGTGTCAGGGGCGGGGCCGTGCTTGCCTCAACCCCGGAAGCCACGAGGTTTGCCGGTGCATCTCTCCTCTCTCTTAATGGGGGCAGTCAGCAGAGGGCAGTGCAGCAAACTGCATTGTTATTCCATTGGAACCTCATTTGCCAGTAAAAATATGATCATTGGTTTTTTATCCTTCTATCTGGCAACAAAACTGACACCTTTTTTACAAGGAGTCATGTTTACATAGACCACAATACCTGCAGTCGTATTGCAAACAAAAAACATAACTCTGATAATGTGCATTGTCTTCTTGGTTTTTTCGGTAAAGTCACGTAGAAGGGAAGTAATAAAATAATAAAAATAAAACATAATAAAATATAATAAAATATTATTATGTTTTCTTTTTATTATTTTATTACTTCCCTTCTACGTGACTTAACCGAAAAACCCAAGAAGATGAATCCCTGCAGTCACGAAAGCTTTAAATCGAAAAATGTGCATTGTCCTTAAAGTTGATTGGTCCACACCCGAGACAGCTTTCCTTAGAGCCGTCATCTGGTCCAATCCATGTGAGACTAGGCTCTAAGGAAAGCTGTCTCGGGTGTGGACCAATCAACTTCAAGGACAGTGCATACATTATCAGAGTTATGTTTTTTGTTTGCATTATGACTGCAGGTATTGTGGTCTATGTAAACATGACTCCTTGTAAAAAAGGTGCCAGTTTTGTTGCCAGATAGAAGGGTAAAAAAACAATTATCATGCATTGTTATTCACGACTGCGCTCTGCCACCCAACGCCGACGCTGCAACGCCCTTTGACCTAAGTGAAATATGGTCAAAATAACTCACGACGATCCACACGGCGTAGGGAGGAGACCCTCACCCGGCAATGCATCGACATCCAGGGCTGTCCTGCAGATGTCCGTGAAAGTAAATGGCAGTCGCTTAAGCAGATATTTATTGTGAGAGTTTGTAAATGTCCCATTTGTGCGGAGACCCGATGCACAATTAGCACATTTTAAAAAACCTCTCCAGTGCGCGACTGTGGTCATCCAGCACAGACCGTCGTACAATATGACGACGCAAATTCCCCGATCCACAAATACGAAAACGACTTCACTGCGACCCACTCCGTTACCGCCTGAATGTGTAATTGTAGTTGTCGCTCTGCATCGACATCGGTCACAGGAAAGACGATGATTGTGAATTGAGGCCACTTGAATGAACAGATCTCCAGGAAAGCCGTTCTCATCAACGGATCTCAATAAAGCGAATGTATATCACTTTCAATCTCTTTAAAAATAAATTGATCTCGATTAACGTGAAATTCAATTATCTCCACCTGAAGAAGGCTGCTTGTGTTGCGATCGAAACGTCGTGGGTTTTTTGCTTTTAATTTTAGTTTTCTATCTACGTGACTTTACCGAAAGAACCAAGAATATGAATTTCTGCAGTCACGAAAGTTGTAAGTCTAAATCTATGAACATAACTTTCTATGGCAGGATGGGTGGAGGAGTTCTGCTCACGGTGTAGATACGTGACCACTTCAAGGGCTTTCAGAAGTAACTCTACGGTGTCCACTTCCGTGGTTGGGCCATTGCTATTCACGTCGGGACATGCAGCAGCACCGCTCTGCAGAGGTCGCAAACGGGTTTTGATTCCTTACCCGTACCCGGCCGCACCAGGTTCACAAACGGGTACCCGTACCCGGCCGTTCCCGTACCCTACCCCCGTACCCGACCGGGTACGGGTATCGGGTACCTGATTGCGACCTCTGGGATGTAGTCATGTTGCAGGCGCGGGTGGGTTGATTCTAGGAACTTGAATTGTGAAAAGAGACAAGACGTTGGGAAATGAGTGACAAACGGTTGCTCACCAGTGACTCACGGTCTACCCGTACCCGGCCGCACCAGGGTCGCAAACGGGTAGCCGTACCCGCACCCGGCCGGGTACGGGTAGCCGGGTATCGGGTAGGGTACGGGTATCGGGTACCCGGTTGCGACCTCTGCCGCTCTGCCAGTTCCGCATGGGCAACGACGACGAGCTTCTGACGACACAATTCCCGACGAGCACAATCGAGATATAACATTGGCAAAACGTGTATTTTGAAGACACATTAACAAACAAAAATGTCGTACGTTTTACTTTTCCAAGCCTCTCTTTATTCGTTAAAATTGTACACAATCACGGCTCGTCCACCAGGCGAAAGACGACTGGATGAGACGCCAACCCCCACCACCCCCACACACAATGCACTGCGTGCTTCGGTACACGTGACAGCACAGCGCGACCCACACACATTCTCTTTGCTCCATCCAACAAAACCTTACAAAATACAAAACCAACGACGAGACTTGTAACGAACCTTCGGCTATAATCGTTTAAAAAATATAATGTATGTGATTTCATAATATACGCTACATCTAAACTACCGCGTTAAAAAAATATTACGATAAGGGGAAAAAAAGAACAACGTTGTGAACACTGATTTTTACTGGTTGGGTTTCCTTAAAAAAATCGATTACGTTAATTTCCCATTTGCTCTAAGTGGCGTTAGCGGTCAAATGTTTAAAAAGCGGCTCACTCCCCCGCTCCCCCCAATCTATAACGAGCGTTGGGCAACACCTATGTGCGTGTCGACAGCCTATGGTGGAAATTCCACATTCGCATGGCAAGGGAGCACGCCAAAATGTATGGCGACCCTCCCTAGCCCACCCCCCACCCCCCGTAGACCTCCCCACACGTGGCAACACTAATTTTATATTCACCTTGGATGGACGATAACGGGCCGACTTGCCATCTCCAAGTTGGGATTTTACACACCTCGTGACATTTTACCATCGCCCCTGCCGACTCGCTATTGCGAGAAATGGAATGTGAAATTTCTAAGATTTTTGGGAAGAAATTGGCAAACGCGCGGAATATTGAGAATATTTCTACAGCAAACTATATGGCACCGGAGGTGAAAATTAGCAAAATCGGATACAATGTTTACGTACCGTGAATACGTTTGTCACGGTTCATAGAGATCCGTTTGTTAAAGCGACCACGATTCTTTACAGGGGATAATCAAGATGTCTGCTCTGGTTAGTTTGCATAATTATCTGTAAAGTCTTCTCTCCTCTAAAGTGTAGGTTTTCTCCCTCGCACAAACACTTCACAAGCGACTAAGCGTCCCAAACGCAGAGCCCTTTCCTGAAAAAAAGAGGCCCAAGACTCAGGCTTTGCTGGATAAGTAAAATTATTGCAATTGATTCTGAGCGGAAGTCACTTGATTTACCAGATTGCTATAGAGTGAATGGACTTAAATATCTCAATGGCAGTGAATGGGCCCTTGAATTAAGAGATCTCTATGCGAGTTAAGGCTATAAGGAGATCAATCACACAGTCTGCAAAGGACCGGTGCGCCAAACGTAACTACTGGCGACAGCATTTGAAAAAACTGATTTTTACTGCCATGTAGAATTTCGTTCGCACCCTAAGTAGCCAACCGTGCTAATCAACTTATTTGTTTGATCCACGTTATCACGGGAACAACGCCAACCTTCGAATGTCAACCGCCGACTCAAGTGAGCGCAATTCACTGGAGTTTGCACATCAAGACGCGGCAACGTGTCCAGCGGGTGACAGTCGTCTCCTCCGAACTAAGCTCTCAAAACAGAGTAGACCCCCGGCCGTAGATGCGACGGTGACATTTCTAACAAAGTCGAACCATCGGATGCCAAGAAAGCCATCATTGGCATTGCACGTGGAAGGACTGCGGCCGATGCAAATCCAGCAGACGCTCTGTTGTGGTTTTTAAAAATTCACCGCATCAAACCAGTTCCCATCCATTGAAAGGCTGTAAACACAGCTCATAATAATAACGGTTATGTTGGAAATTGGCACAACAAAGTTCCCTGCAATCGACATCATATAAAGGTTGCAGAGGATTTAGTGTTTCAATATTCACGTAACATCGGTCAGCTAAGAATGTAGTGTTTTTATGTTTGTAATGTAATGAATATAGTGTTATTAACGGACCCCAATTTTTTAGCGTAACGTAGGGTCATCAAAGGCACCACCCCCACTGCAGAAACTTGATTTTCGAGCTTCTTAAAAATTCCGAGGAGCGTTTCAGTAATAATACGTTTACGAGCAACACCGTGACAAACAAAAAGGAATACAATTCGAAGAAAGTTAAAAACGACAACGGTGTATAAAGGTACGGCGACGTCTCGGGAATTAAAAACCTTTTCTTGTTTCTTCCGACGACAGCAAAAACAACAAAAAAATTAAAACGCGAGCGATTAATAACGATACCTCCCCCGTTAAAAGTCGCACCGTCCAGACCGCTCGCTTTCTACGGGAGGCGTTGGCTGCGGAAAGGATTAAAACAAAATACGAAAACAACGTCGAGGAGCCGTGTGTGCGTGAGCACAAGTCAGACGTTTCGGCCAAGCCACAGAAAAGAGCCCCCCTCCCGAGAAACGTATTTTGTCAGGGTAAACTAAAACCGTCATTTTCCCCAATGGAAAATATTGCATTCGTATTTGTTGCAAAATTCAGTTTTACTTAAAGTGTTATATTATTTAAAATTTGCGTTCCATTTAAAATCGATGCGGTTTAAAACGTGATTATGACTATGATAAAAAATAAAGTAGAAGTACGTCGTAAAAAAAAACGGAAGTTGGCGATGTGGCTACAAGGCAATGGAGCCCATCGCTCTCCTCCACAGCCACAGCATCTCCTCCGATCTTAATGAGTGCTCAATGACGCTCATCTCCGTTAGTCAACTACAAGGCAGAGGAGGAAATTCCACATTCCCATAGCAGGGGGAAACAAGGGCCATCCCCATAGGTATTCTCAGAGCTTCATTTCAGCCAGGCCTGTACGGGTGAATGGCCCAGAAAACATTTCTACAGCTGGCAAACCACATCCAGTAGACCTCTTGCGAGGGCTGTGGCTTATAGGCAAATGCCATACGAGACAAAACGAAGCATGTGTGCGAACCTCAAATAGTTATCTACGCGTCCAGGTGTTCTGACATTGCGCCAGTCACCACATTTTTTTTTTGACTTCCTAATTTAAGCCAGGTGCTCCCCCCCCCACCCTTATCTCTAGGCCTACTTCAGTAAAGCAGTGACCCCGCACATATTCAGCGAGAAACCAAGCACAGGATGGTCTCACTGTTGACTTCATCCAAAGGGGTCTACTTATATCATTGACCTAAGGAGGGATATAATAATGACGGAGACTCGGATTTGAACTTATTGGCCTGGCTAGTAATCGATAAACCTGGCGATGCAACGCAAAGAACTCGCCTCCGAATCCACCACGGAAGCATCCGCTGACCTGTCTCGGCAACCTCCGTCATCACAATGAGAGAAAACGAAAAGTACAAAAGTGTTGAGGAAGCGAGGCACGGTTGGCTTGAGGTGACGGCGAGTAGCATGTGGTAGCAGTGTAAAAAGGTCTACTTTTTTGTTAAAAACTTCGATTTAAAAAACAGAACTTAAAAGTTGATCATTGCTTGGCAGATACGTGCACGTAAAAAAAATTGTATAATCGGAGCGCATTGAAACACCAAACGTGAAAAGCGAACGAAAAATAATCGGGATGAGAGGTGAAACGGCACAGTTGGAGCTTGGGTAAAGGGGTCAGGGCCCATGTTCGGGTTTAATTAGCTAGTTGTGGTTAGAGGTCGGCGAGGGTTTAATTGGCTTGTGGTTAGGGTTAGTGTCAGGGTATGATTGGTTAGCAAGGTTAGGGTAGGGATAGAACCAGAGTATGATTGGCGAGTGTGGTTCGGACAGGGGAAGTGCTTGAGTAATTGATTAGGGTTAGGAGGGTAATGTCTGACTGGCCAGTATGGCTAAGCTTAAGGATGGAGTTAAAGCTGGAAGACGGCTTGGTGATGCATTATCGTAAGGCTTAGAGCTTGTTTCCAATGAACCAGTCCCAACTCTTTGTCCCCTACTCTCCAATATCAAGCCAAGTCCCTTCCAATTTTCATCACTTTTCAGTTCTGGCGTTATCCAGGCCATGTGCGAACACCGTTGGGAGATGCGGTTGCGAAAGCAGCCATGGCCAACAACGCAGCCATTTGTTCTGCTGCGATGACTATTAAAAAGTTAACATTTGTTCGAAGCAGAGGGTTAACGAATTCCTCGGTTTCGGCAGCGTGCTCATTTTTCACGTGGCTCCATTTGTTCTCGCTAAAACCTACAAACGCAATCGACACTTGAGGTTCTGTTCGTCGTGTATTGCTTGTTCTAATTTATCTGAAATGCTTTGCAGTTTAGCGTTTTTTTTCTTCCTTCTTTGCTATTTACATTTTTTCTGAGACGGGCGAGGCAGACTGGCGTTAAACGCGACTGTGATCATGACGATGACGACGGTGGTGATGGCGATGACGGTGGTGACGACAACAGTGGTGGCGGTGAAGACGATGACGATAATGGTTGTGACTGTGACGGTAGTGGTCACATGATGCACAGACACTCATCACAGTGCACGTTTAAAAAAAGAGGAATGCACACATAACAAACCTCCATCATTCAACACAACCGTTGCTACGTATTTTGAATACACACACAAAAGGCACAAGGATCGCCTGTTTCAGACCTAGAAGCTTCAGAGGCAAGTGCTCTTAGCGAGCACCTATTAAGCCCGAGGAAGGCACAAGCATGGGTGGCATCGTAAGCATCACTCATGCCCAGCCATCTTAAGGCTGAGCAGACCTAGGAGAAACCCCAAAACGGGATCAGAAACTTGGTGATGGCGATACCGCTGGTGTTCTTGTGTAATAAGGCCAGAATTTGAAGGCACACACTCACATCCTACAGCCACCACTAAAGATCCCCTGCATACCTCACAAACTGCTGGGGCAAGCGCTGTTTGCGAGCACCCATAAAGGCCGACACAGTGCACTTAAGGGTGATTGCGGTCAGTACCACATTCGGCCACCGTTGCTTCTCCAGTGCCGAATTTCACGCACTGCACAACAGATATTCAATAAAATCTGGACCAGACCGAAGAGAGGACTACAGACTGGTTCAGATATTATTTGTAACTGATAATAGCCATGGCAGGGAATTTATCCCAAGTTTACCGGGTTCTGAGCGGAGTGTGATAACCACCGTCACCACTCACTCCTGTTACATGCCCTAACTTGCATCTTATCACCATTGTTTCACACACTCATCCAATCACCACCACAAACACTCGCTCACATCCTATGACAACAACCGCCGTTCGCCATTAAGTAGCGGTGACGTCACCAAGGCGCTTGTGCCAGGCTATGTGCACCTTAAGACCACGTGAAGTGTCAAACGCCTTCTGGCAGGTCACGGGACCCAAGTGCCATGGGTGACGACCACTGTCAAACACACTCACTCACGTCTAATAACCACCACACTCACTTACATCCTATGACCACCGTCAAACACAAACTCAAGACCCTATTACCATCATGCAATCTGTCTCCAAGGATGATGGACCTCTCTTACATCTGGATTCGGAATCCTTCAGCATCTTATACGGTTATGTATATGTCTGGCAGATGCACCAGCAGTACCCCCTACTATGCCAACTTGCTGCATTTTATCTTCCCGGCGCGCCGCTCAATGTTGTGAGCATCACACCTCTGCCCTCAGTTGTTGTTGGAGGGCGACTGCCTCCAACTGCCCAGTAGCGTCCTTCACGATCCTCCTCCATGGAGGCCGATCTTGACACCGCTGGTACCAGTCTTCGGCAAGTACACTCAGCTCGACATCCTCCCGTACCACATCAGTCCATCTCTTCTCCAGCACATGTCATGCTCGTTCAGCCCCGTCTATCCAGCCAAACAGAAGCTGCTTGGGCATTCGGTAGCTGGGCTTGCGGGCTAAATGACCCAGCCACCACAGTCTCACCTGCCGGAGCTCAAACACACACATCGAATCACCACCACTCCCACCACCATGCTTCACTCACATCCTACCATCACCATCACATGGATACACACACAACCGTGCTCACACTCGTGCTTTCACACCTTCACACACATTCCTCTCCTCTCTCTCTCCCATCCTCCTTCGGTCTCACAGCCATGTGAGAAAGTTCTCCTTGTCCAGCCTGGCTGGGCCCAGCACAGACTCGACGTCGCTGAGGAGGTCGGCAGAGATGGGCTCCTGTAGGCTGGGGACCAGGTCATCCGTGTCCATGCTGACGTCGCCGCCCTCCTCCTCGCCCCCGGAGAATCCGGCACCGACGCCGGACCCAGCCGTCACCGGTGCCACTCCTGCTCCTGCTCCGAGCGTGTCCATCATGCCGTAATCGACGTGGGTGGCCGGCAGCGTATCCAGAAACTCAAAGAACGGCTGCTGTTGCTGCTGCTGTTGGGGCTGGTGCGGCTGCTGGTGTTGGTGAGCGCGCAACGGAGACTGTGGAAATGGAGATGGTTTCTGCGCCGCTGCCTTCATGCCGGTGCTGCCGCCGCCGCTATGACCGGCGGCGAAGGGGACAGCACCTGTGTGCTGCGTGGGGCAAGCTGTCGCAAGCTGCCGGGCACACTGAGAGGAGACGGGCGTTAGGGTCGCGGTTGTGCGTGGGTGCGAGATCTTTCTTTGGTGCCGTGTAAGCGATATGAGGACTACTACGCCTGGTATGCACGAGGTCGTGGGTTCGATTCTGACCCTGACACCTGTATATTTGGAGTTTGGATGTTCTCCCCGTGGTCGTGTGGATTTTCTTCGGGTCCTCCAATTTTTCTCCCCCTCACATTTCGAAACAGGCCCCGAGAGTATTTGGCTGGTATCAATTTGCACAGGATAAGCCACTTTGTTGAGCTATCATTTGTGGCCAGGTCACTTCTTAAAAAGAGCCGTATAGCTCAATGGGCCTTACCTGGTCAAATAGAAATACATTTTGATTTAAAGCTTTCGTGACTGCAGGGATTCATCTTCTTGGTTCTTTCGGTAAAGTCACGTAGAAGGGAAATAATAAAATAATAAAAATAAAACATAATAAAATAATAAAATTATTATGTTTTATTTTTATTATTTTATTACTTCCCTTCTACGTGACTTTACCGAAAGAACCAAGAAGACAAATAAAAATAGTTTCGTTTTTAGTTTGGAAACGGGGCAAACATTGATCATCTCCGAGCTCTACACGGGCTGACAGGGTCGCGTGTAAACCCGGCGAATGGGGCCCACAGAAGATTATTGTGTCCGTTCGTCGTGCCAGGAGGGGCTGGGTGGGGAGGGTGGGGCTGGGTGGGGCTGGGTGGGGAGGGGCTGGGTGGGGAGGGGCTGGTCACCCCGTGGTGCCCTTATAAAACTCAACGTTTAACCTACTCACGCCGGCTTGTGTCCGCCATCACAGTCGGGCATATTTGCGAAATACACCACGCTGCCGTTGACCCTGCAGGCCATTGACCGAGCAACCCAACGTTCCTACCAGCTCCCTCCGCAGGAACGTGTTTTATCTCTCTGTGATCCATCAACCCTGCTCCCCCCCACCCACCCCCCCACATGCTTGATTAGATGTGCCTGCAATCGCGTGCAGCCACGAGTTAGTAACATGGTTACTAAGTGGTTAACAATGGCTGTGTCGGAACAGTGGCGAGTGACATCCTAAACACATACAAGAAACGCTGTACACACATCCACACACGTGCCCATATACTATATAAACACACACACACACACGCCCCTCTCCAAACGCTGTGTACACACAAAAGAACCATGCCCCCCCCCACACAAACCGTACAAGCACACACCCCCACATACTGCAAATAAACATTCACACAAAAACATTTAAATACACACACTCGCATACAACACAACACCACAGTGCCTGTGCCAGGCCAGGTGCACAAAAACACATTAAAAATACACACACTCGCATACCCACACATTCGCACTCACACACCATGCACGCGCACGCAGCCCCGTAAATTAGCATAACTACACAAGCAGACACGCACAAGCGCTCACACACTTACACGTGCACTTCATATTCACACACACATGCATACTCACCCTCCCACAGATGCTCACACCCTCACACAAATGCACCCACAACAAAGATAAAGATCCCCTGTATAGCCATAACAGGCTGTTGGGGCAAGTGCTGTTAGGGAACATCTATGAAGGCCATCATGACACACAAGGGGGTGGGTGGGTGGCGAGTAACACGTCAGACTGCCTTTGCCTCCCCAGTGGGGATGTTTACACCAGGTACTCATTTGAGAACAAGTCGACCTAAAGGAGGCCTTGGACCGGTTCAGATAATCGCCATTAGTGTTGGCCGTGAGCGGGAATCGAACTGAGTTTGTAGCGTAGCACGCTAACCACTGCGCCACCGTACACACATGCAGAGACAAAGATCCCCCATGTAGCCTTAACATAAAGTTGGGGCAAGTGCTGTTAGCGAGCACTTAGAAAAGCTGGCATGACACATCATGAGGTGGGTGGGCGGGCAACACCACACCCCAATGGCGATGTTTACACACCGCACCAGGTAATCATTTCAAGCCAAGTTGACCTCGGGGATGCCCAGGACCATTTCAGATAATCGTTACTGGTGTTGGCTGTGAGTTGGAATCGAACCCGGGTCGCCAGGTCCTTAGTGCAGCGCGCTAACCACTACACTACCGCTCCCCACACTCATACACACGCACTCATACACACACGCATGCGTGCGCATTCTCACTACCATCGATGTCGTCGGTGGCGCCATTGCCGTGCATCTCCTCCGGCGTGCGCGAGAGGCTGTAGTTGCCCACGCTGAGGCCGCTGTCCGTGCTCGCCTCCCTGGAGTGGAACGCCCCGCTGTAACGTACGCGCGCTCATTAGACAACGCGGAAGGAACATCACATGAATGTTGCACTTCTCTGCGAAGGGCATTTGCCCTCGGAAGGACGTGTTTAGCGAGAATTCCGTGACCTCCCGAGAGGAATTACCAGGTAAGGCCCAACTGAGCACTATAGCTCTTTTTCAGAAGCAACCTTGCCACCAATGAATTATCATGCGGAAATTTATAGCAGCCAATTACTCATAACACATGTTTCTAAATGTTGAGGGACAAACCAGAGGACCTGGAAAAAAATCCACGCAAGGATCCCAGCAGAACATGCAAACTTCAAATATACAGGCGTCAGGGTCGGGATCGAACCCACGACCTCCTGTATACCAGGCAGAGATCGCAAACGGGTTTTGATTCCTTACCCGTACCCGGCTGCACCAAGGTCGCAAACGGGTACCCGTACCCGGCCGGGTATGGGTACCCGTACGCTACCCGAAATGAGTGACAAACGGTTACTCACCGGTGACTCACGGCCTACCCGTACCCGTACCCGGCCGCACCACGGTCGCAAACGGGTACCCATACCCGGCCGGGTACGGGTAGCCGGGTATCGGGTAGGGTACGGGTATCGGGTACCCGGTTGCGACCTCTGATACCAGGCGAGGTAGTTAACATCTCCTCGCCACCGTGGCGCCCAGACTGCCAAGTGAATGGGCTCGGACTGACAAGCGGCTCACAAACCTGTTGAGGAATGGGTCTGAGCCAGACGTGTTGATGGCCCTCATGTCCTGGACTGCGCCATTCCCCGGGGAGGGGGTGTGCACTCCGTTGAGCATCTCCACATCCATGGGCATCTGCCCCCGCATGGCCAGCTCCTGCAGAAAAACACACCAGAGGCACGGGGATCAATTCATCTGTTGTTGTAACGTTCTTACCCGCCTCTAATGGATATCTGTGAACAAGAACTTTATAGCTCATCGGATTTCCTTCAGTCTAAATAAATATTCTGATTCTGAAAATAAACATTGCGAGTCCGATTCTGAATCGGTAGTTTATTAATCGCCAATGTTTTATCACAATCGGCGGAGGACATCTGATTAGTTGCCAACAGCAGAGCACACGATGATCCGTCAGTGACAGGTGTTTAATTTGAGAATTAAGAGTTTAATAGAGTGAGAAATTCTGCATCTCGCGACGTGAAAACAACAACACAAATCGGGATAAAATGTATTTACAGAAGCATATGAGAGCCTATTTATTTACACCGAGTCTCTTTTTCAATGGCATTCTGGGTCACAACACGTGCAACCGAAACCCAGATTCGAACCCAGGCACTCAAAGGTGCCGGGGTTCAATGCTCTGTCCTCGTAAGCCACCCGCTGGCGACCACCATGACTCTCAACTGCTTTTACATGAAGTATTAATGAAGGTAATGAAAAGGGGCCTCATCAATTGCACCTTCGATGAGCACGGTTGGCTACGCACAGTGCGAAAGAAGTTCAGCATATATACAATCAATGTTTTTCAGCAGCATTTACTACAGCAGCAAACTCTTTATGAGTTTCAACTTCTCTGGTTCTCATCAGGTGTGGCTTGTTAAACAAATACTGCCGAGATTTCTGATGATAGAGGAAGACTGCTCCATGAATACTGTCCCATTGATATATGTGGACAATAACATAATAAATACATATTATTGGTTCTTTCGGTAAAGTCACGTAGAAGGGAAATAATAAAGTAAAAAAAATAAAACAATAAAAATTCTCACGACGTTTCGATTTTTATTATTTTATTATTTCCCTTCTACGTGACTTTACCGAAAGAACCAAGAATATGAATCCCTGCAGTCACGAAAGCTTTAAATCGAAAAATAATAAATACATGTTTGTGCCCGGCCACCTTTGTCTCCCTAAGGAAGTGCCTGATCCGGTTCAGATATTCGCCACTGATGCTGGCGGTGAGCGGGAATCGAACTCTGGCATCTGGTTTTGTAGGAACCACTGTGCCACTGTTCCCCACACTCGCGCACACGCAATCACTCACGCACCCCCCCATACACACATGCGTGTGCACGCACACCCACAGAGACATACTTGCCGATACACACACACAAACGCTACTATACACATGTGCATGCACTGCCGTGCACCCCCACACTGGTATAGCTCGTAAATCAGGGCAGGGGAATAACAGGTTTGTGTGGTTTTCCTCCCCTGTTTCTGGGACTCCCATTTCACCTTCGGGATAAAACTGGCAACGTCAGAGCAGGCACACCCACGCTTTACCAGCTCCGGAAAAACGGAGGTATCTGCAGACAAGTCCTAACAGCTCCATGTTTACACACACCCACACATACACACACACACGGAAATACATGCACACACATGCACAGGGACGCACCCATGCACACACAATTGGACAAATAAGAGACAGGCACATACAGACAAACGCATGCACTTGCACAGGGACTCGTATCGACTGGCATACAAAGACAAACATCCCTCAGTATAGCCTTAACAGACTGCTGGGGCAAGTGCTGTGAGTGAGCACTTATCAAGGCTGTAACAGCACACGAGGGGGTGGGTCGCCAGCACCACGCCCAGCCACCTTTGTCTCCCTAATGGCATTATTTTTACACATCGCAACCAGGTACTCATTTTAGGCCGAGTCAACCTAGGGGAGGCTCGGGGCCTGTTTAGATAATCGCCACTGTTTATTGGTCGTGAGCGGGAATTAAACTCAGATCGCCAGCACTTGCACAGGGACTCACACGGATTGGCATACACCCACACATAGCCACACCCAAACACAGATACCCCCCCCATGCCTCATACATATGCATACACAAGACAAAGATCCCCGTATAGCCTTCACAAACTTGTGTGGCAAGTACTGTTCGCAAGCACATGTGAATTCCTGCACGGCACACGAGGGGGGAGGGTGGTCAGAACCACGCCCTGCCACCTTTGTCTCCTTGCACCAGGCACTCATTTAAGGTTGAGTCGACCGAGGGTAGGCCCAGGACCGGTTCATATAATCGTCACTGGTGTTTGCTGTGAGCCGGTATTGAACTCGGGTCACCGGGTTCGGAGCCCAGCATGTTAACCACTGCAATACCACTCCACACATCTACAAAGACAAACATCCCCCATATAGCCTTAACAGATTGTTGGGGCAAATGTTGTTAGCGAGCACCTATGAAGGCATACACACACATACTCGCACACATAAAGACATAGACACATCCCTCGTAGTCTTATAGACCATTGGAGTAAATTCTGTTTGAGAGCTTTGATGGAGGTGGCGTGTGGTCAGCACAACACCCAATAACCTCCATCTCTCCCGAGCACTGATGTTAACACACGGCCCAAGGTACTACTTTAAAGTGAGTTTGTCGAACTAGGGAAGATTCAGATACATGTCATTGATGTTAACCATGGCCGGGAATCGAACTTATACCGCTGGGTTCCCCGAGCAGTGTGTGATCCACTGCTCCCCAGGCGCATGCCCACACACACGATTACACATGCAGGTGCCCACACACAAATGCATATGCATAAACATACACCCACAAACACAATAACAGACCCACACAAAATAAAGCTCCCCCGTGTAGCCTTACAGCCTGGGCAAGTGCAGCCACAGGGCAGTGCCGATGCTTGCACACTGCAGCAGTTACTCATTTTAAGCCCGAGTTGACTTTAGGCAGCCCAGAACCAACTATCACTCATCACCACTTTTAACTGTGCAGGGAAATTAAACTTCCTACGATCAGAGTGCAGTGCACTATCCACTGCGTCACCCCTTCCCACACACACATGCACAGACACACATCAATGTCCTTCCAGCGAAAACGGGTATCAGCCACTGGCAATTTTAACTTGGTTTTCAGGTATAGAGTTAACTTTGGTAGAGTCCAGTAACCAATGACTGCATGCATATCCCACAAAAAAATTATTTTGGTTGTTCACTTAATGTGGTCCCATTTCAGGTCTGAGAATTAACAATTATGTTTTGTTTCGATTTAAAGCTTTCGTGACTGCAGGGATTCATCTTCTTGGTTCTTTCGGTAAAGTCACGTAGAAGGGAAATAATAAAAATAAAACATAATAAAATTATGTCTTGACTTATAAGCAAACATGCTTGGCAGGACATATGAAAAGGTGTGCTTCTATTGTGGATAAAGTGACGTCAGAAGCAGCTTTGTGGTGTCACCTGCATTGTTGTCTTAGATGATGATGGCCATGTGATCTATAAGCCTAGGTCGTGTTGGGTGAGAGTAGCAATTTAAAGTCTACTGACTCAACTACACAACTCCCCCACACTTAACTTCTCCTCTCTACTCTTACAAAGTGGTTGATTATTTCGCATTTTCTTGGGACAACCAGCTGGATTTGAGCTGCCCTGAGCCAACTAATTTCTCCCCAAATGAGAGTTCAACGGTAACGTGTTGGGGAAAAAAAAGATGCCATGTCCACAATTTTCCCGAGTTATTTTTAAAATCATGGAAGTTGGGCAAAGACTTCCCAGAAATACTTGCAAGTTGCAACTATTGTGTTACATCAAACTGCCTATGCTTACCCAACAGGAAAAGGAGTACAAGCATTAGGCTGTGTAGTGCGGTAGCGTGTGGGGGTACTCCGACCATTTGTAAGATGTCAAATACCCTGTAGGCCTGTAGGGAAATGGTTCTCAACCTTTTTTGGCTACTGTACCCCTGGTTGAATTTTGTTTCAACCGATTACCCCCTTGCCCGACCCAACATGGTTCTGAGAAATAAATGTATGATTAATGAACACCAACATTTTAATCACTTATCCATTTTGTCAGGTATCCTAACTAGCTAATAACTGCAAGTGACAAAAAACATTTCAATGCATGCTCTGCATGCATGACGTAATTTGTTCACGTTCTGTTACTCTTCGAAACCACATAGTTTAGAATTAATGAGTCTAGAAAGGTATATTAATATCTACATAGGTTATCATATGGATTTATATTTTATTGCAGTTATTTTATATTATTAGCCTTTTGCCCGTCCAAGGACGGGTGTATTTCATTAAATCTGAAACTTGCAAGCAAAAAGCAGACCGCGACGTGATATTCACTGCATCAATTCGTGTGCAATTTGTAAGGCCGCGGTGATAAGACTTATTTCATTTAAAGGCTATAATCCCTTGTTCATCACAACGTCCTTTTTACTTCGATGTCTCAACAGCGTTACGGAGATCGCGTGACGTGAGCGTTCTGCCTTTGCAGTGAGGGTTGTGAGTTGACGCCGAGGAGGGGGGAGGAGGTGCCTCGCCCCCCCCATGTGGAGTGACGTCAGCCACTAATTAATATTAATTGAGAGTGGCCATTTGGAAGACGTCACCTCTTCATGATTATTGTGGGGGGCTGTTCGATGTGGACTGATGTCACCTGCTCATGATTATTAATGAGGGGGGGGTCATGTGGAAAACGTCACCTGTTCATGAGTATTAATGAGGGGGGCTGGCCGACGTGGAGTGACATCACACGCAGGACACACAGATATTTTTGGCTCATTAAATACAGTAATTGGCAGATTCAGACATGATTATTCAATTACTCATGTATTATATAATTTCACGAATAAATCACCTCAGGTACCCCCCTGGGACATTGCCACATACCCCAAGGGGGCCGTGTACCCCCGATTGAGAACCACTGCTCTCAAGGGGCTCTCTGGCACCCCCCCCCTTCTAATGGAGGCCCTTCCATTAGCAGTGACTCGAACAAGCAATTGCAGGGCTGCAAATTTACTTTTTTAATCGGTTACTTTAGTGGGATATCCCAGCTCTCCTCGAGCAAACGTGACGCACCTGTCTCATGTCGTGTCTCACCCTCATCTTCTCCTTAGGCAGGCGCAGCTTCTGTGCCGCACCCAGCCCTCCCGTCGCCTGATAGGTCGGAAGCCCGCGGCTAGAAGCCGCCTGATTGGCCGCCGGGGACATCGGGGCGTGGCCGTGTGTGGGGAAAGCTGGGGTGGGCGTCAGCCGCTGCTGAGGAGATTCTGTTTGGTGGGGAGGGGGAACACGGGGAAATTAGTTCTCAAGACTCAGCAAGAAAATTATTTAACTCTCTATGTGCGTTTGTCCTGAGAAGTTTTAATGAGCGATATCCCGTTCTGAGCTGCGCAGTGAGACGTCACACATTACGTGACGCCACGAGATAACCTTGAGCGCTGATTACATGGGGAGGTGAGGCACGTGTGTGACGGGGTTGACAAGGATGGTCCCTTTCAACCCCGGCTTTTAGTGCCACGTTTTGGGCGACACTTTCAACCTTAGTTGGAAAGCATTGAAAATTCCATAGGCCTAGTCCAGGGTTGGATGGCAATGGCGGTGATGGTGGCAAAGGTGGCGGCATTTATAGCAATGATGGTGGTGATTGTGGCGGCGGTGATGGTGGTGATGGTGGTGGCGGTGATGGTGATGATGGCGGCGGGCGGCCACCGTCACCGCTTACTGTAGGCTGGCTCCAAGCGAGGGTCGAGCCAGGACGTTGTCTTGTTCTTGTGGTCGATGAAGTAAACCTCTCCATCCGGAGTCACAGCCTGCTCCCAGCCATCGGGCAGGGGTCCTGCCACACACACCAGCCATCACATCATCGCCATCAGCATAGCATTGCATAAGCAGCAAGCCCCACCTCATCACACGCGTTGCCACACAGCCCACAGATGAGTTTACGCCTTCATCATCGAGCTGTTGATGTTAAGGATTAGCGGCGTGCACCACGACGCGACAAAGTTGAGGCGACGGACTCGGAAATGGTTGCTCGATCTTAATCTCTGTCTTATTTCTCCTCAGCTCTCTCACCATTTCCCTCTTCTATCACTCCATCCACCCTCTTTCCACTTCTCTCAATTACTCTCTCTCCACTTGTCTCTCTCCCCACGCATCTCCTCACCCCCGACCTCATGCTTCTCTCTCCCCCCCCCGCACTTCTCCCCCTCGCGTCTTTCTCCCTCCCCCGCGTCTCCCCCCCCCCCGCGTCTCTGTCTACCCCTCCCCGTCTCTCTTCCACCGTCACGTGTCTCCCCGCCCCCTTGCCTCTCTCCCCACCCTCCACGCTTTTCTCCCTGCCCCCGCCCCCCCGCGCCTCTTTAACCCCCCCAGCTCTCTTTCCCCCCCACCGCGTCTCTCCCCCCCATCCACCCCCAGCGTCTTTCTTCCCCCCCTCCGCGCCTCTCACCGAGTTGCTGTGGCCCCTGTGCGCTGGTGCGGCTCGCTGTGACGAGGCTCACTCCAGGGTTGGCGGTGCCGCTCTCCGCCGCCAGTATCCCGCGCGGGTCGTGCCACGTTGTCGTCTGGTTGTTGTGGCTGAAACATTCACACATCGGCACCAAAGTCGTCACCATCTCCATCAACATTGTCATCATCATTGTCGTCATCAACATTGTCATCATTGTCGTCATCATCATTGTCGTCATCAACATTGTCATCATCATTGTCGTTATCAACATTGTCATCATTGTCGTCATCAACATTGTCATCATTGTCGTCATCAACATTGTCATCATTGTCGTCATCAACATTGTCAATGTCGTCATCAACATTGTCAATGTCGTCATCAACATTGTCAATGTCGTCAATATCGTCGTCACCACCATCATCATCAATATCAATCTCTCTTGATCTCTCTCACTTTGCCTCCCAATCTGTCCTGCATCCCCCTCTCTTCTCACCCCCCCCCCCCCATCCCTTTTCTTTTCATCTTTCCATATATCCCTCTCTACCTTACTCCGTTCCCCGATCGCCCACTGCTCTTTCTCACCATTGCACACTTCTGCGGTTCTCTACCTTCTTTCTCCCTGCCACCATCCCAATCGCCACTCTCCCAATCGCCATCCACCCACCTCTCACGACGCACTCTCTCCCATCGCTCTTCTGCTCCTACGCCCCCCCACCCCTCTTTCCCCTTGACGAATAAATGCCGTCTTGATTGCTATGTGCGCTACCTCCCAGCCTGTAGCCCGTTCTCCGACTACCTCTCTCCCTGTCCATCTCCCTCTCTCTCTCCCTGCACAATTCGCCCAACCCTCTCTTACTTGATGAAGTAGCGCTGCCCAGCGGCCGTGAACGCCACCTCCCAGCCGGGTGGGAAGGGGGCATCGCTCTGGTCCAACAGCTCGTACGATCCCTGCCGGCTGTGCTGCACCATCGCCGCCTGCGCGGCCACCACCACCTGCTGCTGCTGCTGCGGGGACAGGGGGTGTGGGAAACCTGTCGCCTGCGCCTGTTGCTGTTGGGCTTGCTGTTGCTGGGCCTGCTGCTGCTGCTGGGCCTGTTGCTGCTGCTGCGCCTGCTGCTGCTGCTGGGTCGACATTGGCTCGAGGAGTGCGGGCGAGGAGTGCGAGCGCGAATGCTGCGCATGGACGGCACCTGTGGAGGAGGGGGGGGGTTACATGCATTAAGGGGATGACCTCACACAGCGAGTTTCACACCGGCCCTAATACTGTGGATATATGATATATGCACACCTCATATAGGCACAGGGATGCTGCATAAATAGCGTGCGATGGTTAGCACAATTGGACAGGTTGCCCGTTCGATCACACAGAACAACAGTAGAAACTATAGGCAAGTGTCGTATATTCCTCCGCCCAGCAGTATAAATGTGTATGCCACAGTGGATCGGCAGCTCATGTGGTCACCCCAACCTCTTCCAAGACGTCTGGCCAGCATAGAAGAGTAGGCCAAACATGTCGAGAGGGGCTTTTTGTGGAGGCTCTTCTGCCAACAGTTGCGTGAGCAATTAGTTGCAGGGCTGCACCTTCAACTTCATCATTTAGGTTTACAAAGCCCAATTCGATTATAAGGAATACATGGAAATATTTGCGGGACACACCGGTGCAGTATAATATACCGGTCCTCATATAACAGTCTAAAATCTAAATTTTAATCACAAAATCTGTTTATCAAGTCTTTAAATTGACCCAGTCGCCAAGTTTGACGAGATTCAGAGGTTTATTCAGTCTACTGAGACTTTCTAAAAACAGGTCAATATTGACCGTTGATTTGTGTCGTTGAATCGAGCAAGTCTCGGGCATGAGTCAATTCTGCCTTTGGAACACGGAACCAATCGTCATCAGGCTGGGTGCTATACGGCAACAGACTGTGAAGCTTCGCATTCAGCTGCTCATAACAATCATCTTCCGACTGCTTCAACATCACGAGAACCAATGTTGACGCACCCCGTGAGATTTTCTGATCAGGGTTGCGAATCTCGGGCAAAATAAAAAATGTTTGCGATTTTTATTTTACTTTATACTGCGCACCGGTGTACCGCCAATACGTTCACATGCTTACATTACACTGGTATGGAGGGGAAGCCAAAGGGCCACTTCTGATACAAGGATATAAGCACATCTGGCCGAATATTAATTCACAGACCTTTGTCAATCCACGGGCGGGTGAAGGCCCTCCCCATGCAGTTTTGGTTGGAAGGGTTGTTTGGTCATACTTCATCACACTGGTCAGTGCATGTCAGTAAAGAGTGGAGGTGGCCCAGGATGGTTCAGCTATCACTCGCCAGTTGATTAGCATGGTTGGCTACGTACAGTGCAAAAGAAGTTCAGCATATTTACATACATACATGGCCGGGAATCAAAATCAGGTCAACTGGTTCATGGCGCAGTGAGCCACGGACCGTGCCACCCCTCTACCAATAGCTCTATAGTGGAAGTCCTCTAGGATGCCCGGTGTCACTTCATCAGTTTCTTCAACCGTCCATCACCCTTCTAGCCATGATGTGTCCTTGCCCAAGCGCACTTACCTTCGTCAACAGACAATCTGATGCCTCAAATTTGCATGTTTTCTGATTACATGGTTCCTGTTTCTATCAATTCCAAGCAATCCAACAAAGCAAGCCTTGGGATGATACGTTTGATAATAAACAAAATTCAATCATTCTAGATTTGAAGTTTTCGTGACTGCAAGGATCCATACACTTTGGTTTTTTCGGTAAAGTCACGTAGGTGAAAATAAATGAAAACAACTAAATTAAATCACGACGTTTTGGGCGCAACACAAGCGTCCGTCATCAGGTGTGGGCAACCAACAGCGAAAACAATAACTGAGGTAAGCCTCAGCTATTGTTGTGTTGCGCCCGAAACGTCGTGATTTAATTTAGTTGTTCTCAGTTTTTTTTTCACCTACGTGACTTTACCGAAAAAAACAAAGAGTAAAATTCAATCATGTCTATGGTCTGTATGTTCTGGGAAAAATGTTTCTAAAGGAGTGGCTGTATGTAGGAAGAGAGAGAGCAACTTGAAGATAAGGAATTCCACCATAAGATAAATATTTTTTTTTATCTGAGATTTTGTTTCTCAAGTGAGCATCGAAGCGGTGCGCAACTCCTTTCTACGGCCTTGAGCCCGTGGTAAACATTCCACATTCCTATGGCAGGGATAAGTCTAGGACAGGACAAATACTGTTGCCTTCCGTACATAGCAGTACTCAATTTATCCACCCTGGACAAATGATGGGCTGAATCAACTCCCAACCAGGATTGGATTCGCAACATTTTAATTTTGCTTCGCTCACTCTACCATGGAGCCAATTAATACAATAAGCATAATATTGAACGTCACATATCAATCGCATATCCACCCTGACCAATTAACGGCCCACTACCACTGCAGTATGCAGTGCACGGTGTAACTGTCATTTGCGATAAATGTTCACATATCTGACCTATTTACATATCCGCCTATACGTTAGTTCTCAGCGAGTCAGATATGCGAGTAGGTACTGTGATAACTAGCACGGAGAAATGCACGTTCGAAATTACACTGATAGACAATAGATTAACGCATGCATTGGAGAACATTTGCAAGTTAGAAACATCATTTCACCTTTAAAAAAAGTAAACTGTGGGCAGGGCATGTGGCGAAGTGATGATGGGACAACGGTCGATGCTAACAGAATCTCAGCCAAAGGAATACGCCTGAATGCATGCTCAATGTGGAGATGCAGCGATGAGTACAGCTCGTCTGTTGGGAGCTAGGTAGATGATTGCATGGCGAAACCATTAGAGATGGCTGCGGCTTGGGGAAGCTCTCATCCAGCAGTAGATAGATCAGGGCTGCTGCTGCTGTTGATTGAGTAGAAGAACTGTAAAGATGCTGCCATAAAAGTGCCTGACAGGTGACCCTCCATAAATCATTAACGAACGGCTGCAGAGGTTTCTCAATTGACACGATCAGGAAATGAAAATACTGTATGCGGTTTCAGAAGCGGCTGCAAGTTGACAACTCGGAGGTTGTAAAAAGGAGTTGCGAAAAAAACCCACCCAGCTACTACAGAACGAGTTGTGCAGAACCCCCCCCTTCCTTCATTTCCGGCCTCCGTCACTGCTTGGGGTTAACATCAAGGACAGATTTCTGGCTCTTAAGACTCCAAGGACAAGTTGGTAGGTTTAGAAGCTGGGAGGAGACCATTTACGTCTATCCTAGTTGCTGTACTTTTCTCTACCCCGCCACCACGTGCCCCGAAGTCTGATATGGATTGCAAATCCCTCCTTTGGCTGGCATTGTTGTTAAGTCTCGATAATCGGCCATGTCCGAGGCATGCCCAAGCCCACTAACTTTTATTTACGGTCAATGGTTGTATTTTGTTACTTCACACACTCCCAGTCTTAGTTGTTCTAGCCTTGTAAATGTGTTTTTTTAAACGTCTATTGGGTTTTCTTGAAGGTCTTTGTTTCTGAGAGCTGGGATCGCTCTGCATTAGTTTCCAGTGAATCGAATGCCTTTACATAGCCTGCACAATCCAGGCAAAACGGTAAATGTAGATGCTAGTCAACCACGAGAGAAAGCTGGTTTCAGAAGAGGTTTTCTACGATTGACCACATAATACTACCAATACGATTACAGAAGACAAATTGAGTATCCGACACAAGGACTGGCTTTTGCAGACTGAAAAGTAATCTGTAATACTGCAGTACGCTTCACAGTGCAATGTCTTTACGGATGTTAAGTTTAAAATTCGATGTATTGTTACGTTTACTCTTGCAAAAAGTAGAGGTAATGCATTGCAATAATAACATTTATAAATCATTGTAATAAATCAACTGCTTGCACCTCTTCCAAAACTACATTTTAATTATGTAGTTAATATTTATCGCAGACCTTTTTTTAGAGTGTAACAATACACCAATAAATATCGATTCTCTAACCCTCATGATAATTATGTGAACACAGATTAATCCATGCAGGATGTAATGGGTTCACGTGACTGCCGCAGCCACCAGTGGCCGCTACACTCACAACGTTGAACGAAGTTTCTTGAATAAAACTGTCGAATCAAACCATGTGCTTGAACAGCAACACATAATCAAATCGCTTGCCAGAGGTTAATCATTACATGCCAACCTTGCTCTAGATCTGCTTGCTATTCTGTATGTGTATATATATTTTTATTGTAAGTTCTCTCTCGTGCGTGTTGTATTCCAGTGTGAGCCCTACAGTCTTCCTCATCACCGTGTCCCCTTTGGCCACAATAGCCTCTCAACCTGCCTTAAAGGGCATGCATTAAGACAGCATTTCTATACCCAAGGGAGCCCCAAAAACAAACACACTTGTGCAATGTTCTAGTTTCATGTCCTCTTCTTAGGTGCCTTTCTGAAACGCACGTAAAACTCACGAAATCCCTTAGCTTCCCCCAGAGTTTCCTCTCAAAGTGTTTCTGCAATTGCGCACATCATCAGCAGCCCCATTGTTTATCCACTGCTGGATGAATGCCTCTTCACGCCATCGTCATCCCTCACTGCCCAGTGCTGTGACTACCATCCATCTCACTCCCGCATGTCAGCTAATCTCATTACTCCTGCTCCACAGCGGTTGCGTCCTCTTGAACGCGTTCCCTCCTTCCAAAGGCCATTCCGTCACCAGTCTCGGCCATTGGCCCGCACCATTCTTATAGCGCAAGGCTATGACGAAGATGCCATGTTTTGCATAGTTCTACAGTAAACTAAAACTAATCTATCCGTTCTCCAAGTTTTTTTGAGCAGAGTGGAGTCCATCCTGGAAGAGAGACGCACCAACTCCGACCAAAGACATGACTCTCTCAGAGGAGTCCTAAATGAAACGATAAAGTATTTTTTATTTTACCAGGTAAGGTCCACTGTGCTATATGGCTCGTTTTCAGAAGCGGCCTGGCCACAAATGATAGCTCAAAAAAGTGGCTTATCACGTGTAAATTTATAGCAGCCGAATACTCTAAAAACACGTGTTGACTCTAAATGTGGATGGAAAAAACGAAGGACCTGGAGAAAAATCCATATGACCACGGGGGGAGAGAGAGAGACACACAAACTTCAAATATACAGCAGGTGCCAGGGTGGAGATCGAACCGACAACCTGTATACCAGGCGACAGAGTTAACATCTCGCCACCGTGGCGCCCCAGCTGTAGTTTTAGTGGGGGACAAAGTTTGTGTAAACCTAGTAATGCCATAATTCGCAGGTAATTTTCAAAGTTGGCCAATTTGTACCTCGAGACGCGGCACACAATGTCCTATACTTGAGTGACATTACAGGATCTTTAACGTCCACTGCGAAGCAGATGGTTCGTATTGTATAGCTGATACACTTTGCACCATCACACATCCTTGTGCTGTGCATGAATTCTAGGGGTGGGTTCCCACCTTTTAAGAGGCCATGATGTTTGAGTAGCTGCTATTTCTCTATGTGCCCAAGTATAACTGATTGAACAAAAATTGTCAACTTTATTTTCGGCGATTAAAAAAATCATTTTAAGTTGATGAATCGACTCGTCGATTAAGCATCCCAGCTCTGGAAACGATCAAAATTCCTCCTGCTATAAGTAAAGTTACATAACAACAAAGTTTGTTTAATACAAAAAACACATTGAAGCCATTTTCACCTAGCAATGTTGGGAATGTTGGAATTTAGTAAAAAAAAAAACGCTAATGTATAATACGTTTTACCTCACAAAGGTTAAAACAAATAAAATATTCATCGTATTCTGCGAGAACCCGGGGTTATGAAACTATTTGGACAAAATAACAAACTTCCAATTTACGTCACAAAAATCTAACGAATACCATAAGCCAAAGTAGGCTTAATTACGAAAATAAACATTTAAGAAACGTTCAATGTAAAAAAAACGAACTGTACAATAATATACTTCTCAATTTGTGACCGAACAATGCAAGTGATTGTCAAAAATCACAGATTTAAAGCAATACCCCATCCAGACGACCCACCTCAAAATACGCAAAAATCACATTTCATCCCACAAAAACCAACAGAGACATTTAAACAACAACAACAAAAGCCATTTCACGTGACATTGTGAGCACCTAATCCTAAGAGAGCGTATATTGACTCGAAAAAAACAAGCTGACAACATTTGTCTTACCCATGACTCAATTACGTGCGACTCCCAATTAACCGTGGTAGACGTTTAGGGGCCACAAAAACTCCCGATTATCCGTCGCTGTATTCCTCCTATTCACTCGATTATCCGTTTTGAATCCCGTTAAGCGGATAACATCACGCGCATAATAGAATCTGCGATCTTCGTGTCCTCCCACATAACAGCAGATGCTATAGACATCTGTGAAAAAGAGCGTTTAAGCTCATCTTAATCCTCCAGTATACATAAATATTCTGATTATGATTTGATGATTTCTGCCGTGTCCCGAATATTTTGCTAAACGCTTAATCTCCCGCTTCTAGGTACTGTTAGACAATGTTAGTGACTTTGATTTTTTGGTTTAAATAACTTATGGGAAAAGTTATCTCACCAAACTTTTAGTTGGGTTTTTTTTTTTACCCTGACTGACACTCACTTAAGTGTGAGTTTGCAGTCACCACCTTGGAAAGGAAATGTTCACAGGGAAAGTTCAATTATTTCGTTTAATATTTACTGAAAGCATATCGTGTCTTAAAATTTGACTGTTAAGGGTGTTGCAGAAACATCCTTAAAGATTAAAGCTCAAGTGAAGATTGAGACATTTGCCTTCGTTATACTTAGTGTGTTGAGTGTAAACTATTAGCGATTAAGATGACTAATGGTGTTGGGGAATGCAACTGGAGAAAGCCCTCAAATGAAAGTTAAGGAATTTGTCTTACTTAGTTTGTCCCTTAACTCTTGATTAAGTGTAAGAGTTCCAGAAAACAATTTAAGCGGAAAGTTTAAGGGATTTCACGGAATGTTTTCTGAAAGTTGTGATTTAGTATTGGCTCTTAAACGTTTACTTAAGTACAATAGTATTGCAAAAAGGCAGTGTATTTTGAAGAAACGCCATGGCCTAAAGTTACCTCAACTCTTGAATGCGTCTTAGAATTTAATAAATCAGCTTGAATAAATGTGAAGGGAAATTTAAGGGAATTCGCGTTTGAGGAATTAAACTGTAATGCTCCAAAAAAGCGCAAACGTTTAAGAAACCAGCTTATCAGAAACCCTGAAATTATTTTACCTTAAACTCTCTAAACCTTGGACGAGTTTCTCAAACTCAAAACTGAGAACGAGATGAGTGAAAGTCTAAAATATATTCCTGAACCTGCCAATGCGTTGTTGAAGTTACAAAACCAATACCGCACAACATCTTGAAGTTACAAAACCAATACACACAACATTAATCCCATCAACCAAAGAGACCACACTCACAATCCCAACAACTTTTCGACATCCTCATCATCAAATCACCCACGATCATATCCACACTTGCTGGATGAATTCATCTCTCCCGATCCCACCAAAAATCCACCGCCATATCTCACGATCTCGAGGAGACACAACAATCACACAGAGCACCTGCACACAAAAACTTCTTTCATTATCGTTCCATCTCCTGTGCGTGTCGCGTCCGCGCGTATCAAACAAAAGGCTTGTGGAAGTGGAAGGCATTACGAGACGATATGGAAAAGTAAGACGCAACTCCCAAGTTGTACGCGATGCCAATAGTAACAATATCCATCACACAACGCTCACAATGTTATACGATGAACGACCAATGTGTTTTTACTATAAAACACAAGCCGGGAGAAACGTTGAGTCTTATAATCTGTAGCAAAAGTGAATAGTTTTCATTATAAAATTAAAACAAAACTTTTTTTGTTTTACCTATCACGGGCCAATAGTTATAATATCCATCACACAACGCTCACACGGGTTATACAACGAACGTACAATATTTGTTTCTATAAAACACAAACCGGGAGAAAAGTCGCGTCTTATAACCTGCATCGAAAGCGAATCGTTTCCATTATAAAATTAAAACAAATAATTTGTTTTTACCTCTCGCGGGCCTCAACAGCGGGCTTGCCTGACGCGCCTGCGGGAAGCCTGCGCCGCAGGCCTCGGCCGCGCCGAGCCCGGCGTAGGCGGCGCCGCCCGAGAGGACCGCGTCCGAGCTCGCCTGGCGCGCGTGCGGGCAGCCTGCGGCGCGGGCCTCGGGCGGCCTGAAGAACGACTCGGGCAGCTTTCGCTTGCGCATGGGCACCGACTGCGGCATGTTGGCGGCGCCAGGGTTCATCACGGCGTTAAAGAGGGCCTCCAGGTCCGTGGCTGAGTCGGCACGGGAGGTCACCACATGCTGCTGTTGTTGTTGTTGTTGGTGGTCATGTTGAAGTTGATGTTGTTGTTGTTGGTGATGTTGTTGTTGCTGATGGCGTTGGAGGTGGTGGTCGGGATGGTGGTGATGGTTGTTGTTGTCTTCGTCCATTGTGCTTGCTTGTTGGCGATGTTATGATCGAGTCGGTGTCTGGTTGTGATGGTTCGTTAAGGTTTGATGATGTTGGTTGGATTTTGCACTAATGGCACTTGTTTAAGTTTTGACACAGGTGTTATGATTTAGATGATTGATATCACTTGGGTTTGACAGATTGGCACTAATTCGATGGCACTGTTAGGAGCTCGAACGTAGATCACTTGTATTTGAAAGCAAAGTACCAATATCTTTAATTACTATAGATTTTTTAAACTTTTATAAGTCTGATAACACTTATATTTGGCACTATTAGAGATTTGGCACTCGTGACTTTATTATGATGAAAGGTCTGTCACTGTTAGTGGTAATTATAATCGGTGTGATCGTGGTGAAGTGTTAGTGATATAAAACTTAGTCGGAGTTAATTGTAGTGTGCTATCGTAATTATCACTGGTAATCTTTGCGTTATTAGTAGTAATTATAGTGTAATAACTCGTTCTGCTGTGTTAGCAGTGTTATTGGTAGTGGTTATAGTGGTAGGTTGTGAGTTGTGTTTTTAGCGTTAATAATATCGGTAATTGTGTTAATTACCACTACTGTCGAGTCTTAATGCAGTTATTGTAGCAAAAAATGTGTCGATGTGTGCCAGCCGTATACACTTAGTTACTATTATTGACACTTTAACAGCTGACGGGTGACATAGGTACGATGACTAAAAAAATCAAAGCTAATGACGAAAATATAAAAATAAGCGTGTAGTTAACTGTAGAAGAACTGACAAAAATAAAGCAACGATAAAGCACCCAACGCAAATACAAAAACAAGTGGAAAGAAAAAAAAACTTTAGCGATTGTTCGAACTGCTCCCAACCACCGTTGCAGCAACTCTACATCTATCACCAACAACAACAACAAACTACGAGTGTGAACTTACAACAATGGGGGAAAATACACTTCTCATGAGAAAGGAAACATGTTGAGGAGGTGAGAAGTCTCGCGAAGTTGAGCTTCTCTTCTTCTTCGAGGGCCTTCAAACCCCCCACCACCACTCCGTCGTCGTTTAAAGTCGCGAGTGACTCAACAAGTCTCTCCCCCCCCACCACCTCAACTCTCTCCACTCGCCTCTCTCTCTCCTCACCCTCGGGGTGGTGGTGATGGTGGTGGTGATGGTGGCGAAGTTGTTGGCGACTGTGTGCTCGACTTAGAACAACAGCGGCGACGACGCGGCGAGGATTATCGAAGCGAGGCACCGTCGCCTTCGCATCCTCAAACTTTTCCCCAACACACACACACAAAAAACTCTTCAACGCAGCACTCGACTCATTAATATTCTTGCTTTAATTATGCGTGGCGTCACGATTAATTATTCATGAACCCTCCCTCCTTCCCTCTCGCTCGCTTCGTGATGTGGAGCCTCATGCATTATTCATTAACCCGATTCCCTTTGGGTGGCGATTTGATTAATTATTCATGAGCACCGCCCCCTTCACCCGCTCTGATACGTGACGTCTACCTAATTAATTATTCATGAGCACCGCCCCCTTCACCCACTCTGATACGTGACTTCTACCTAATTAATTATTCATGAGCACCGCCCCCTTCACCCGCTCTGATACGTGACGTCTACCTAATTAATTATTCATGAGCACCGCCCCCTTCACCCGCTCTGATACGTGACGTCTACCTAATTAATTATTCATGAGCACCGCCCCCTTCACCCGCTCTGAGACGTGACGTCTACCTAATTGATTATTCATGAGCACCCTCTTCGTCCACGTGACGTCTAACCTAATTAATTATTCATGAGCACCTCCCCCTTCACCCGCTCTGATAGTGACGTTTACCTAATTAATTATTCATGAGCACCTCCCCCTTGTCATGCTCTGATACGTGACGTCTACCTAATTAATTATTCATGAGCACTTCCCCCTTCACCCGCTCTGGTACGTGACGTCAAAACTAATTAATTATTCATGAACACCCTCTTCGTCCACGTGACGTCTAACCTGATTAATTATTCATGAACCTCCCCCTTCGTCCACGTGACGTTAAACACAATTAATTATTCATGAGCCTTTCGAGATTTGAAGCTTTCGTGACTGCAAGGATTCATATTCTTAGGTTTTTTCGGTAAAGTCACGTAGGTAAAACATTAAAATTAATAAAAGTGAAACGTCGTGATTTTTATTTTACTTTTATTAATTAAATTTTTTTACCTACGTGACTTTACCGAAAAAAACCTAAGAAAATGAATATTCATGAGCCTCCCCCCCCCCTCTTATAGGTGACGTCTTCACATGATTAATTATTCATGAGCTCCCGGGAATATGCCGTACTGTTCCGGATTATAAGACGCACCTTCCCACCCCCAATCTTAAAGAGGTAAAGCAGCGGGGGTGGGTTTTATAAACATATGAATATCTTTACACAGATGTGTGTAACTTCTTATGACACCGGTCACAAGGTTTAGGGTGCATCTTGTTTTCCCAAAGCGTCCTGTAATGTGGATCATACGGTATATACATGTAATGCAGACATCATACATTTTAAGTATTTATGATTTTCGTGTCTGATTTTTGATTATCAACACACGGGTGGCTGATTAATTATTCATTAGGAACTTCCGCTCATAAATATTCATGAGCTGATGACTCATCCGACACTTTCCAATGAAAACGAAACTTGGTGAAATGGCATTGTATACACGCTGTTAGTCGAAGTTTGCTTTCACAAAAATGACCGTGCGTGCGGCTTTAACCTTTACGCGCGCTCAGTTTACAGCTCCACACTCAGATCTGAACAAAGTTCTTAAACACACGCAGCGGACTATGTTTCGTTCCCACTTTTTTTGTTCTCGTATCGCTCCGCGCACGCTCCAAGTAAAATGTAGAAAGTAGTCCGCCGCCCGACAACGCGTCACTGCTCGCTATGACGTCATCGTGAACATGACGCAATGTATCTTCGATCCAAAACGAGGGCACACATTGGCGTTGGCATTCCTCGAACACACTGGGGGTAACCAAGGCCGTAGCCATGGAGTCAACATTGGGGGGCACCAAATCTTCCAGGGGGAATGGGGGTCCCCCCCACCAGAAAAAAATCTAAATTTAAAAACGAATTTCCTGCATAAAATATTTTAAAAAATTCACTAACACATAGGATGGACTTTTTATTTATGTTTTACAATAATGTCTAATAGTGTATTGTATTACATTGCTCTGTTTTTTTTCTTTTTGACCTTTTCTTATTTCATTGTATGTAATGGCAGAGATTAGGGATTAATAAAGTACAACCATAACCACAATCATATAAACAGAAATCTATTTCATAGAAATATATATTATAATTACGGCCTTGGGGTAACCATACACCGCAGCAATCAGACGTGTTCATACATGGAAAATTAAAGATAAGTCACAACAGCGCGGCTGCGGCAATGCAACCCAAACTATGCTCCATAACCCACTGTTGCTAGTGTGCCCTCCTTCAATGAACTCTCACCTGAAGCCCTCCTGGCTAGCAGACCTTGGCAATTGCCATTTAGCCCCTAAACGTATTGCCACCCACAAGAGTCGAAGAGAATTTTCCAATTGGCTGCTTGCTGTGTCACTTGTCTCTCTATCCGTTATCACATCTCCACGTCCACCACCAGGTCCACTGATCCTCATATTGAGCAACATTGCTGCGCCTGGTGTGGTGCCAATAATCAAGTTGCTCACGAACAACACCTGTACAGGGCTTGCCCCAACGGTCCGCTAAAAAGGCTACGGCGGGGCATCTTTGTTTTTTGTCCACCAGATGGAGGTGGTGGTGGTGTGGTGGGGGTGGTGGTGTGGTGGGGGGTGGTGGGGATGGTGTAGGGGTGGTGGTGTTGGGGTGGTGGTGTGGTGGGGGTGGTGTGAGTAGGGGTGGTGTAGGTAGGGGGTGGTGATGGGGGGGTGGTGGTGGGGGGTGTAGTTGGGGGTGGTGGTGGGGGGTGGTGGTGTAGGTGGGGGGGGGGGATGGAGTAGGTAGGGATGGTGTAGGGGTGGTGGTGTGGTGGGGGTGGTGTGGGTAGGGGTGGTGTAGGTGGGGGGGTGGTGATGGGGGGGTGGTGGAGGTGGGGGGTGGTGGGGGGGTGGTGGTGTAGGTGGGGGGGTGTAGGTGGGGGGGTGAAGTGAACGTCCCAACTCCAACCCCCCCCAACTCCAACCCCCACCAACTCCAGCCCCTTCTCGACCTCTAATTGGCCCGTCCTTTGTCACGTGCCGACAAGTTTGAGCCAATCACGTGGCTCGTTGCTGTTGTAGTGGGAGGAGCTGTGTGTGGGGGGGGGGGTCCATGGCACCGCGGGACGCAGAGCGGACGAAGTCGCCGCCTCCACTGCCGCCTCCTCAGGTGCCGCTGTTGTTATCGCCGCGGCTTTTGTCGCTGCCGCGGTCGTTATCGCTGTGGTCGCCGTCGGCGGCGGTGGTTGTCGTCGTCGTCGCCGCTGCGAGCGACGCGGAGATATTGAGGCGCGGGGACCTGCGAGCGGCAAGGCCGGCTCCCAAGGCGCGCTCGGCTAGGAAGGGCCCAAAGGCCTCCATCGCAGCGGCTCACGTGGTGGTGTGTGGTGGTGTGTGTGGTGATGTGGTGTGTGTGTGTGGTGTGTGGTGATGTGTGGTGATGTGGTGATGTGTGGCGTGTGTGTGGTGATGTGTGTGGTGATGTGTGGTGTGTGTGTGTGGTGTGTGTGTGGTGGTGTGTGTGTGGTGATGTGTGTGTGGTGATGTGTGGTGTGTGTGTGGTGGTGTGTGGTGATGTGTGGTGGTGATGTGTGTGGTGGTGTGTGGCGTGTGGTGGTGTGTGTGGCGTGTGGTGGGGTGTGGTGGTGTGTGGTGTGGTGATGTGTGTAGTGATGTGTGGTGTGGCGTGGTGATGTGGTGATGTGTGGCGTGTGTGTGGTGATGTGTGTGTGGTGTGTGTGGTGGTGATTTGTGTATGGTGTGGGCGGGTGAGTGTGGTGTGTGTGGGCGCGTGTGTATGTGTGGTGTGTGTGTTTGCGGGTCTATCATTCGGGTCATAGGGTTTGCGTGTCTGTCACGCCCGTGCATGTTGTGTGTATATCAGAAGGCATGTGGTGACCGGTTAGCGCGCCACGCTACGAACCCGGCCACCCAAGTTCGATTCCCGATTACAGCCACCAGCACCAGCGACGATTATCTGAACTGGTACTGGGCCTCTCCTAGGTCGACTCAGACTCAAAATGAGTACCTGGTGCGGTGAGTAAACAACGCCACTCAGGAGTTGAGGGCGGCCGGGCGTGGTGCTGGCCACCCGCCCCATCGTGTGCCGTGCCGACCTTCATAGGTGCTCGTTAACAGCACTTTCCCCAACAGGTTATACGGGGGATCTTTGTATCAGAAGGTATCTTTCACAGGGTGTGTACGTTGTGTGTGAGTCTGTCACAAAGTCTGCGTGGCATCGTCCCTTCTTTAGACGCCGAGGGAAAATGGGCGAGTTTCAAGATAGCGATTCGTGCAGCTGCTATGGCTGATATGATACCATCAATAAGCGAGAAGCTCTGCTTTTGTCCCAGACCACCTGCTCACAATCATTCAGGACCTCATGATGGCAGCTAAAACGCAGATAATTGGCACAGTGAGGAACACCGTTGGTGCATCTACCAGCCATCTCAGTCAACCAATAGCACCTGGGTCTGTTCCGTGACCTTTCAGCGGGCTTTGGACACTTCACGTGGCCTCAGAGTGCACCTAGCATGGCACAAGCCAAATGGTGGCGTCACCACCCGCCACTTAGTGGTGAACGGCGGTTGTTGTGTGGGAAGGGTGATTCCAGGGGTGTGTGTGTGGGGTGAACGCATGGTGTGCAGGGTTTGTGCAGCATGCGCAAAGTCTGATGTGTAGTATGTGAATCTGTGATGGGAATAGGTGCACCTAGCCTGGCACAAGCAACGTGGGGATGTCACTACCGCTCGGTGGCGAATCACGAATGTTGTTGTTGTTGCTAGTGCGTGACGTGTGCTCATTGGTGCAATGGGTACATGGTGTGTTAGTGTATGTACTTGGTGTGTAGGGCATGTGTACATGGCATGATGTGTGTGTGTGTCTGGTTTGTCCACTTTGTGTGTGGAGTTTGTACGTGGAGTGTGCACATACCTGTCAACCCCTTATCAGTGCCTACTTTATTACAGACCAATTCAGACAGTATTGGTCACTCCGTGCCCTTATACATCTCAACGTTCATCCTACAAAGTCCCATCACAAGGGAGAAACACAAACAAAGACAACACATGTTTTGCCCGTATTGAAACAGCTGTACGCCATATGTGTGTGGTGTCGACGTGGTGTAAATGTGACGTGTGTGTATACATGTGCCGTTAGGTTTACACGTGTGCAATGCGTGTACACGTGTGTCCACATGCATGTATGTATATTGTGTATGGTTGGTGTATGTGTGGAGAGTAGTTGAGCTGGCCATCCACCCCCTTCTGTGCCGTGCCGGCCATTATAGGTGTTCGCTAACAGCACTTGCCCGAACAGTCTGTTAAGGTTGAATGTGGTATCTTTGTGTGTATATGCGGTGTGTCGTGTGAGAACGTATTGTTGGGTGTGTGTGTGTGTTGCATCCGATGCATGCACATGATGTGTCGTGTGTATGTGTGTACACGTTAACCCTGCCATAGATATGTGGAATTTCCACCACTGGTTTAGCGGATAAGTACTTGGATACGTTTGACTTTGCTCGTTTGTGATTGTCATTACAGTGGTGCAAGAAGCCAACAATACATTTGCAACTGAACTCTTGCGGGCAAGAGCCAGTTCCTTGAGCAGCAGAAGAAATGTTCCAGGATGAACGGGAGAGGAGATAACAGCGTTCTTCATCTACCCTCTCTGAGTCTCAAGACTCGTTCTCACGAGGGTCCTGCATGTGGGAATTCAACCTGGGTGCCAGGAGAGAACCCACACCTGCAGGTGGCCAAGGGGACGATGGTCAATGCCCCGCTGTGCAGATAGATAGTCAGCACCAAACCTACTTCCTGTACTGCGGCTTCAACACTGAAACAACCCGAAATCATGTGGACGATGGATGTGACACGGCTGGGAAACCGCCGCCCGTAATTACCTCGCCGAAAATGTTGACTGCATTGTCAACCTCTCCTTGTCCTCCGACATCACCGTCATCGTCACTTTCGTCATCGTCGTCGCTGTTGAGCGATCCCAATTCCGGCCGTGTCTTGCAGCAGCTGGCGGTGCCACTGTGTGCGTCGGCTGCCGGAAATTCGCCACCACCATTGTTGCAGGCAGAGGAGGCCGCGTCCCAGGTTGCGGAGAAGTATGGTCGCCCGGATCTGGGGCAGAGGCGTCCGTGCCTGAAGCGAAGGCCAGGGGCAGCGAGGCGGTTGAATCGATTCCAGCGGCTGCGGTTGGTTTGGTCGCCGGAAATCTTGCGGTTGTTCCACCCCTTGTTGTTTGGCGGTTGTTGGGTGGGGAGGTGTGGTGCAAAGCCACGGTGTGGGGGTGGAATGAGATCAGGCGATGGGAAGAGGAAGAATGAACGGGGAGGGAGGAAGATGAAGGAGGAAGGGAAGGGAAGGTGCAAGCGTAGTCGGGGGAAAGGTAGTGGTAGGGATGAGACAGGAGGGGTAGGGGGGAGCAGAGGAAGGGAAAGTGGAGGGGAGAGGTGGAGGGAGAGAGGAAATGGAGGGAGAAAAGGAAGAGAGAGCTGTAGGCGGACAGATCAAGGGACAGAAAATAGAGATAGAGATCGGTGTAGAGATGGAGATAGGGGAGGAGGGTGGTGGAGAGATGCAGAGGGAGATGAACGGAGGGATTCGGGTAGAGACAGGGAGAGATGGGGAGAGAGTCGTAAAGAGAGGGACAGAAAGAGATGGGACGAGAGAGACAGAACGAAGGACAGAAGGGAAGACAGGGGGAGACACGACGAGAGACACAGGAAGAGGGACCGAGACTGGGACCGAGACAAGGACAGGAGGTGCGACCGAGAGAGACACCGGGACAGAGAGAGGTACAGGGAAGGGAGACACGGGGAGAGAGATAAAGACAGATGGAGGGACAGAGACAAGGGGAGAGACAAGAACAGGGGGAGAGACGGAGACAGGGGGAGAGATGGAGACAGGGATAAGGAGGAGAAGGGTGCTTGGCCAAGCAAGAGGCGGCGAGATGAGCTGGAAGTTGGCACTGGGAAGACACGAGGTCAAGAGACTGCTTCAGCAGACACGAATACTGTCGACGCAGAGATGAAGAAAGTCACAAACACCAGAGACACAAAGACGGACAGGAGCAAGGGAACAAAGGAGGACAATGAGGGAAAGGAAGATGCGGGTAGCTCAGAGGAGCGCGCCAGAGGGGAGGAGGAGAGGCACACGGGGAGGGCCTCGCTTCAGCCAAAGACAGGAATGATGGGGAGCGGCGGCGATGAAAAATCTGATGGAGTTTGTGAATCTGAAACAATTAGTAAGAACCGTACAGAGGAATTGAGAGCGTTAAAAAATTCTGGAGGGACTACAATTAGTATGATTTGTAGTGACAATGGAGGAAAGTCGACAACGAGCATTGATGAAGGTGGTAGACTGTTGGGAGCGATTGGAAACGATGTTGAGAGTCGATCGGGAACCGTCGTGAATAATGGAAATCAAGGTTTGGGAATCTTTTGCAAATCTGATGAACAGGAATCTGGGATAGTTGGGAATGATGGTACGGGGAAATTGGTGATGATGCAAAGCTTTGGACACCTGGAATTGAAACCAATCAGGAAAGACGATGGTATATCAAAAGCGATCAGGACCGTTGACAAGGGTGAATGTGGAACAACCGGGACCAATCAAATAAAACAAGGAAGGATCGGGAAGAGCGACTCGGGTAAAATCGTAAGACTCGGGAACGCCCGAGTTTGGAAAATCGGACTTACTGTAGGTCGGGAAGTGGACGTTGATGCTGCCACTAATTCCGCTGGACAAGACCCAATGAGGAACGGCGGTGGCAACAAAATCTATGTGGACAGCGAGGATGACGACGACGGAGTTGGCGACAGGCAGCGCGACGTCGTTGTCACTTACAAGAAGAACATGCTGACCAGAGAGGATCTGATGTGTCTGCAGGGGAGTGCGTGGCTCAATGATCAGGTGCCTGCTGCCGGGCTGTGTGCCGTCGTGTGTGTGTGTGCGCGCGCACCGAATGCATCTGCCAGCCATCTCAATCAACCCATGGCACCTGGGTCTGTTCCGTGACCTGCCAGCAGCGGGCCTTCGACATTTCACGTGGCCTCAAAGTGCACCCAGCATGGCACAAGCGCCATGGTGATGTCACGACCACTTAGTGGTGAACGAGGGTTGCTGTTGTTGCATCATAGCTCTCCAAAAGCATTTTCCCCAATGGGCTATGAGACTAAGGGATACGCGTGTGTGTCCACATTGGTGTGTGTGTGTGCGCGTTCATGGGGAGCGGTGGCAAGTGATGTTAGTGCACTGCGCTACAAACCCGGAGACCCGAATTCGATTCCCGTTCATTGCTAATATCGGTGATGACTATCTGAATCGGTTCTGGGCCTCGCCTGGGTCTACACAGCCTTAGAAACGAGTACTTGGTGCAATGTATAAAACATCACCACTTGGGAGACAAAGGGTGGCCGGGTGTGGGGCAAACCACACCACCCCCTCGTGTGTTGTGATGGCCTTCATAGGTGCTCGCTATAACAGCACTTGCACAGTCTGTTAAGTCTACAGGGGGGGGGGTGATCTTCATCTTCGTGTGGGTCTCTGTGTGTGCCTGTGCGTGTAAACTGCCCAGGCAGCTCACGATCACAAATCGCCTTTTTTTTAATACTGTCAGGAAATCGCATACAGCACAACCCGGATAGGTGATGGGAGGGACTTGATGACATCATCAGCGCGTCACACTGGGCGTGGCTTGTAGGGGGTTTCCTGCCTTCGGGAGGTAGGATGTGGGGATGGCTGTCATTTTTTAAGGGGTCTGAGTAATTGACCATACACAAGGAATCGGTTATAAAATATGTAAGTTTATTAATCGACTTGGTAATCGAATCGTTCCAGCTTTAGTGCTCGTGCATATAATACATACCACAAAATAATCATTACTACCATTGCGTTAGTTTCAGCATTTATTGTCTCAAACCGACGCTGTTGAACTGCCAGATATTTGCAGGCAAGAATCCTGTTATTTACGGGTCCTCGTTCTATGCAAAACTATGGAATACTTGACAAAAACTAATCGTTAGCTTTGCAGAGCTGAAAACCATTCTGATGTTTGAACCAATGCTGCTGAAACAACAATCACACCCAGTCTGTGAGATGTGTAAAACAAATATATTTGTTTTTGTTAAGCGGAGAGGGGTGAAGGAGGCTTGTATCGTCTCGTCATCTATTCACATATATGTTTATTTCCCGGTGCGCAGGTGATCAATGTATACGGGGAGATGCTGGCAGACCTTAAACCAGATGAGGTAAGGATCCATTTTTAATGTATGTACGTTGAACTTCTTTCGCACCATACGTAGCCAACCGTCCTAAATCGGCGGTGCGCAGGGAAGGACAACTAAATACAAAAAGCAGTTCTAAAGAAATGAGCTTTCAATCTAGATGATGATTTAAAAGTGCATAGCTCCAGTGGCTTCCTAATATCGGAAGGAACAGCGTTCCAGACGGTCGCAGAAGTGCATCTGAAAGCGCACGACACGGTGACCGTCTTTGTTCGATGGCGAGCCGAAAGCCGCTACTACAAGGATGACCGGAGTTCACGTGATCGTTGATGCTCCTTAACGAGGTCGGCAAGGTATTGTGGTTCATTTGCGCCAAGCATTTTGTGTGTAATGTGACCTTATACTGCATTCGTTCGGCAACCGCAAGCCAATGCAGCTCGGTGAGCACTCAACGGACGCGGTCGGATCTTGCTGTACCCGTCACAGAAACTCCTGGCGTCTCTCAAACCTCCCGCCCCTCGTCTCTCTGCTTCTCCCCCAGGTCTACTTTTTCACCAGCTTCTTCTACAGCCACCTCAAACGTCGCGGCTACGACGGCGTGAAGCGATGGACCAAGAAGGTACGGAGCTCGGGAATTAAACACCATCATCACTGTTGCCATCGTTGCTCGTATAAACATGGCCATCGCCATCACTGCCTGCATCACTGGCATTGGCACCATCATCATCAGAAGTATTAACATCATCAGTCTTCATCAAAGTATCAACATCATCACAGTCTTCATCACTGGTATCATCATCAGAAGTATCAACATCATCATCTTCATCACTGGTATCATCAGAAGTATCAACGTCATCATCGTCTTCATCACTGGTATCATCAGAAGTATCAACATCATCACAGTCTTCATCACTGGTATCATCATCAGAAGTATCAACATCATCACAGTCTTCATCACTGGTATCATCAGAAGTATCAACATCATCATCTTCATCACTGGTATCATCAGAAGTATCAACATCATCGTCTTCATGACTGATATCGTCAGCGCCGTCGTCACTGGTAGAGGGTGGCAGCGTCTCTGCGTGTGAGTAGCTCTGGACGGTGTCTCTGTGTGTGAGTAGCTCTGGACGGTGTCTCTGTGTGTGAGTAGCTCTGGGCGGTGTCTCTGCGTGTGTGTAGCGGTGTCTCTGTGTGTGTAGCGGTGTCTCTGTGTGTGTGTAGCGGTGTCTCTGCGTGTGAGTAACTCTCGGCTCTGTCTCTGTGTGTGTAGCGGTGTCTCTGTGTGAGTAACTCTGGGCTCTGTCTCTGCATGTGTGTAGGTGTCTCTGTGTGTGTGTAGCTCTGGGCGGTGTCTCTGCGTGTGAGTAACTCTGGGCTCTGTCTCTGCGTGTGTGTAGGTGTCTCTGTGTGTGTGTAGCTCTGGGCGGTGTCTCTGCGTGTGAGTAACTCTCGGCTCTGTCTCTGCGTGTGTGTAGGTGTCTCTGTGTGTGTGTAGCTCTGGGCGGTGTCTCTGCGTGTGAGTAACTCTCGGCTCTGTGTCTCTGCGTGTGTGTAGGTGTCTCTGTGTGTGTAGCGGTGTCTCTGCGTGTGAGTAACTCTCGGCTCTGTCTCTGTGTGTGTAGCGGTGTCTCTGCGTGTGAGTAACTCTCGGCTCTGTGTCTCTGCGTGTGTGTAGGTGTCTGTGTTCTCGCGCCGTCTGCTCCTCCTGCCCCTGCACCTGGGCCTGCACTGGGCGCTTGGCGTCGTGCGGCTCCAAACGCACGAAATCTCACTCTGTGACTCGGCCCCAAGCCCGGCAACCACCGCCTGCCTCACGGTAACCACGGCAACCACCGCCTTCCTCACGGCAACAACCTAGCATAACCATGGCAACAACTGCTCGCCTCACGGTAACCACGGCAACTACCGCATATCGTGACCATGGCAACCATTGCCTCGCATAACCTCTGCCGAGCGTAACCGCGGCATCTATAGCCTGCCTCAGTAACCACGGCAACCACTGCCTGCCTCATGGTATCCACAGCAACCACTGCCCAGCTTGACCACGGTAACTAGCTGAGGTAACCACACTTACGAGTCATGAATATAGGTGCAGGAATCCATACTCTTTGGTTCTTTCGGTAAAGTCACGTAGGTAGAAAATACATCACGACGCTTCTGGCTGTATTGTTTCACCCGAAGACTTGTGTTGTGTTGCTATCGAAACGTCGTGATTTATTAGTTAGTTTTCCTATCTACGTGACTTTACCGAAAGAACCAAAGAGCATTAATATCGGCTTCTCCAAAAGGCTCCCTCCGCTCGCTGCCCTGTGCTCATTGCTGACAACATCCAACGAGTCCAAAAATCAATCTGCCTCGAGCATTGTGCAAAATCCATCAACAGTTCCTGAAGAAATAGATGGCGGTGGCCGCCACCTCTTGCCTCGGTCACCAAACAAACGTTAGCAGATGCAGCGAGATCGACGAATCGTGGGCCGGCTTCGTCCTTATTAGGACTCATCGATAAAGCGTTGTCCCCAACTGTTAGTGACCCGCGCTCGTTGTGTGTCACTTTCACAGATCATGTCCCGGTATCTCACCGAGGAGGCCAAGGCGCGAGATCGCCCCGACCTCAAGGTGCCCTGGAGCATCCACCTCCCCAAGGTGAGAGCTTCCTGCTGCTACCACCCGGGGCTTCTCTCTGATCCTCCTTGCTGCTACGTTCATCTCTATGCTTCTATCTGCTTCTGTGTTTCTCCGCAACTCCCCATGCTGTCCTCTGTGCTTTCTGAGGTGAGTGGATCTCGGTGAGTCTGTGGGTCTCTGTGTGCACGTGCAGTCAATGACGACTTGGCCGAGAACCGGATTTGAAGCCAGGGCCTCCATGGTGTCAGCTTGGCCCTCTGACCTCTGAGCCACCCAGTCACCTCCCATCATCATTCATAGTTTCAACAGAATTAATCGGACCAATTCTGTTTCGACCGCTTCGGGTGTGCTTGCTGCCTTGTGTCGTGCTCGTTTTGCAGCGCAGACTTAAATAACAGGCGGTGATGGTGATGGTTAAAGAGTAAGACTAATCGTTGTTTTATATTTGCAGAATTTACCGCGGCAAATGAATGGAAACGACTGCGGTGTCTTCGTGCTGGAGGTGAGCGGAGTCATTCGCCCCCCCGTGTAAAGGCGCGAGCTCGCTCATCCACACATTGATTCATTTGCTTAATCACTTGGTCACCTACTTAAGTGAGAACTCGCCCACTTACTCGCTCCCTCGGTTAAGTCTCTGAATAATCACTCCCTCACTCACATTGGTCAGAGGTGCGACCACTCACCCATGCATTTGGTCACCCACCTACCCGTACAATTGCTAATTCACTCACCTACCCACTCACTCGCGAACCCGCTCGCTCGCTCACTCATCCATTCACTTGATCGCTCGCTAGCCAACTCATTAGCACACTCGCCCATGAACTCGCCTACCTACCAATTCAGTCGCCCACACTCTCACGCAGTGACTCGCTCACTCATCAATTCACTTGATCGCTCGCTAGCCAACTCATTAGCACACTCGCCCATGAACTCACCTACCTACCAATAGTCGCCCACACTCTCACGCAGTAACTCGCTCGCTCATCAATTCACTTGATCGCTCGCTAGCCAACTCATGTGCACACTCGCCCATGAACTCGCCTACCTACCAATTCAGTCGCCCACACTCTCACGCAGTGACTCGCTCACTCATCCACCCTCTCGGCAAGGTGCGTTATGAGTATTTTGCTGCGATAAAATGTCCAAATGGTAAGCTGCTACTTCATTGGGCTATCATTCTGCCCAGGTCGCTTCTACAAAAAGAGCTATATATAGCTCGGTTGGCCTTGCCTGTAAAATAAAAAGTTTTATTCGTATCCCCTTGCTCACGGATTAACCACACTGCCCAGCACTCAAACACCTACCCACTCGGCTAATTACGTCCCTCACTCACGCGTTTACCACACCACCTGACACTCAAAACACCCGCCCACCCAATCACAATGTCGCTCACTCGCGCGTTCCCCACACTACACGGCATTGTGGATACCTTGCACGTATTTTTGCGGCTCTGCTAGCAACACTTTAGTTGCAACACACTACGGCGGGTTAACGTGCAGGACATTGATGGCGCGTGTCTGTGTGTCCGTGCGTGTGTGTCTGTGCGTGCAGTACTGCCGCTGTCTGGTGTTAGATCGCCCATTCTCCTTCTCCCAGGCTGACATTCCCCGCATCCGGAGGAGAATTCTCAATGAAATTCAAGAGGGCGTTATCGCTGTGGACAAGTGAAGACTTTGCCCTCATTCCTCCACGTCATGCCCATCCGCTCACCTCTCACCTCATTCTCCCTTGACCTACCACCGCCTTCAACATCGTCACAAACTAGTTAATGTTCCACCTTGTTCAGTCATCCCCATCAACTCCTCTTCCCGCTCATCCCCATCAACTCCTCTTCCCGCTCATCCCCTCCCATAATTCTGCATCAACAACGAAGCTTTCATCTCATCTCTCACCATCCCCCTCATCTCCTTTGTCATCCTCTCATCTTCACGTAACTCTCTCCAACATCCACGTTTATAATCGGTCGCTGGACTGAGGCTGCCCAGCGGGGAGTTCCAGACGGGCGGTCAAAACGATGAAAGGAATAACTTATTTTTGTCTTAACGCGAAAATGATCGTTTCTCTTTAATGTATTTTTTCAAAAGGAGTGTGTCAAGATTGCAGAAATTATTCTGCTGCTGAAAAAGTGTAAAATTACACTGGAAATACTTCTTTGTGAAGCGCAGGGGTGGGTGGGACAGTGTGGCGGCCTCCAATGGGTGGGCCAGATTCACTTGAAGAGATGTAGCTCTGTGTTATCCTCTTTGGTGGGCCGTTCTGCTCACAGGAAGGAAAAAATTAACCCGTAAAAACAAAGTTTTTCACTCTAAATCCTTTATATGCGTGGCGGCTAGAGTCCTCTCGTCCTCTGGCTTGAGATGGCTGCCACCTATGGGTCAGATGATTGTCTGGTAGCATTAAGCAATTGGTAATTAAATATTTACATTTTTTCCCCTAAACCGTGTAAAATTTAGGAATTTTTTTCACGAAAATTAATTGTCACGCACAACGAGTCTGTGCAAAATGTCAGCTCGATTGGATCACGGGAAGTGGGTTAAAAAACGACCGAAAGATTTGCACGGTAGCAAGCAAGCACGCAAGCAAGCAAGCGAACTTAATATAAAGGATTTTTAAAAAAACCCTATTATGCGACATTTCCAAATGAATTCTTCATCGTGACATCACACCAGTCGGGGTAAAATGTGTTTAAAAAAATGCCACGATCAATCTGTACTTAAACCAAATTGGTGTAAATGTGCATTTAGAGATGGTGTTTTTGAATCGAAGCCCACTACACGTTGATTTGTTGATTAATCCACGAAATGCTCTGGCAAAATAATGGCTGGCTAGACAAAAGTGAAAATATTGAGACTCAGCGAGGCTCTGTTGGACAAATAAAGGTCGTTTTATTTATTATTGTGGATGGTTTTTAATCGTAAGGCAGTTTGTGTCGTGCGCAGCAAGTGTAACAGTTCCAACTTAACTTGGTCACACATCACCTTTGCTGATCCAGTGTTGGGTGAAAGCCCTCTCCCAAACAAGTGTCTGTCAAGGGTGGTTTTTGACCATACTTTACCACACTGATCATTGCGGGTTTGGTCATAGAGGGCTCAGGGCCCGCTTGTGATGTCACTTGCTACTGATTTTGGCCGCGTAGGGGTATAAATACAGTGGTCGCGGAGTTCATATGGCAGTGCAATAAAATCCAATGCCACTATTCTCCCCTCCCCCTTGAAACACATTTTCTGGAAAACCAGATTGTGGGTTATGAAGTTGTTTTTCAGGACACCGCTCAATTTTACCTCCCCGGGGTATTCGCACAAGTGTTTATAACAGGACCAATAAAAATGCAGAAACTTTAAAAGCAATGGCTGATGGCGAAAAAGTGCATTAATCCCTGCAAAGTTGGCATTCAGTGGCGGATGGTGGATTGTGCATGACAATCGTGATAACCGCCAGAATCAAAACAAGTTAACGCCACCTCTGTCGGCGCCTGGATTAAAGTCATGATTCGGATTTGCAAGTGGATGGAAAAATCCATTCCTGCCTGCTACAGCAGCTGTGCTCGCCCCTCATTAGCCTCAACACAACATGACCATCTCGTCTGCATTCACAGTAATGTCACGATTATCCGAGGCAATTGCTTGAAGGGGTGGTGTGGATAACAAAAACACGGATAGTGCAAAACGTGGAGATGCGGCTATAAAAACGGATTGATAGTTTAGCCCCGTAGAATGCGCGGGTGGAGATGAAGAAAACATCGTCTGGTTTTACTGCTGCGTAAAGTAATCGTTTTACTTGCCAACGAGTTCGTAGTCCCGTTGACGCTCCCTCGACGAGTAAGGAGCAGCGAACAGAACCGACACGCGCAACGATTTACTTTGCACAGCCAATCTGTAACCCGCGTATCGGTTAACCGTGCAATTAGCCGTGTCGTCAACGCGAGTCATTTTAAGCCGTGAATTCGACGCATCGCTGCGCCATGTAACAATTCCATCTCGCACCCGGACTGCCTGTGCACGCACGCTGGGAATCTCCACGAAAACCAAGGCCCCGTAAGGAATTCAAACAAGGACTTAAAATCATGGAGATATGATAAAGGAAATGTAACCTGTGCCAGAGGTTGCAACCAGGTACCCAATACCCGTACCCGGCCGGGTAAGGGTACCCGTTTGCGACCCTGGTACGGCCGGGTACGGGCACCCATTTGCGACCCTTATGCGGCCGGGTACGGAATCAAAACCCGTTTGCGACCTCTGACCTGTGCCCCCTGCTGCACACAGCAATTGCTGCCACCAAACATTTTCACAGGCACCAATAATGCCACCCAAACCCCCTCTGCGTGAACACTGGCTTTTCAAGCTGTGCGTTGTTCCCATTGGGGCGTGGGGAGGACGAGGAGGAACCAGGCACAGGGGAATCGCGAGTGGGGGATGTCCGTCTGGTCGCTGGGCAAGTTCCTGAAACAAAAAAAACGTACGCATCAAATCTGTAAGAAAAACCCCATCGCCAATGATCATAACAATAACTGTTGGGTCCTGATTAGGATGGAAACCGGTCCACAGTTCATGATCGCTGCATCAGTCACGTTTGGTGATCACATTTATCTTGATGGCTGATCAAAGACAGGACCACAATGCATTTCAGTAAATGCTGATGTTTTTTTTTGTATATGCACAGTGGCTGTGTGCGTTTTCCCCATTTTGTATTGTCTCAAAGACAAAGATCCCCCGTATAGCCTTTAACAGACTTGGGGCACGTGCTGTTAGCAAGCACTTATGAAACGACACATGAGGGGGTGGGTGGCCAACACCATGCCCGGCTGCCTTTGTCTCGCTCATGACGATGTTTACACAATGCAACTGGTATTCATTTGAGGCTGAGTCGACCTGGGGGAGGCCAGGCCAGGTTCAGATAATCATCACTAGTGTTGGCCGTGAACACGAATCGAACCCGGGTCGCCGGGTTTGTAGCATAGCGCGCGAACCGCTACACTCCCGCACCAATACCCACCATTCCCCAATAAGTGACGATGACATCACCACAGAGCCTGTGCCAGGCCAGGTGCGCTTTGAGGCCACTACCGCTCCACCCAGACACGCACAATTTTAATGATGAACTCTGCAAGTTAACTATGGTGAGATTGGCCCTGTCATGATAATGTGTAATTCCCACCGCTGGTTCAGTGGCATGAGTGAAGGGGGTTGGGGGTTGCTTTATACCAGTCACTGTGGGCCACTCCTGGGGCTCTGTTCATCTCCTTGTGGCGACTTGCCTGGCCTCTGCTGCACAAACACAGATACGTACGATTACACACACACACATGAGTATCGTATACAAGCAGCCCCGACTTACGAACCATCGTACTTATGAACCAGATTCTATGAAATAAGTTTTTTTTTACACGAACTGTCACTTGCAAATTGAACCGCATAACAATTTTTGTTCAGCTGAGATATCCTCCGCGAGATATCAAGAATCAGCCTCGTGCTGGGTGTGTGGGCATTTAAACAGAGCGCATTATTGTTGTGTCCCGACTTACGGCCACCGTTCGACTTACGAACGGATCTCTGGAACGAATTACGCTCGTCAGTCGTACGACTGCCCGTACTGTGTACAGGGTGTGGAAATGTCGACACTATTTCGTCAACGAAGTGATTGTGACGTCACATCGGCGGTTGTGCCAGACTAGGTGCCTTCCGACTCAAGAGAGCAGTGTCGGAATGTTCGCTCGCAGGTCACGGACGAGACGCCGTGGTGTTCAGAGTAACTTATTGTACCTTGAAGTAAGTAATATTTAAAAAAAAAATTAAACACGCTTTAATGAAATGTGCCCTAAGAGTAATGGAAGAACTCCACGACTCCAGGAAGTGGCCCCGAAGCTTGCCACAACGACAGGGACCGTGGCCAATTACAGCCAACGTTAGTTGAGCGTGCACAACAAAAGGGCTGGAAATTATACTGGTAGGAACCTCCAGGTTACACCAGCCCACAGGGGATTATTGTGTCCGTCCGTCGTGCAGGGAGGGGCTGGGTGGGGAGGGAGGGGCTCGGTGGGGAGTGTAGGGAGGGGCTGGGTGGGGAGTGTAGGGAGGGGCTGGGTGGGGAGGGGAGGGTGGGTAGGGGCTGGGTGGGAAGGGGCTGGGTGGGGAGGGGCTGGGTGGGGAGGGTGCGGCTGGGTGGGGCTGGGTGGGGAGGGGCTGGTCACCCCGTGGTGCCCTTATAAAACTCAACGTTTCACCTACTCACGCCGGCTTGTGCCCGCCCTCACAGTCGGGCATATTTGCGGAATACACCACGCCGCCGTTGACCCTGCAGGCCATTGACCGAGCAACCCGACGTTCCTACCAGCTCCCTCCGCAGGAGGAATGTGTTTCAGGTCGGCACGAGAGGGTGGGTCAACAAGGCCACGTGCCCGGTCGCCTTCGTGACATGTACACACCGCACCGGGAACTAAATCAAGGTTGGGGAGGCCCTCGTCAGCCTCAGATATTCGTCGCCGGTGATTGTAGCGCAAGTGCGCTCACCACGACACTACGGCTCCCCCCACATGCGTGCAGACACATACACACACAACAATTGTACGAAACTATATTGTTTTACTTTACCAGAAGCAACCAGGCCACGCATGATAGCTCCACGAAGTGGCTTATCGTGTGGACATTTCGAGCAGCCAAATACTTTAAAACGCGTGTTGATGTTGATTCTAAACGTGGAGGGGAAAACCCGGAGGACCCGGTGAGAAAACTCCACGCGACCACGGGGAGAGAGAGAGACACGCAAACTCCAAATATGCATCAGTAGGCGTCAGGGTCGGGATCTAACCCACGACCTCCTGTGCACCAGGCGAGGTAGTTAACATCTCCTAGCCACCTTGATGATGATGATGAGACACGCAAACTCCAAATACACAGCAGCAGGCGTCAGGGTCGGGATCTAACCCACGACCTCCTGTAGACCAGGCGAGGTAGTTAACATCTCCTAGCCACAGTGACGCCCCTGTACAACAACAACACGTTACAACACACACGGCAACAGGTACCTGCTGCTGCTCCTGCTGCTGTTGCTGCTGTTGCCCACCGCCCAAGGCTGCTGCCCTGACCGCGTCCCGGATCGCGTCCTGGGCTCGCGTGATGGAGGCCACGGTGAGCTGCGCGGCGCGCCGCATGAGCCGCGTCTCCGAGAGCCTCTCGATGAGCTGCTGCGAGTTGAGAAGCCTCGCCAACAACGAGCGCAGCACCATGGCCTCCTCCTCCTCCTTACACCAACACCCAACACCACACACACTAACCCTCACGCGTGACAACCACTGCCGCTGACAACATCGCTCGCTCGCTCGCTCGCAACTCGCCACCGCTGCTGATGTGTTGGAGGTTGTTGGAGGAAGTGAGCTTGCGACTGTGGCTAACAGGCGGGTGTGCGTGCCGTTGTTGTTGTTTTGTGTTGATGTTGGCGGTCTTGTTGGCGTTTGTAGTTGTTGATTGTGGTGTTGTTGATTGTGGTTGTTGTTGTGGTGTTGATTGTGGTTGTTGTTGATTGTGGTGTTGTTGGCGTTTGTGGTTGATTGTGGTGTTGTGGATTGTGGTGTTGTTGATTGTGGTTGTTGTTGATTGTGGTGCTGGGTGTTGTTGCGACCGTGGCGTGCGCGGCTGTTGCCGGGGCTGCTGTGGCGGCGGTCTTTGCGAGCGTCGTTCCTGTGGTTGTTGATTGGCGGTGGTGGTGGTGTTTCTGTTGTTGTGGTTGCTGTTTGTATCGCTGGGTGGTGGTGGTGGTTGTAGTTGTTGTTGGGCAAGTTGCTCTTGGGTGACCCTCAGTTGCAGCACGTGGTCTAAAGACGCATCGAATCGCCCGACAAATCGCGCGAATCGATTCCGGAATAGATCAATGCAACTTTACGGTACCGGACTTCGCTGCGCCTCGTTGAGTCTAAGATCGGTGCGCGGGTCTTGTGGGGATGTTGGGATCTATGAGGATCGTAAAGATTCTAGGCACGCAAAGATCGGATTAATGGACAACGCCGGTAGGAATCGATTTGGTGAGATTGTACCGACGCGTGCGATTCTTGAATCGATTCACTTCTCCGCCCCCACCACGTGCGCGCGCCACCGGGGGGTGGGGGTGGGGGTGAACGCGTCACAACCGGAAGTTGGTGCCGCTCGCTTTCGCCGTCCGGGGGCGGAAACGGCGCGCTCGAGGGCGGAACCGAAAGTGGGCGAGAGTTGAGTCTCTCTGAAGGGTCCGGGTGGGAAAAAACGGTGTTGCGGCTGTCCGCTAATAAACATTCCGACTTGTTGACTTGAAGCTTTCGTGACTTTACCGAAAGAGCCAGAGAATATTCCGACTTCTATTACAGGACCTCATCACTCGGCATTACTAATTCGAGTGATTTTAGTGGTAGCATTGTCCAGTTAATACGTTTGCAAATGATGATGATAAGCATCGGTTCTAGATTTGAAGCTTTCGTGACTGCAAGGATTCATATTCTTAGGTTTTTTTCTGTAAAACCTAAGAATATGATAAGCATCGGTTCACTGGGGCCGTCCATAAATGACGTCACGGGGGGGGGGTGAGAAATGTGACGTCACAGCAAAATGCGCAACTTTAATTAAATATAGACAACACGTTCTACTTAAATAGACTTTTAATAAATGTTTTCTCCTACAACATCAGAATGCAGCGCCACATTAAATACGCACTACAATAACAATTGTTTAAAGCGATTTGAAGCATGTTTTATTTTGGGAGGGGGGGGGTAGTAGAGCTTTGTGACGTCATATTTGAGGGGGGGTCTGACTTTTTTGTGACGCCGTGTGACGAGGGGGGGGGGGGGGGGAATCAAAAATCGTCCAAAATCGCGTGACGTCATTTATGGACGGCCCCACTAATACACTCAGTTGTACACTCACCACTACATACCTGTCAACCCCTTATCAGTGCCTACCATATTACAGACCAATTCAGACTTTACTGGTCACCCGTGCCCTTATAAATCTCAACGTTTATCCTACAAAGTCCCATCGCAAGCGAGAAACACATACAAATAGACAAAAACATGTATTTTGCCCATATTGAAACGGCTGTACGTTGTATGGACCTGAAAACTACATTTATCTGTACAAGAATACGGGGTTATAATCCGTTTATCCTCAGTTTACCACGTAGGTTTTCGCGACCAATATCATCCATAATAGAGGTTACACGATGTTTATCAGATATCCATGTCACAGCGCTAAGTTTGAATGCCACGTGCCGGCCGGCTTTTAATTTTCCCGCCATTTCATCTTCCCCCGCCCACGTGACCCCCCCAACGCCCCTCCCCCCGGCCCCCGCGGTGACGTCACGACACGAGGGGAGGTTCGTCTTGGTCGGAGGAGCGCGATTGTGAAGGTTTTTAAACAGAGACAAACATCATTCTTGTTGTTAAATACAAAGGTATCGCACGTACAAGACGAAATACGCCACGCGACACATTTTTTTAAAACTTTGTGTCAAAAGTTTGATGAGATTCGTGTAAAAACGCGGTGCTTTTTGCGTTAAGGGTTCAATCGGCGTTTCATGAATTAATCATAAACACAAATAAACTTAAATATAGGACATAATTTTTGTTTAGATTGATCGATTAATGCCTTCAGTGTTTGTTTATAACGCGTGGTTGTGCCGGGCAGTCAACAGCATTACAAATTTAGTGTTTTTTTAAAAAAATGTCTGAGGTAATTTTGAACAAATTCGTCAATAAAATGACATTAAAATAGAGGAAATGTGTTCACGGGATAATTTTGTATCTCATGATGGGAAAGTTTGTCTTGGGAAATATATTGTAGCAGTGATAATTGGTTCTTTACCCTTCTATCTGGCAACAAAACTGACACCTTTTTACAAGGAGTCATGTTTGCATAGACCACAATACCTGCAGTCATAAATACAAACAAAAGACATAACTCTGATAATGTGCACTATCAGAGTTATGTCTTTTGTTTGTATTTATGACTGCAGGTATTGTGGTCTATGCAAACATGACTCCTTGTAAAAAGGTGTCAGTTTTGTTGCCAGATAGAAGGGTAAAGAACCAATTATCATATTTTTACTGGCAAATGAGGTCCCCATAATATTGTAGCAGTGTTTTTGTTTGTGAAGGGCAGAGGAAATGCTGGATTGCATTACACTATTCATTCTTATGCATCAACAGTGGCGGCTCCTGCAAAATCTCTCAGGGGGGGCAAATGTCTGGATGATTGATAAGGATAAGGTCCACCCATGCAATGAATAAATTAACAGCTTAAGCATGTAAAGGCAACTTCACTTCTTTAATATTAATGAAAAATAAAGTGACTCTTACAATACATCTTGTTTGTTTATATACTCACTATTAAAACAAACCACTCAAGTTTATTTTATTAAAGATTCCACTAGGTGGCGATACATTATATTGTTGGATGAAACGTGCTTACGTATGATGACGTTAGCACGTATGATGACGTAAGCACGTTAGTGCTTGCCCTCCCGGTAGCCATAGAGAATGCATTGGAGCGCCCGCGTTCGAAAAAAAACATCTTTGAATGTAAGTCTATGGGAACACTCGGGGCGATTCTCAGCCGGAGCGAAATCGCCCAAAAAGAGGCGGTACTCCACAGAACGTGAAATGACGCTGATTGGACTATATCCAGAGGCACAGTGACGGCTAGCGTGACTCTGTGGTTGAATGACATTGGTGGTGCGTCGCCCAATCGCCCTAATGAAGAAACCGCCCCTGTGCATCAAGATTATAAGAACATATTTGTTTACAATCTACGTGTTTTTATTTATGTATGTACACTTTACAACGTACGTTTAAATCTAGACGCTATTTTACACCACAATTGGACTTGAGGGCGCTGTGAGAAATACTTTAAAGTAATTTTTTTTGTTAAATTAAAACCCTTTGGGTATATTTCATAAATACTGACTTTTGTTTTGTTGATACAGTGTAAACATTTTGAAATAACTAGTCCAATGGATGCAACTCCTGATTCACGTCCACTGGGCTATCCATGGGAACGTGGAATTTCCACCACCACTGGCCCTTTGAACTTGAGGGCCGCGGTGAGAAATACTTTGAAGTTTAAATTTTCTTGTTAAATTAAAACCCTTTGGGAATATTTCATAAACACTGTGTTTTGTTTTGTTAATGGCGCACAATTAGAAATGAGAGCACCAAAAAACGACCAAATGTATAAAGAATTTTAAATTCGATTTAAGGCTTTCTGCTGCTGCAGCTCCTTACTATTAAAATTTCCCTCCCCTTATTACTGCTAATCCTACTTCCTCCCTTTATTACTGCTAATCCTACATAATACACGAGTATAATATGACTTTGAGACCCCCCCCACCACCTACACATTCCACAAGTAGTGACTAATCCCATATCTGCATTTGCCATAAATATTCTAAATTCCTCTGTTGATATGTAAATTCCTTTATCAAGGCGCTTTCCTCCTCTAACCAAGCTTAAATATACGCTGCCAAGATTGGTGGTGTTCATTCGGATGCTGTCTTTCCGACAGCCCTGTTCTTCACCCGAGGACGGCTGCTTACGTTGTGGCCGAAACGTCGTGAGAATTGTATTTTATTATGTTGTATTTTTATTATTTTATTATTTCCCTTCTACGTGACTTTACCGAAAGAACCAAGAAGAGTATTTTTAATGTTAGTCCTAAGACGATGCTGTACGTTAATGGACATTTTCTTCCACAGGAGACATGGATTCAAGGGTAGCTGATATAAAAGGTAAACCAACGTTGTGCACGTTCACAATGACCTTCGTATGTGCTGGGTTGTTCAAAGATTTAAGAGGCCACAAAAAGGAATGTGTGTGGGAAATACTTAATGCAATTGACTCGTACAAGATGTATGGTGTCAGTAGGGTAGTTCGTAGGGTAAGGTAAACTACAAACGTCATTGTGCGACCTATGATTTTGACCTATAATTTTTTTCATGAAAAGTAAAACAGTTTTCTGATACATTTATGCTCATAAACGCACTCTGATTTGCATTGAGGGTTGAACATCAAAGTTCCCATAATGTGGTAAAGTCTCAGTCTCAATCAGTGGTGAAGGGTGGCTGGCATGAGCCCTGGTGCAAGGAATTAAATGAGACCCTCTGTCCACATTCCCCCTCCCTCTCTTTGTAACCCAGTGGCCTTGGCCACTCCAGCCCTTGGGTTCCTGGGTGCACTTGCACGGCCTGCACACTTGCTTGTCAAACGTTTATTTACCCAGATGAACGCTTGTAATGGATACGCATTTTTGCAATGTTTAACACGTCGGCTTTCGCGAACAATTTCATCCACAATAGAGGTCATGTGAACAAAACTTGCCAATTCGTTTTTAGTTCAGTACACCAGTGTGTTGGAGGGTAAACCCACAACATTTACAATGGTAAATGTTTATGGGTTTATAATGGTAATGTTGTGGGTTTACTTTCCAACAAACCGGTGTGCTGAACTTGTAACGAATTGGCACTTTTTGTTTATGTGACAACTCTTATTAATTGGCTGTGTCGGATGGTGGTGGGTTTAATGACACATTTACATTTACGCGATCGAACCCAAAAACCTCATTGATAATATTGATCGTGAAAGCCGACGTGTTAAACATTGCATCTCTAATTAACTGACTGGATTTGTACGTACGGGTGGTTACAGACCTGATTTCCAGATTGACTGGCACTGAGAGCGCAGACAAAGATATGATCACATGCAGACTCCTCAGCATGGTAGAGACTCTCTCCAGGGCCGAAACCAAGCTGGACAATGCCGACGAGGTAGTGGCTTGGCTCATTTCATCCTTTCACCTCGTTTGTAATCGTGTCTGGCCTCAGTACAGTACCATTTTGTAGAGAATCAAACGGCAGTTCTGTTGAATGCCTTAGATACATGGACATTTCACAATTGACTCAAGGCTGTAAAGAAGCATTTAATGCTTCCCCTTGCTAATCTAGAGATGAGCTGTCGATGATGAGGATAGTAATGGTATAGTTGGAGGTATAGATAGAGATGATGTAGTTGGAGGCATATATTAATGGTGGTTGAGATGATACTTTATTGAAGACGGTAATATTATTTCGTATGGCTGATGTAGATGCAGAGCAACGACTACAATGTCACATTCAGGTGATTAAGCCCAAATAACCACGTCAGGAGTAGCTGAGTGTATCGCTGTGAAGTCTCCTACGTATTTGTAGATCGGGAATTGGGTCGTTTATGTTGTACGGTCTGTTTTGAATGACCACAGTCGCACACTGGAGAGTTTTAAATTTTACATTTGTGCATCAGGTACCCGCATCTGCCATGGTTTGTACAGTAGATGCGGTTTAGGGTGGACCATGAGCTTCGTAGAAGATCACACTCGGAGATCTTCTTCGTTGGGTTTTTCACAAGGTGTTTGTTTGTGAGTTCTGTAATGATGTAGGTGGAGTCAAGTGCAGTGCAGCTGTGGAACTGGGTGGTGGCCAAGAAGATGGGAAATCAGATCTCGGAGGAATGCAATGCAAAACGTGAACCCCCTGCACATCCCATTGTTTTAATAAAACATGTCTAATCGGCCATATTTCTGAGGTTAAAGAGAGACAAAACAATAGAGATCATGAGAGACCTGGAGATAAGAGCAATTTAGCAGTCACATGTACATACGGTATAACATCACAATGCCAAACTATGTTATAGCGTCTACATGTCATGTGCCTTGCCGGCATACACCAGTAGTATGTGGTCTGCTGGAATATACAGTTGAAAGGCCTTACAGTAACACGTCCTTCATACATTACACCGCACTCAACTGCCACACATTCAAATCCACCTGTGAAGGGAATGGTTGTGTTTGCGAATTCTTGTTGTGTCTCTAACATCAGCCTCTTCCCTCCCATTGTCTCTGTCCTGTGAGTTCGGCACTCGGCCTGCAAGCTCCTTTGCCTCATTGAGACGTCCACCCTAAGCCCCACCACCATCCAGCGTCAAATTCTGGTGAGAGGAGGAGGGCTGGTGGTGGTTGTAGCGAGGTTCCTGTGCATTTGCTTAGTCTCGTACAGTATGGAACAATCTGCTATGTATGGTGGAGATACCCTTCCAAGCACTATGAGATCAGAGTATTTTCTGGATGTGAAACAGATGGCTATGAAGACCTGCTCACAGTTGGATGGACTGCAAGAAATTCAACCTTTGTGAGGAGTTTCTGGATGGCGCCGAGAACGTAGGTTTGCACCCCTAAAGAAAAAGTGGAGAGGTCCATATGCCAACGACATTGTCAGTAGATGTGGGTGAAGCCAATGCTTAATCAGTGGTGTCAGTCTCCCTACTAGCAACAGCTTTTATCCTAGGGTCGTATGTACATGCGTGCATAGTGTGGAGCGGTGGTACAGTGGTTAGCGCACTGCGCTAAGAACCCGGAAACCCGAGTTTTATTCCTGTTCACAGACCACACCAGTGATGATTATCTGAACCGGTCCTGGAATCTTCTCCTGTCTTGGCTCAGCCTCAAATGAGTACTTGGTGCGATGTGTAAACATCGCCACTGGGGAGACAAAGGCGCCTGTGTGTGGTGCTGACTACACCACCCCTTCGTGATCCATGCCAACCTTAATAGATATGCGTTAACAGCGCCTGCAGCAAAAGTATCTGTAGGATATATTGGTGATCTTGGTCTTAATGTACGTATCGTGTGTGCTTGTGCCTGTGTAGTGTCATAGGTCTCTTCTTCCTTCTACTCGAGGCTTTGTGTGTGTGTGTGTGCGGGTGGCGAGAGTCACCCGCGCGCACACTCAGTCGGAGACGAGGTAGTCGCAGGCGGCACCGTCCTTCCCTTTTATTGTGTTCACGCCACCAACTCCGGCCCCCTCTCTCACGACCACGCTGCCGTACGACCCGGCCCAGACACGACCCTGTCCGTGTTGCAGTGACGGCGTCGACCAAGACAGCCAACTGCTGTCCGGATGCGCAATGATCGGCGAAGGTGGCAGCGACGAAAGTGGCGACAGCGACAAGTTCACTCCCAGAACCGGCAGCTCGGAGCTCACGCTCTCCGCTGCTTATATTCCCCTTGGCCTCTCTTCTCGAACTCACCAGAGGGTTCCAGGGGCTTCTCCACGAGGTCTACCGTGACCCTTGCCCCAGTTCCTCCGCCCTTCTGGCACACCCTTGTATATTCTGAACGGCATGTGCGCTAAGTGTCCACCTGAAGTTGCAGCTACTGTAAAACAGTCAGTGCTGTGTCACTACACATGCGTGCATTTATATGTGTGTGTGAACCCACAGAACGTTGGTCACCTGATGAAAGCAAATGGCGGGCTGCCGACAGACAGCCCTGAGCGGGTGGATGTGCAGATACACCTGTTCAAGGTCCACTGCCTGCAGGCCGAGCTAGTCAGTTGTGTTCAACCACGACACCGTTACTCAAGCCTGCCACACTCACGCTCACTCTGACAGGGGAGCAAACATTTGGAATGCAATGATTCACCACTTTCAATCATTACACGATTTCATAAAATTACACAACTTGCAATTGTGGTTCGATTAAATAATCAATTATTTTTCTGTTTCGTTTGTATTACCTTATTTGAGTTATCAACATTGCATGTTCTACCTCATCCATTCTCGGTTGTTTATTGCATTTGGCATAGAAGTAGTGTAACAGCATTTAATTATCATTAATATTACGCATATGTTTTTGTTAATTGATGATTGATACGTGTTTTTTTTCTTTACTGTTGCCCGGTGCGAGTAGGCAGTGAACCGGGGCCGGCACGAGAAAGGCAGTGCTCTCTTCTTCAGGTGTAGGGACATGCTCCTGAGCCTTCCCCAAGAGGTACCATGTCTGCAATGGAGCTTATCCTGGGAATGCCAATTGGTTTGCTGATCAAGCTGTGCAGCAGAGATTGAGTGTTTTTTCTTCACATGATATGTATCCTTCATTTCTTTCTCACTCATATATGCACATAAACACACCTGCACTCATACACACACACCTACACATATGTACACACAAATAACCACACGTACATCTACGCACACATACACCTACACAAATGAATACACATGCACACACACAGACGGTGTATCTGTCCATGTTGTGCTACAACTTTGGGATTGAGACATACGAGCAGAAACAATTTGAAGAATGCATCTTCTGGCTCAGGTAAGCTTTCTGCAAAATGTGGTGATGATGATGATGTTTGAAGGGGTAAGTGCCTCAGGGAACTAAGACTATGTCACTAGACTTGACAATGTCTTGGTTTGAATTTTAGGTTTCAGTCGAACATGATTAGACCGAGTTCTCACGTGTAGCGAGTAGTAGGTCTTAGACTGGTCACCAATGAGCCCATCATTTGAAATTTGGTATTTCACTCAATGCATCTTCTTCCAGCTCAAATAATAAAAATGTGATTAATAATCTTGCAGGGCATATGAAAGGTGTGCCCCTTTTATTCTCAGTGACGTAACATGTTTTTATTATATATTTGTTATATTCACTAAAGCAGAAACTTTATCGCAAAAAATAGCAATTGAATGTTGTTGCCCTGCTATTTTGTGCAGGAGGTGAGGGTTATTATCTTTATAATTTTGCAGACAAAGTTATGACATTGGCAAGATGAACAGCAAGTACAGTGCCAGCTCTACTCACCAGGTGATTTGTGCTCACACACAAACCCGTGTTTATTTAAAATCTCAGTTTGTCTCCCTGCTCAAATGAGCATGTATATGTAGTCATTTTGTCAATCCACTGCTGGATGAGGGCCACCCAACACCGTGCGGGTTTTGGGGGGTAGTTGACCATACTTCACCACACTAGTAGTGTGGGTTGGCATGGGAGCACAATTATAGTAGAATTATTAATATTGCAACTGGCTTTTGCTGCCCATAACATAGCCCCATAGCCTATAAAAACGTGTTTGGCCATGCTTATCACCTGTCCAAGCAATATCCAAGCTGTAAACTGATTAGCTTAACAAATCAGACAAGTTCTGGCGCATTCTGGTTATTTGCTCATAGGGCACTGGACTATTGCTTGTTTTTAATCAAATGTCATTTATTGATTTGCCAACTGACTGAACATGGATATCTGTGCTCAGGCCAAGTCACTGCGGTTGCTGGCCAAGGTTTATATGGACTGGGATGTGATAAAGTACTCAGAGAAGGCCCTACATGCTCTGGAGATAGCCACCACTGTGAGTGCATGCTGACATGGTTGGGAAGGCAAGAGTAACACGCTACATTTTTTAAATCCTTTATATTAAGTTCCCTTGCTTGCGCGCTTACGACCGTGCAAATCTTTCGGTCGTTTTTTAACCCACTTCCCGTGATCCAATCGAGCTGACATTTTGCACACAGACTCGTTGTGCGTGACAATTTATTTTCGTGAAATTTTTTTCCCAAAATTTTCAACATTTTAGGAAAAAAAAATTATATTTAATTACCAATTGCTTAATGGTGGCAGCCATCTCAAGCCAGAGGACGAGAGGACTCTAGCCGCCACGCATATAAAGGATTTATAGTGAAAAACTTTGTTTTTACGGGTTAATTTTTTTATTGGTGATGGATCATGGATGCAGATATTACAGAGCTACCACTGAGATCCCTTGAAGGAACCCCTGGTCCACACAGTCCGGGGGGGGGCAGCACATTACCACCCACTTACTACCGAGAGTAAAGTTTATCGCATGACAACCAAACTGATATTTAACGTTTTGAGAACTGGAATTTTAAGTGAAAAACTAAATATGTGATGCATGTTTTACGCAGCCATTTGTAACTTTTTTAAATCGTGGGCGATGATGTTTTATGTGGGCAGGAAGAACCACACTCGGAGGGTCAGCTCTTAAAAGTGAAGATTCTGACTCAATGCAAAGCATCAGAGACCGCCATTCTCGAAGGTGATTGTATCTGCATTCATAATGTGCATCTCATTTATAATACATATCTGGTCATTGGTAGAAAAAATTATTCTAAATCCAGCATGCTCTAAGTGCTCCAAATTGTCCAAAATTATTTTCATGAACAATTTATAGTCATTGGAAAATAGGCTAAATGGTCTGTGTTTTAATATAAATGTTGTCAGCATTTTGTAATGGAATAATAATAGAGCCATAATTCCATGATAGAGTTATTTCAATTACGCCTAAACTCTTAGGAAATAGGTTAGCAAATTTTGATCCAACAGCTGGTCCCACTAAATTGACTGTTGACAGTCATTCCCTCTGGTCCGAGAGCCTTCACATTTTACATTCTGCAAACTGCAGTGCTTCTTCAAGCTTGACATCTGGAACCTTCTTATCTTCCTTCATCTGCAAAAAAAAAGTACAGTAAATTTGGCTGTGACGATCCCACCTGAAGACGGAGACTTGTGTTGCCTCTGAAGCGTCGTAATTTAATTTAGTTATTTTCATTTATTATTATTTTATTTTATATTTTTTACCTACATGACTTTACCGAAAAAACCTAAGAGTATGAATCCTTGCAGTCACGAAAGCTTCAAATCAAGAATTAAATATTTTTTGTTATAGAAATCAGCATATAATTTCTCCACAAGTATCATGGTAATGTTTTTATTTTGTTTTATGGATTCCATCTTGTTCCCTAAGAGCTAATATTCCTGATTTATCCATCATAAACCGCATTTTTCTGCTTCATGTCCACATTGCTTTTTTATGACATGTTCCATCATTTTTGTGTTGTGCTCTCAAAATGTTTTGTCGCGTTTTTTTCGTAGTTCATTATATATTATCTCGTTAGAAAATTTCATCAATTTTTAGCCCTTCGTTTTTCTTCAAGACACTTTTATGCTTTCAGATAGTTTGCTCTCTGTTTTATTTTTAACTATGCTCCCACTTCAGGTGCACCTGCCATTGCAGTGGTAGTTTTCTTGTTATTGAAACCATTAATTTAGGTACGGTATTGCATTAACTGTATGTCAGCGGCTTGAATAAGGCACATTGGAACAGCTGGTCATTGTGCTGTTGGTGGTGCTGGTGATGTTTTAACAGCTGTGGAAGACCTGTTTAAGCAGGATAAACCGGTAACGCATGCACTGACTGCCTTGAGAAGTCTCCTGCACGACAACAGGTACTTGCAGGCATCATTAATATATCATGAGAATCATCATTACGGATGCAACGATTCATCAGTTCTTACACCCCTCGTGTTCATCAATGCTTTGAATGATATTGAGCGACAGGAAGAGGAATGCTTTGATCAAAGAATAAACACAACGTAAAGATATGATATTGAATTATGAATGTAAATGGGCTTAGACAGGGCATGTTGCTTGAAGGGATTATGGCTAGTGATCAAGACTGACGATGTGCCTGGACAGGTTTATTTAAATGTAAACCTCTCGCGTGCAGGGAGTCGCTGTGTTCTAGCTGTCTGGAGACGCTGACCAAACATATGCAGCACAGCCTGGAGTTCGGGCAAATCCTTCTCTTCAAGCTCGAGTTCCTGTTACATTTTGGGCACGAGTCACTGGCAAGGCAGCACGTGGAGGAGTGCATTACAGGTGACCCATAGAATCACAGTTGCCCTTAGATGGCTGGGTGACTCATAATGACTGTGTCAGAGGTGCTGAGCTGGTACCATTGAGGTCCTGGGTTTAAATCCGGGTTTCAACCACCCCTGATTAAAGTGGGTACTCAATTTTTATAATACGTAATTATAATAATTCAAACCCAGGCCGCTGCCTGGATTTCAACCCAGGATCTCAGCGGTTTATTTTAAAGTTTAAAATGTGGTGGTGGTGTGAATGTATAGGTCACTACACGGGCAGGCCTCTCTCTGACAGCGTGAAGAAACTCTTCCAAGCCATGATTTGGGAGCAGGCGGCAAAGTTCTATGAGGTGTGACCGTCGTCGTCATCGTCATCATCATCATTGTTCATATAATTATTGGCATCATTATTGTAATCACCATTGTCATCACCTTCATTGTCACCATCGTTATCACATCATGATCGAGGAACAGGCAGACAACTGTTTTGAGGTAATACCATCATCATCTTTGCCATCATTGTCATATTTCTTAGCATTATCATCATCAGCTATGGCAGGAACAATATTCCATCAGCTACCCCCTCATCATTATTGTCATCTGCAGAATTTGCCACACAATTTTAACATGTAATGTATCATTTTTATTACCATCATTAGAAACCTCATCTTTTATTATATGTTTCATTAGTCTTTCTATGGAAAATTATCAGATAAAATCAGGGGATAGAACACACGATACTTTGGAGACCAATGACTTTTTTTCTCTATATCTTCATGTGACCCGCTCTACTTTTCTATTGTCCCCTTTGTCTCCCATTGCATCCCTCTATCTCTGTGCCCTCCTTTTCCTTCCCCGTGTTGTCTTGTGCCTTCTTTTGTTTCCCTTTACATTCTCGATTCTTCCTCTGCCTTTCTCTGTCTCCTTGTGTCTCTCTGTGCCATGTGTCGTCTCGTGGTTCCAGGTCTTTCTCTCTCTGCCTCCTTGTAGTGCCTTGTTGTCTCCTCCATGCCTCCCTGTGTCTCCCTGAGCCTCTGTAAAAATATAATGCCGAATCTTTGCCATGTGCGTTCAGGTCTCCGACTATGCCACCGCGCTAAAGTGGTACAACTGCTCAGCCAGCCTATATTCACCGGGCTCGAATGACGAGAACTTGGGACGTCTGCATCGTAACCGAAGCACCTGCTACCAGCACATGCTGCAGTATGAGCAGGTGTGTGGACGACACGTGCCAGCGTGTACCATTATTCACCGACACATGCCTGTGTGTACCAACATACTTAATAAAAAAACATACCAATGCTGGCAACATGTGCCAACCTGGGCCAATGCATAGTTGTGTGTAGAAACTCATGCCAGTGTGTACCAACAGTATGTGCAAACATGTGCCAGTGTGTGCCACTATGCAAAAATGTCTCAATGCATAATTTTACATCTTTACATGCTAGCATGTGCAATTTTATACCAACACATACTTGCATGGGACAGTGTGTCATGTGTACGTAAACATGTGCCAACACATATTAAGAGGGTGTCAACGTGTGTTGGCATACGCCAACTTGTGTAAATCACGCCACCGTGTGTCAGTGTGCCAGAACATGCCAATTTATGTGCCAATACATTTAACCTTTTTATTCAGTGCAGTTTGTGCATTTACATTCCACCCCAGCCCAAGCACATATGCTTAGGTATTTACTCTTTCTATTTGGTCATGTGCAAACACATTTTAACCTCAGGTCTTGGGTGTGATTTTGGATTGGCAAGCTACAATAATGATTAAGCTGCACATTCGAAAACAGTTTGATCAGATGTCCCGTTCGCCAATAAAATGTTGACTCGGTTTACTTGGAAAATATTTTTCCCACAATGTGTCTCTCTGTGCCATGTGTCTACGTGACTTTACCAAAAAAACCAAAGAATATGAATATGAATTCCTGCAGTCACGAAAGTTTTAAGTCAGAGATATCAGATGCAACTTTGTGATATCTGCAGGCCATTCTGAAATACAAGGGGTTGCACTGCGCTGCGAGAGATACGTGGATACTTTGGCTCATGACGTAACACCGATATAACTATTTGGAGAAAATTGCAAAAATGACAATGTATTCTTGCATGCGTTCTGTTTTTTTGCAGGCCATGGAGGCAGCCAAGGAGGCCCAACACTGTGATCCAGACTCCATCAACACTAATTTTGTAATCTTCCAACTCACTTTGTCCACAGGGAACATTCAGGGTGGTCAGTGAAGTCCGTTATTGTTTTAAAATAGCTTTGCTCGTGTCATTACACAGCTTAGTTTCACCATTCACCTTATAGCACTCGACTGATGCCACTCACTACTTACCAGACACTCACCTGACACGACTCTATTCACCAGGCACCACACACTTAGTCATAATGGGTTGACACAGGAGAGTGTCAAACCAGCCACTTTGTTTTTATTTCACACTGGACGTAAACATCACACAAATCAATTCTATATATTTCACAAGTCACCTTAGAATGGTGACACTGCCAAGTCGACAGGAGCCACAATATGACACACAAAGTGCCATTTTTTTGCAATTTACAGAAGTTGATTTAAACTGCTCCATTGTCTTGGATATTGTTACAATTAATCAAAAATCTTCTAATTGAATGTAGGGTTCTGTCTGGAAACAGGAGATGGCGCTCTGAATTTGTGGAGTGTTTATGATTTCCAGTTCTCGAAAACAAATTTAGCATAATTTAATGACAACTTTTTTCAAGAGGCACCAATTTTCAATGGTTAGCCAAATCCTTATGAATTCATGTTTGCGTGTGGGAGAGAACTGGAGTACAGTGATCTTGGTGATAATAACGGTGGGTCTTGCTACATTGGGATGTTTGGCCAAACCATTAATAAACACTGCCTAGGTTTTCTCGGTTGTGCTGGATGGCTCTCATATGTGTTTTCAGGTTGTACTGCGTGTTATTCAGCATGATGCCCGACGTTTCACCTCACCCGCTTGGAGCTTCTTCAGGAACGGAATTGAAAAATGTGAAATGCTCACTTCCTGTAGAAGCTCCCGGTACGTGGAGTGAAACGTCGAACGTGTCACACAATACGTGGTACATCCCAAAAACAAATTGGAGGGCCATCCGTTAATGTATTCAGCTTCATTTGAAAGGAAATCAAAGAAGCTGGAGCAACCCACCATTTATAATACTTTAAGCTTACAACCAAAAGCTACAGTAACATAATGTGATTTCCTAAACAGCCTACTCCACCTGATGATCATGATGTTAATGATGGCGTAGTTTGACCATATTGATAACAGTCACAATGCTGATGATCATGATGATGATGACAGCAATGATGTCCTACAGCCACAGAGGCCCTCAGCAAAATGGAGATGCTGAGCAAGTCAGCTGAGAATAAGGACTCGAGCCTGGAGCCAAACTCCCTCTCGGAGCTGCTGGAGCTTGCAGCGCAGCTCGGCCTAGAGGTAGGTGCTATGTGTAAGGTATGGGGCAGCACCGATGTCAGGAACTGGGTTATACAATCTGGGGGAGCCCTGGGTTTGACTCCCGGCCATGGCAAACATTGATATATGAATCGGTCATGGGTATCTGGTGCAATGTGTTAACATCACTAGGGATGACGATTGCACACTGCACCCACCGCATCTGAACGTCATTGGGTCGATGCGCACATTTCCTTAAAACAATTTACATTAAAGACAAGCCGCAGTGCGATTGTGGACATGCAACCCAAACTATGAATCAAAGTGAAACATAAGTCTGCGCTCTTTCAACGGACGAATAGAAAACTACAAGAACTCTTCTGAAGCCCTCTTGTGGAAGCAGACCTCAACATTGGCATTCAAATTCTAATATTGCCATACATAAGAACAGCTCACTAGGTAGACAAAGGTGGCTAGGCATGGTGCTGCCCTTACCACCTTGTAGTCCACTGTTCCAGCCTTAATAGGTGCTCACTAATAGCACTTGTCCCCAATAGTTTGTTAAAGGCTGAACCGAGGATCTCTGCCTGTGTTTGTCTCTATGATAAGTGTTTGTGTCTATATATGTATGCGTTTGTGTGGGAGCGGTAGTGTAGCGGTCATGTAGCCCGCATACCCAAGCAGTTTGTGTTTGGTAGCATAGAGGAGGGCTAAACGGGCACGACATACGCTGGAGAAAAGATGGACTGAGGCTCGTGAAAGACGCTACTGGGCAGTTGGAGGCAGTCGCCCTCCAACAACAACTGAGGGCGGAGGAGGGACGCTCACAACAACGAGCGGAGCACCGGGTGGCTAAAATACAGCAAACTGCCACAGTAGGGAATACAGCTAGTACATCTGCCAGTCATGTCAGTCGGCCAACCCATGGCACCTTTGTCTGTCCCGTGACCTGTCAGCGAGCCTTCCATACTTCACGTGGCCTCAAAGTGCACCTGGCCTGGCGTGGTGACGTCACCGTCACTTAGTGGCGAATGGTGGGTATTTGGTAGCGGTCAGCACACTGCAATACACCCGGTGAGCCGAGGTTGAATTTCGCTCCCGGCCAACACCAGTAACGAATATCTGAACAAGTCCTGATCCTCCCCTAGGTCGACTCAGCCGCAAATGAGTACCTGATGCAGTGTGTAAACATTGCTATTCGGGAGAAAAGTGGCTGGCCATTGTATTAACCACCCACCCCCTCGTGTGCCGTGCCAGCCTTCATATGTGCTCGCTAACAGCACTTGCCCCAACAGTCTGTTAAAGGCTATAAGGGTATCTTTGTTTTGTGTGTGTATCCACAGTACAAACAGAATAAGTTGGCAGCAAAGGCCCTGGAAATCTTCTCTTCAACTTCGAGTGATATTAAAAAAACCCTGCACGCTCTAAAGTAACAATTTGTGTCTCATCCTATGCACTTGCACAATTGTTACATTACGTAGTATGTTTTTTCGATTAATATTTCGTATTGTAATGGGGTCATGTGACCCCTTCAGCCACTAGTGGCCTCTACATTCATTACAACGGTGAAAACATATTTAATCGCATCATGATCCTGAATGTTTACAAGTCATCAAATCGCTGATGTGGGAGGGGGTAAATTGTTGCACCTTGATGTTATGCTCTCGTATACAGTATATGGTGGTGGATCGGTGGTGCAGTGGCTAGCACACTGCACTATCAATCCAGCAACCTGAGTTAAATTCTTGGCCATGGTTAACATCGTCGATGAGTGATATCTGAAACGATCCTGGGCCCCACTTCGTCAGTCCGCATAGACAAGCATGGGTTTTACTGGTAAGAACCTCCTGGTTACACCAGCCCACAGGGGAATATTGTGTCCGTCCGTCGTGAAGGGAGGGGCTGGGTGGGGAGGGAGGGGCTGGGTGGGGAGGTGAGGGTGGGGAGGGGCTGGGTGGGAGGGGTGGGGCTGGGTGAGGAGGGGCGGTCACCCCGTGGTGCCCTTATAAAACTCAACGTTTAACCTATTCACGCCGGCTTGTGCCCGCCCTCACAGTCGGGCATATTTGCGGAATACACCACACCGCCGTTGACCCTGGCCATTGACCGAGCAACCCAACGTTCCTACCAGCTCCCTCCGCAGGAATGTGTTCTTAGGGTACTGTGGTTTCCAAACGAAACGGTGTTTCTCCCTCAGACTCCGTGAGGCTGTTGAATGTTATCGATTGCGCATGCGCCAACGCGTGTCGTGTGCAGATGCTTAGTGAGACTGAGAATAACGGAGGATGAAGAGGAAGATAAGCTGTGAGTGGACTTTTTTTATATTCATTTTACTTTTGCAACAAGGGTTGGTGAATCACAAAGAGATTGTCACGCATGTCCAACTCCCATGTTGTAGTGCTACGAGGTAGCATGTAGAAAGTAGAACAGAAAGTAGGCTGCTGGTCTAGCTGTTATTAATTTTTTCGAGTGTTCATGGGTTCTCCCTGGGTCTCCACAATTTATTGGAAAGTCAACTTTAGAAAATATATATTTATTATTCCAGTAAGACCTAGAGGGAGACTGAATGTTGGTTTGTTGTGGGACGTCTCCACTTGCATTCCTGCAATGATCACTAAAAAACACTTAACCACACGTGGTAGAGGAGAAGTGCTACATTTGGATATTGAATCTTAACCGTAGTTCAAACCTTAACAGATATGTGCACGGGACATCATGGAAGATGATGCCCAGCTGGTGTTTATTGCGTTAATTTGGCCTTTATTTATTCGGGATAAACTTGCTATCTCAAAACTCCTTTTCAGGAGCGTCCTTCTTTGCCATGTTTGATACATTTCATGAATGTTTGCATGCGAAAGTACTCAGATAACTAATGTGTATGGTGGGGGGCATAACGCTCAATTTCACACATGATGGACGCAATACTAATTTTGCTTGGAGTATCACAAACTTCTACATTATTCACCAATTCTTGCCTCTAAAGTACTGGATCATAGGCTTGTGCCACAGACCAGCTATGTTTGTAATTGTTTTATTGACTTTGTTTTATTTGTTTTGCTTTTCTCATTTTGGTGACCTGGATCAATCTTGCAAATGAGATTATCCTGGTCTCTTGAGTTCTCACCTAGTTAAACGAAAATAAACTTGAACATTAAACTGTGTCGGGTGTGTGGTAAAACTTTCTGACCCTGCGAGCCACATACCAAAACATTCATATGACTGAGAGCCACAAGACAGACACGACTTATGCATTCCCTAGTCGCTGAGTGAGCCACGTAGTCGCACGGGGAGATCACGCAACCAGTTCGCTTGCGCCGGTTGACTGGAGGTTTGAATCTCACGTAGATAGGTTCAAAGAAAATAATAAAAAAACGACGACGTTTCGATTGCGACACAAGCGGTCACCTTCAGGAAAAGGACCCAAAGAATATGGAGGTTTGAGTTTAGAAATCCCTTGTCTAGCTCCGTTGCAAGGGACTAATGTACTTGGCCACTATCACTTCCACATATTTTTTTGTATTCATTTTTAATTGAAAGTAACAACTATTCAATTACAACTTATCAGGCTGTACTTGAACTGTTCTGTAGATGTGGTTTGGTCATTCCTGAATTGCATAATAAACATGATAATGAGTGCCATGCGTGGGTTGAACAGGTTACGCATGTAACCTTGTTGTTAGTCATTGTGCTGGTCGGATGTTGTCAAACCGCGTCCGTTGGTTTTACATATTTTCGTGTCTGTGTACGAGTGTGTGTGAATGGACATTAGTCACAACAATTTAGTCTGGCACCTTACACAAGATAACAGGTGTGGCATGGAATATACATGCCTGGCCAGCATTGTCTCTTAGTGCCAAGAATTAAACATCTTTACACATTACACTATGAGACCTCCTTTGCCAGTGGCAAAATATAGTGATAGGTTTTTACCCTTTCAACTGGTACAAAAAGCTGTCTCGGGTGTGGACCAATCAACTTCAAGGACAGTGCATATCATTATCGGAGTTGTTTCTTTTTGTTTGCATTTTGACTGCTTGTGTTGTGGTTATTGCAAACATGATGCCTTGTATAAAGGTGTCAGTTTTTGTACCAGTTGAAAGGGTAAAAACCTATCACTATCTTTACACATGCTACCCATTTAAGGCTGAGTCGATCTCACGGAAAACCAGGCCAGGCACAGATACCAATTTCCACTGGTGTTGTGCACAATGGCCATTGATGGAACTTTGGTTACCAGGAACATAGCCCTGAGTGTTGTAGCTGCATAGCACTTTCTCCAATAGTATTTGCAGATTATTGGACAGTTGTCCTTTTAGTTACAATGTTAATAATTCATTTTAACTATCATTTGTAAAGATTACTCTGCGAGGATGCATTGTGGGCAACAGATGGCAGTGCAACATCATCCATTGTTGTACGGTAGAATGCTCCAATGTCTTTGCTCCTCAGTTTAACCAACCTACAGTGATCATCCTAGTCAAGTACGTTCAAGTATCCCCCTCGATCCACAATGGGAAGAGGCAGTAATCCAACAGCGGATTGAAAAAGGGTTCTGTACATATACATCCTTGGGAATGTGTTGTCAATGCCATATTAATTATTTCATCATGTTGGGGAAATGCTGGGTAAAAGGCCAAAAGTAAGTCACATTGAAGAATCCACATAAATAAGTCAGAAACTACAGAGTGGGTCTGGGCACGTTTGTGTGCATTGCCACGTTAACCTTGTTATGCCTTTGTGTGCGCACATGCATTATTGTTTTTACAGAACAAAGGACATGGCCCCAATGATCTCCTATCAGCAAACAGGTGAGATGCAATGTTCCTTAGGTTTAAATATTATTGTTGTCTTTTTCCCAAATTTTGTCCGATTATGCTATTGGCCTCATGTCATGAGACCCAAGTATCAATTCGGATCTCTCACATCGCAATCTTTTATGTTGTAGCAAGGCTGACGGAAAGGAAGTTGGAATTTATCCAACTTATGTGTAGAAGCAAATGTATTGTTACGATTTTATGTGTGCAATCATTGGTGACCACAGACCATCAACTCAACACACTTGAAAAATATTGTTTAGTCACAGGTGGCTAAAACCTGGATTTAAACCCAAGATATCAGTGGCGTGAACTTGGCAGTCTCACTTCTGTGTCATCCGGCCACCGCTGAGCACATTGTGTTTCAAGTCACATGATGCACGTCCCGGATACAACTCAAAAACATTAAATAGCAAAACTTTGAAACGTTCCTACTTGGTGTGTTTTCTCGTATCGCCCATTTTTATACCGTAGTTCCCAAAAGCAACCATTGACACCATTACAGTAAAATGCTCCCTGATTTTTAGTGTGTCTTGTAATCCACGTGTTCCTTTTCCTGTCACGGTGGCATTTCAAGCATGCATTCTTCATGTGTTATTGTACACGTTTAGGTTTTTGTACCATTTTCTCTGTCAAAGAAATGTTTTATCATGTATTTGTCAACGATTATGTCATTGAATCTTTGGTTACATACTTTTACTATGCACAGAAAATACCCCATCAAAGTTACATCAGAAATAGTTACGTGATATCACCTTGTTCACTACATTGCTCACTCCCGTGCTCTTAAGAGTTCCAAAGCACAATGTCGATTGTAGATTTGGAGAATAATTGAGGGGAAAAGTATTTATGATACACGTTTAAATGTTTTGTGTTATATCAGCTCTAGAAAAACTGAAGGACTGTGATGGCAAACTTACAGTTGAAGAAAGAGATGCTGATGCAAACTGGTTTAAAAGTATTGGTGAGTCTTTTTTAAGGTATAATTTATGGCAATACAATACAATTTGTAAAGTGTACAAATGTGAATTAATCCCAAGCTCTATACAAAGTCTCTAGCCCTCATCAGTGACTGGTTTATCATTTTATGTTGTGAATGAAATACAGGTAAACCTTGGATTGCGAGCATAATTCGTTCTGGAAACGTGTTTGTAATCCAAAGCACTCGTATATCAAAGCACTCATATCAGTTGTGATCATGTGACGCTCGGCAGACAGCGTATACACCTACTACTCGTATTGCAAGACCTCGCTCGTTTATCAAATTAATATTTATTTTAAATTTTTGCTCGTCTTGCAAAACACTCGCAGACCAAGTTACTCGCAATCCAAGGTTTTACTGTAGTCTGGTTTTCCCCTTTTTTCATTGGATATGAGTCGTGTATTTGTTGCTTGTTTTTTTCTCAGCTTGGAACTTTGCATTGGATAGTGAGAATGGTCCTGAAAATATGGAAACATTTTTCATGCTGTCATATCAGGTGAGTTTTATCAGTGGCATTATCATTATTACCAATACCCACCATTCACCACTAAGTGACGATGATGTCACTACGGCGCCTGTGCCGTGCCAGGCCAGGTGCACTTTGAGGCCACGTGAAGTGTCGAAGGCTCTCTGACAGGATGTCATGTGAGAGACCCAGGTGCGATGGGTTGGCTGACTGAGATGACTGGCAGATGTATCAGCTGTGCCAACTGAGGCACACAAACGCGCACTGTCACCACAGCCATCGTCTCTTGGCGCACACGGTTAAGTTTAGAAAGCTAACATAAAGTTACCCACAAACCAGTTAACAAATCAGTGGCCAAAAATTCACAAGCTGCGCAGATCCCGTCAGTTAAGCAAGCCCGCGTGAGAGAAGCACCACCTCTGCTCGGTGTGTGCGCGTTTGTGTGCCTCAGCTCTCACGGCTGTGTGTCGAGGACGTGCCCCAACTCCTCGCCCAGAAGACCTGCCTGGTGATGGCAGCAGGGGCGGCGCTGCAATTAGGAAGGGACAGCACGGGCGACGAACAGGTTTTGTTAACTCAAGGTTGTAACCATTTGAATAGTTTTTTTTTTATTGAACAAGAGCCCGGTACAGAGCGTGAGCAATGGGGAGAGAGAGTACAGATATATTGAGGCCAGATGCCCTCGGGCGGGGAAAAAGGAAAAGGGGGCAAACAGAACCATACAATAAAATAACATACATGCACCAAGTGAGCCCGTCATTATTTTGAGTCCAGGATTTTATTTAATCATTAAAATGAAATGGCTAAATTAATCCACAGACTAAAACTCAATCAAGCATTTGCAGGTGTTCGTGCGACTAGACTAAGATTAATGAGACTAAAATGCCGACTGCATTAAGACTGGTTCTGATGGCTCGAGTTTTTTTTGTGTCGCGTAGTTGGCTCAGCTCACAAGGGTGCTGGAGCACACCGAGGCGTGCCGGAAGGTCGATGCCAGATTGAGGACAGAGGTTAAAGGTGAGAGTCTGAGTGGGAAGTGGCTGAGTGGGCTCAGAGGGCAAATATCACGTTAGAGTTATGTATGTGTGCACCCGCACATGTGTGTGCATGAGTGCTGGTGTGGGGAGCAGGTAGTGCAGTGGTTAGCATCCTCCGCTACGAACCTGGCGACCCGGGTTCTATTGCAGCTCGCGGTCAACACCAGTGACGATTATCTGAACCGGTCTTGGTGGCCTCCTAGGTCGCCTCAGCCTCAAATTAGTACCTGGTGCGGTGTACAAACATCGCCACTGGGGAGACAAAGGCAGGTCGGGCGTGGTACTGGCCACCCACCCCTTTCGTGGGCCGTGCCGGCCTTCATAGGTGCTCGCTAACAGCACTTGCCCTGCCGACACACCCGCTCACATGCTCACCGGCGTGTGTACAGTTTGTCCACCACAGTTGCCGCGGTTGGCCACCAGCTGGCGCTATTACACTACATATATGTATGTATATTATTTGGTTCTTTCGGTAAAGTAACGTAGATATAAAAATAATAAAAATAAAGTGAATACAAATAATACAAAATAAAATAATACTGTAGCCTGGTTCTTAATCGGAGTGAGTGTACTGGCAATCTATAATGTAGACTATAGCCTGGTTATTAAGCTGGGTGAGTGTACTGGCAGTCTATAATGTAAACTGTGCCAATGGTTATTAAGCTGAGTGAGCGTACTGGCAGTCTATAATGTAGACTGTAGCCTGGTTCTTAACCTTGGTGAGTATATTGGCAGTCTATAATGTAGACTTAGCCTGAAAATAAAAAAAAATAAAAAACAAACAAAAAGCCACGACGTTTCGATCGCAACACAAGCGGTCGTCATCAGGAAAAGGGGGGTTAGCCTCTAAAGGGCGGAGGGTGGCGTTAAAAACCAGGCTATAGTCTACATTATAGACTGCTAGTACACTCACCGAGGTATACATTATAGACTGCCAGTACACTCACCAAATGTAATAACCAGGCGACAATATTTTATTTTGTATTCACTTTATTTTTATTACAATTTGTATATCTACGTGACTTTACCGAAAGAACCAAAGAATATGAATTCCTGCAGTCACGAAAGTTTTAAGTCAAAATATGTATGTATGTTGAACTTCTTTCACACCATACAAAGTCCAACCTTGCTAATCGGGGATGTGAGGAAGGACGGTAAACTAAATACTAAAATCTGTTCTAATGAAATTAGTTTTTCAATCTAGATTTAAAAGTGCATAGCTCCAGTGGCTTCCTAATATTGTAAGGACGAGCATTCCAGACCTGTTGCTATTTTTAAGAATTAGCACCAAGGAGACAATGGCAGCAGGCTGCTACCGTAGGTGTTCGCCACAACACCCCCTCGTATGCCATGCCTACTGTAATAGCTGCCTGCTAACATCACTTGCCCCAGCAGTCTGTAGGGTTGTACGAGGATGCTTTCATTTATCTTGTATGCGTGTGCATGCACGTGCTCGTACTTGCGTACACGCGTGTGTTTATGTGTGCGTTTCTGGTCTGGAAGTGGGGCAGCCCCAGCGAGACCCGTCCAGTACCCTCATGCGTCTCTACGAGCTGGAGGCGAAAGCCAAGCTGTGCAGCCTTGAGGGTGAATGCTCTAATCGCACAAGTGTGGCAAGCCCACGGTTAGAGGAGGCCCTGCAGTCCCTGTTCGACTTGCCTGACGTGGAGCCCCATGCTCTGGAAACCGCAGCAGGTAACAATGAGTGTACAACACCAAATGGCATTGCACTGCATGACAACACTCGGTTGCCATTGTATTGTTTTTTTCCCCTGTACTAATTTGTAGGTTGTGTTATGATTCACCTAGCCTTAAACCAGATCACCCAGAATGTGCCTAGTCTTATCAAATCTCAGACGCTAAGCAGGTATGGGTCTGGCTAGTGGTTGGATGGGTGGCCACCATGCATAACAGGTTGTTGTATCTTCTTGGTTCTTTCGGTAAAGTCACGTAGAAGGAAAATAATAAAATAATAAAAATAAAACATTATAAAATAATTCTCACGACGTTTCGGCCACAATGCAAGCAGCCGTCTTCAGGTGGAGAACAGGTCTGTCGAGAAGGCAAAGTCTGAATGACTCTTTAAATCGAGGTTGTTGTATGTTGCTGTGTGATGGGTAGCAGAGCGCAGTACAGCAAAATCCATTGTAGTGTAGTGTTGTAAGGACGGACTTCTGGCACTTCTTTAGGGCACACACTGTTTATTATCTTAATACACAGTCCCTATCACACTAAGGGGTATATGGTCCCCTCACCCGTTACCCTCAGAAGGTACAAGCCTCCGGACCCTGCAGGCTATCTAATCTCCCTGCTCTCCCAGCGTCCTCTGGCTGGACCTAGGGGATCTCTCCCCGACCACTGGTTACTCTGAGCCCTAGCCCTGACAAGGGCTGGAGGGCTTGGTCCAGGGTCCTAGACGTCTTCGGCCGACTTGGGTCTTCGTGTAGCAGAACTCCTCTAGAGCTCTCAGCGCTCTGGCTTTTATACCTGTTCGTGGCCGGGTTGTCCAATCCCCGGCCACCTTGTGGGACCCTCTGATTTGTCCTTCCCAATCTGGGTTTGGATCCTACCTCACCCCATTTGACCCTGACCGTTTGATTGAGCGGGAAACCTTTGTTTACGATCTGCTCTCACAGTTTGCGAACAGCGAGTAGTTAACACCACTACAGTAGTACCATACTCTATATTACATGATGCTGATTGTTATAATGGTGATTGTGATTGTGACTGCAGCACTGCTGATGGACCCACCTGCCCACTACCTGAACCTGAGCAAGAAAGCCCTCCGCTTCGCCTTCTCTATGCACCTCAAACGAACTCCAGTGAACACAGAGACGTGCAGGTGCATGTCGGTCCATTACCTCTATGGTTACTGTGGTACCACAGTGTACTTCTGATATTTCCTTCAATTTGTATTATCCTCACCTATCCAACAAGCTGGTGTCAGCTGATCTTGTGGTTTGGATGATTTTTTTAAATATAAAAGCTTCATAGCTCATTGGATTCTCCAGGATAAATGCTAAGTCTGCATCTTATAGAATAAAAGCTTAAATGTGAAAAATCACGGAGAGGTACATGATTAAATTACACAGATAGAAAGAGGAACACATGGTTCAGAGAACATACACAAGTCAAAGGCGTAATTTTGAGTGTTAGAAAAAGTGGGCTTTGGCAGGAAACATCGTGAGAAGGGATGATTATCTGTGGTTGAAGATAACGAAACCACAATGTATGTATGTATGTTGAACTTCTTTCGCACCATACACGATTTGTAGATATAGGACGGAACGTACTTGAGTTGAAGTCCTCCGTGCAGGTAGAGCAAGTAGATGTGCAGGCTGTCGATGTATTGTTGCATCACAAGGCGACAGTGTGAGATGGTGACTACTTGGGGAGACCCTCGTCTCGGTTGATAATGATGATGATTATGATAATTATATATCGATTTAAAGCTTTCGTGACTGCAGGGATTCATCTTCTTGGTTCTTTCGGTAAAGTCACGTAGAAGGGAAGTAATAAAATAATAAAAAATAATAAAATAATTCTCACGACGTTTCGGCCACAACGCAAGCAGCCGTCCTCAGGTGAAAACCAGGTCGGTCTCGACAGACCTGACGCTGTCGCCTCGACAGACCTAGTTTTCACCTGAGGACGGCTGCTTGCGTTGTAGCCGAAAACGTCGTGAGAGTTATTTTATTATGTTTATTTTTATTATTTTATTACTTCCCTTCTACGTGACTTTATGATAATTATGATAATAAAACATTCCCAATTCATACTGCATGTGTATAGCACTATAAAGTACATTTTATAAATTAATACCAATGTTGTACATGCACCGCAATGTCAAAAATAAATTGATGTGTGAGTCAAAGCGTGACTTCAAATCATGACAATTGAATTGAGAAGAAAATCTATCATTATATGCATGATTATCATCATTACCACTGCCACCACTATCATTGCAGCGTTTAGCCATCATCCAAAGTGCAATGGTCAAGGATGATGATGTTGAATAGGACTTGTCGTGTGTGTGTGTGTATGAACAGCAAGATCCTACACAGCCTCATCCAGGCATCCTTGCCCCGTGGGGTCATGGAGGATGCCGATAGCGATGATGAGGCGTGGGGCTACTTCCAGGACGCCCTCTTTCTGCTGGCCGATAAGGTACCAGCCCTCACCATAGCCTTAACCAACACACCAGCCCGAGCCTTATCCATAAAACCAAGGTGATAGGCCTAACATAATGGTTGAATTAACCAATGCACAAGCCCTAGCCCTAACCATAACCAAAGTGATAGACCTAACCTTAACCAGGTTGATATCCCTAGCCCTGACAACAATTCTAACCCAATATTGTTTTGTTTCGGAACGTGTGTCTGTGTGTATGTGTGAGGAGCACTGGCACTAGATTTCAGGTCATGGCTATCATCATTGGCAATTGCTATCCAAACTGGCATTATGCCTTCGACCTACTCACCCTCAAATGAGTACTGGGCCTTACGCTTGTGCTGGTCATTGCACTATGCCGATCTAACTAGGTCCTTAATTCTAGATTTGAAGCTTTCGTGACTGCAAGGATTCATACTCTTAGTTCTTTCGGTAAAGTCACGTAGGTAAAAAAATGAAATTAAAATTCTGGCTGTGACGGTCCCACCTGATGACGGAGACTTGTGTTGCCTCCGAAACGTCGTGAATTTATTGTTTTATTTTATACATTTTAATTTCATTTTTTTACCTACGTGACTTTACCGAAATAACTAAGAGTATGGATCTAACTAGGTGTTTATTGACAGCACTGGCCCTATCAGTCTATAAGTCTACACGTGGGGGTGGTGGTGGGGGGGGGTTCTGTGTGTGGGCGATCGACAGCAGGACGAGTACCCCGAGCTGCAGGTGCTGTGGCTCTTGACGACGGCGTGGAACCGCGGCGTTGCTGTGCTGACCTACGGGCGCGCCTCGAAGGTGGCGGAGCGCTGGTGCAGCCTGGCCATGCGGCTGCTGACGCACCTCACCTCGCTGAAGTCCAGCTATCAGCAGAAGGTGCCAGAGCTATCGCACGTAGTCATTCACTTACTCTTTGGTTTTTTCGGTAAAGTCACGTAGGTATAAAATGAAATCAATCACGACGTATCGGGCGCAACACAAGCGTCCGTCAGTCAGGTGGGAAAGCATTGTCTGCTGCTGAGGCAGACTGTTTTAAAAGGTTTGAAATGGGTGTAGCCCAAGGGTCATAAAGTCATTCACTTGCTCGCTCACTCGTTCACCTGTTTTATGTGCGTGTGTGGCACTTTTTGTCATCGCACTGCTGGAGGAGGATCACTCCACCGTGGCATTTCGAGAGTAACGTATATAAACGTGTAACGACGATTCAGGATCTTCAATTAAAGCAAGAACTGATTATTTCTGTTCTATCCCATTTGAGTTATTTGATGGTGCTTTTGTTCGGTCATTGGTGACAGAGCAGGGGCACTAAAAGTGCTACGTTTGAGAAGCCGGACTAGAACCCAGGACCTCAACAGTACTGACAGTGTCTGCGACACCGTGTTAAATCCTTGAGACACTCAGTCTCCTCCTACGCCCCCTGTTTATCTTAACATTCCACTTCAAGGGCTGTGGTTTGGCCAGATATTTTCTGCGAGTGCTTGTTGTGCCTATGAAACCTAAATTGTTGACTTTGCCTTTTGCAAATGTCACAAACACACACGCACGTATGTGTCACACATCTGTGCTTCTCGCCTTAATCCCACACTAACCAGCACGCTGAAGTACAGTCAGTGAACTCCTATGACTTGCATGGCATGGGGAGGTCCTCATTCAGCAGTGAAATTGCAAAAGAGCAGTATGTGTACAATCCAAACAGCTCCTGTCTTGTAGCTGCACACCAAGGCTGCATGTCACAGACTCCATTATTGAGGAAAAATATGCAAAATTTTGATTTGAAGCTTTCGTGACTGCAGTGATTCATATTCTTGGTTCTTTCGGTAAAGTCACGTTGAAGGGAAATAATGAAATAATACAAATATCAAACAATAAAAATTCTCACGACGTTTCGACTGCAATCAGGTATGAAATCCACAGCAAGAAAATCTACTTGCTGTTAATTTCACACCTGATGATGATTGCTTGTGTTGCAGTCGAAACGTCGTGAGAATTTTTATTGTTTAATATAAATATTATTTAATTATTTCCCTTCTACGTGACTACCAAAAGAACCAAGAATATGAAAAATATACTTTCAATTGTATTTCAGGCTTTCCACAATAGCACTGTGGTGACGTTACTGATGATTTGTTAAAAGTTACAGTGGTCACAGTGGCATCATTCAGAGTGCTACTTCGGCATTCATGAAACTCACGTTAAAGTCTTTGTTGTCATTAACGAAGCTTTACATTAATTTCGGACAGTCCAAGACACATAGATGAGGGTTCGTCACCTATATTTTCTGGCAGAACGCATCAACATTTTTGCGTCTGCTGGCTGGCTCCGTGACATGTCATGTGTACAGACGTAATGACATCACGATGTCATGTGACATAACGTCTGAACATGCAACTGCATATTTGTACCTCTTATCGCTAGGTTTCTCATCTCTTGTGCATTTCGATTTCATCTCGCTCATCTTTATCTGTTGTCTACAGGCCTCTCATCTCTATCTCTTCGTTTATATTTATTTCATCTTTTGATGGGCCACTCTGAGAGGCTTCACAGGCCACATCTCGCCCATTGGCCATCAAATGAAGAACCCTGGCCTAGGCATATACCCACACGATAACGACTGTTATGTTTTTGGACTGCTAATAGGTAAATCAGAATCTGAATCAGAATATTTATTTATACTAGAGGAATCTGATGAGCTATAAATCTATTTTTCACAGATGTCTATTAGGGGCGGGTAAGAACATTACAACAACAAACAATACAAAAACACGATAGATATGTGCAGAAAACCAATCTCTGTCTCCACATAAAAAATGTAATATATTTAGTCCATCGGCCTATTGGCTTTCCATGAAGGATTTCAGAGAAATGAGCAAGCTCCCAGGCTGATTGCAGCATTTGTTAGCAGAGGAGGTATTTTCTATCACAGTGCCACTATTAGAGTTGACGTTCGGCCAAAAGCCCAGTGGAGTTGACACATCGCTGAGAATCTCGATGAGAGTGCGTGTATGTTTGCGCGTGTCCTGCAGTTGACACCACTGTACACGGACATTCTGGAACGAGTGGAAAAGGCAAAGGAACATGAGGTCAAGGAGGAGTGAAGCGCGGCTCGCACGTAAATGAGTCTGTCACTTGATTTTTCTTTCAGTGAACTTGAATTATAGCCAGGTGATAGTTAATTTGAGATGGAAGTCTATTTCACAAGGGAGACCTGAGAAAGTCATCGTCCACATCATCCACAATCTATCCACCACTAGATGGTCTCCCGAAGTCATTGCCATCTCATATGTCAATTCGAGAATATGTCCAGAATCCGGCTCATGAGCTCTTATTCAGGTAGATATATGCAGTGTAGAATATGACATCAAATACCACAAACATTAAAGAATGTCATTAGTAGAAATATAAGCATACATTGCAAAATGTGCATACACATTTCCCATGACCAAACCACCCTGAATGCCCCCGATCTTGTTACTTATCAGAAGCCAAGCTGGTTCATAATTGCATTGGAGACTGCTTTGGAATACCAGGTGTTGTAGGTTTGAGCTGCGAGGTGGCCAGGACAAAGCAGGCCAGAAAAGGATTTAATCAATCTGTGTGGAGTTTTGAGTATCCTCTGCTACGCATATTTTTTTTCACGATACCTTGATCTTCTCTCACATGCCAAATACAATTGAAAGGAATTTGGCCAAGCATCCCAGTGCAGGATCCTCTTGAAAAGGAGTCTTGAGACTAAGTGAGTAATTCCTGGATACAACATGGAGAGTATGACTTGCTCGACAAACAAAGGGCTTGGATAGTGATACCTCTGTTTACTGTTAAAGTTAAGTGCTATACTCACTACTATAACTCAAAATAGCAACATACCAACACATGGTTCACAAATACCCACTGCATGCGCATGAGCGCCCACACACACTCATCTTAAAGACAAAGATCTCCCTGTGTAGCCTTGTTAACTGCCAAGACAGGAATTTTGCACTAAACACAGTGGGTTTCACATCACACATATGCTCGGCCATCTCTGTTTTCACCAGTTAATAATTCTTGTGTTGAGTCAACCTAGGGGGAACACGTGCAGAATTAAGTACCCCAATTAGCCACTGGTTATTGGTTGTGATGTTTGTTGTGGTCAGGAATTGAATCCTGGTTGCCAGGTTTCTAGTCCAGTGCATTTAAACGTTTAAAAAGTTATATTAAATTGTTCGTTGGGCAGTTTCAGCAGTTGTTAGCATTTTAAAATGATTAATTACAGTGTGTGGGGTTTCACAGCTGTGCCGGTTAGCTCTCCGACGTGTTTTGGGATGTACTATGTGTTCAGGTTTATTTTGTTTAACCCGGTGAGAACACAAGAGATCAGCATGTATGTTGAACTTCTTTCGCACCATACGTAGCGAACCGTGCTAATCAGAGGTGCGGGGGAAGGACAACAAACTAAACACAAAAAGCAGCATAGCCTCACTTCCGAGAGTGACGTGTAGCATCAGTTTGCAAGTATGGGGCAATGATTCTAATGTATAACCTCAATTGAATACACTTTTGAACAACTCAATTCAGTTCCTGAAGATGCCACCGGAACATAGAACAGAACCTCGGATATCATACCAAAGCAACACGCAATACAACCCAAGAGCACAGCGGAGAGATTAATGACAGGTTTAAATGTGTTAATTGTTAAGCATTACATTGCAAACGCATAGCTGGCAAACGTGGTTCTGTTTCATCAGCACCGTGGTCCACACCCAGTCTCCGTTCCCTTGTTGGATTTCAACTATCAGTGAGAGTCATTGAGACTTTGACAACCCGTAACAACTCCCTAATCCAGAAATGGTGGATTACTTTGAAGTGATTAGATGATTACACATATGGTGGGAAATTTTTTCCATGAAAATCTAAATTAGGGTTGTCAAATGTTTCAATAAAGTAATTGTGGGTTATGTAATGAATAAATGTTAAATGTAGGTTATTAGTTTTTTTATGAACACACCAATACATTTTCATTAAGGGTACTCGTTCTCTGTGTCAGGACAGCATATTCCATTGCTACTCGTTCAGTGAGCCATGTTGATAACTGTGCCTTTGCTATTTGTTGTTAGCAGCACTGGAAAGGTTTGAGTTTAATGGTGCAATTTAGTCGAACATTGATAAGCATGGAATATAGGTAGTGCTAATTGAGAATAATTATAATTTTAGAACACTTTAATACAAAGGGCCTGATTTATGTGTTGGCAGAAAGGCCACAAATATTTGGCATCTACCCATTCATAGATGAAAACCGATTCTTGCAGTCATGATCCGTGCATCACATCGTGCGTCAAATAATTAATTATATGCGAATGTGTCATTAGGCTCACAGAACAAACACGACATACTGTACAAATCAGGTAACAGAAGTGAGAAAAAACTGAAATTTGACCCAATCCTGACTCCAAATTGAGGCAATTTGTCAAAGCATCAGGGAAATGGGCGTTGAATCGTTACATCGTCATCAGTCCAGTCATAATAAATCCACTGCTAGTTGAAAGCCTACCCAAGCCGTCACCATCTCTTCTGATCCTGCCAGGTAATAATACACTGAGCACCTGTACACGAGCTGATTTCATTGCTGCGTCTCCTCGATGGACGTCATCAACTGGCGCGTTTTGTTACAAGCCTACTATTTAATGCCGATTTGACCGTTTTTTACCAAACAATCGGTAGTAAATATTATTTATCCGTCAACGTGTAGATGAGGCTGAAGGTTTACCATCCGATGGGGAGACATTAAAATTTGACAGCACTTGTTTGCTGTAACTCCGTTATAAAGATGATGCTGAAAAAAAAAATTATTCGTGGTTTCACCACCTGTTACTGAGGCTCAATAAAATAATTTGACGTTCTATGCTTGGAATTACAGTACTGGACTTTTATTAACATTTCACAATGGTGCACTATTTAACATTCCTGCGGAGGGAGCTGGTAGGAACGTTGGGTTGCTCGGTCAATGGCCAGGGTCAACGATGGCGTGGTGTATTCCGCAAATATGCCCGACTGTGAGGGCGGGCACAAGCCGGCGTGAGTAGGTTAAACGTTGAGTTTTATAAGGGCACCACGGGGTGACCAGCCCCTCCCCATCCAGCCCCACCCCTCCCACCCCCCACCCAGCCCCTCCCCACCCAGCCCCTCCCCACCCTCCCGACCCAGCCCCTCCCTGCACGACGGACGGACACAATAATCTCCTGTGGGCTGGTGTAACCAGGAGGTTCTTTCCAGCCCTTTTGTTTATCAGCTGTTATGCGAGGGCCTCCCCATGCCGTATGTAATGGTGGGGGGTTGTTTGGCGATACATTTCCAAGCTGGTCGGTGCAGATTGGTCAAGGTTGGGGGGATGGCGTATATTCATGACCCGTTATAATACCACTTACCACTGTTGTTATCACACTAGGAAATCAAAATTCAGGCCACTGGTTTCATAACACAGCATGCCAAACACTGTGCAACTGCTTCGAATCAATGAATATATAGCCAAAAAAAACTATGTTGGGAGTGGCAAAAAAAGCACAGTTAAATAATATACCACATTTTTTTAATTAACACGGGCATAACAGACAAAATACATTACTTACATTGGATAATTTCCTTTCTTCATAATCAGTCAATAGACTGAGGGACCCGTTTCTAATTGGATCTAAATCACATTATCGTTACAATGATGAAATTCTATTAAAAAAATATTTGAATATACGTAGGTTTTTAACAATTTGTCTGTAAGTCTAGATGTTGAGAAACACCGAAACACTTTATAGCAGTGTAAAATACACAGGAAAAAAAATCACCCAAGAATGTGTTTTTTACTCCAAAGTGTAATTTCACACTTTTGCAAGACATTTTTGTTAGTCATGTAAAAAAAGGTACAATTGAGCACTTGTTCTGTAAAAACTGCATGGGTAAAGTTGTGCATTTGATCAAGTGCCTGATTTGTGTCTGTGTATGCATTTGTGCGTGTGTCTGCATTTTTGCGGAATAGTATGGCAGTGCGCTCCAAACCCAGTGACCTTAGTTCACTGCCAAGCCACAGCTAACCTCAGTGGTGAATGATATCTGAACCTGGTCCTCCCCTAGGTCGAATTCGTCTAAAATAAATACATGTTGTGGGGTCCATACTCGTTGTTTCTATCGGTGACTTTACCGAAAAAAAATAAGGTTGTTTTAAAGTTTATTTTTCTACCTACGTGACTTTACCGAAAGAACCAAAGAGTATGGATTCCTGCAGTCACGAAAGCTTCAAATCAAGAATGTTGTGGGGTGTGTCAAAAACAACAATGCAGTGTGTAGACAAACGTGGTGTTGGTGCTGGCCCCACCACCTCGTGGGTCATACGAGCCTTAATAGGTGCTTGCTAACAGGACATGCCGCAACATCCTCTATATATTGTATATGGTGTCTTTGCATTTGTGTACATTTGTCCGAGTTTGTGTCTGCACCAATCTGCCTTTGTGCGAGGACCTGCATTTGTGGCTTTGTGTGTACGTGTGTCACTAAAGTTTTCTCATTAATAATTAACATTTTGTCACTAACCATAAAAAAAGTTCCCTTGAGCGAGGTATGCATCAACAAGAGAGATTATTTTAATGGAACCTTCAAGGCTCCCACCTGAACCCACATTGCACACAAGTGCTAAAAAATGTGAGTTCACGTCCGAGCGTTTGCCCTTGTTTTTTTTAGCACCTCTCTTGCAGGTTTGGTGGAGGCAAATATTGTGAATGTTCCTGAAGATTAATCTGAACCCAACTACATACACTGCCAACCCACCTAAGACCTAATCTCATAGAGCAGAGCACAGTTACGCAGGCAGGGTTTGTCTTCCAAAACCACAGCGTCTTCATTTGTTGTGATAGATTAGGGGTCCCGATGGCCAATGCTGGAGATACCCCCCCCACCTCGCTATTTCTTCTGCCAGCTGCTACAACTGCTGCACAATCGACACCTGACCGACCTCCAAGCACCACTTTTAGAGTTTCATCACCATGGCCATCTCTGACTTTAGCTCTTCCCTACTCCTTCGTACACACAGGTGATAATGTCTTGACTTAAAGCTTTCGTGACTGCAGGAATTCATACTCTTTGGGTCTTTCGGTGAAGTCACGTAGATAGTTTCTTTTATATATATATATGTTTTTTTTTCTTCCTGCCTCAGCAGTTCGCCTGCTGTATCTTTTCACCGGAAGACGATTGCTTGTGTTGCGATCGAAACGTTGTGATTTTTAAAATTATTTTATTGTTTTTCTATCGAAAGACCCAAAGAGTAGGTGATATGATCTTCAAGGATCACTTTTACGATCTTTTGTCAGCCTTGGTCGTTGACCTCTGGGTGACACTCCAGTGCCTGTATCGATCCATAACATGCCCTCATCCCTTCTACACGTGTTCCACCCATCACAACCACGTCTTACTGATATAAACTATAATAATTTCCTGCCATATTCTATTGCAAACTTCCAAGTTGCTTACTCTAGCCTGCTAGATGTTAGTCAACTGCATTCACATTGTCTCCCTGCTCAAACAAGTGTAGGGCAGTTGTCACGGCCTGCAGCTGCTCACTGCTTCGCAAAGGCCTCCCCCATTAAGTTATTTCCTTAGTTCTTGTCCAGTAGCGACCTCCAGATCCTTTTGAGTTCATCTCGCGGCCATCTCTTCGGCTGATTTTGCCTTCTCTTCATATTTGCTCTGAGCCATTATGGGAGAGACCAAGCCATCCGTGGCACAACCACTGTTGACTTATCACAGAATGGTCGTCATTTTCACAACCCTCAATGGATGAGAGAGCTGAATGCATCACCGACTGGGATTAGAGCTCATGATTTTGCGATTATGAATTCAGTGCACAGACCACGATCTATGGATATAATTGTGGAGTTGTTGCCACGTAGAAGTATTTATTTTAAAAAGCAGTACAAAATAGCCAACAACTTTGTTACAAAGACACTCGTATATTAGTAACTAACATCAATAACATCATTAAGTCCATAGTATATTAAATGTAATGTTTGATGACTCTATACCGGACTTATCTTTACAGCCTCTTTGCCCACGACTGGATGAGGGGCCTCCCATTGCCCTATTGGTCATGGGAGTTGTTTGAACTTTGCCATGCTGGTCGGCACGGATTGGTGAAGGCAGCTTCCAGGACCGTTATCAGGAATCAAAGGCCACTGATGTTAGCCGTGCCCGTAAACCAAACTCTGCTTGCCAGATTAATAGTGAAGAGCACTTCACCACAAGGGAATCGCTCAAGCCCAATGTTGTCTTACAGATGTCAATATCTGGACATACTCAAAAGGGGTGATTAAAAATTCTGTGAACTCGCAAGCATTTCACACTCCACGCAGTTTATACGTTTCACTTCATACACAAATATATAGCGTATTTAATATCAAATATAAGTAAAAGTTACAAATTAACTAATATTCAGCTCCTCTCCTGTCCTGTAAAACGTAATCATGCACAAAAGTTAAGAGTAGGTGGATTCAGTCGATGGAATGAGTGAATTAAGTTAATAGTTTTGCATTCTGTGGACAGACGATGCTATTAAAACTATCAAAAAGGCGATTGTAAAGTCTTCCAATGAAGCTACCATGGTTGTTCATACTGTAGAAATAAGTGTGGCTGGCTGGAAGGAGGGAGAGGCCCAAAGGACATGCAGCCCGCTCAGGTTTTCAAAATATATCTACGTGGGTTATCAAGTTTTTCCAAAGCTCCCCTCAATTGTCACAATTTGGAGTCATTTCCATGAAACAATCGACTATTTTTCGTCTCATTTTGCTGCTGGGTCGATACTATACGACATGCAGTCGGTGGTGGATATACTCGCAGCCATTGGCACAAAGCACATGTGCTTGTAGCCGTAGTGTGCTTCTATCAGAAGTACCTCTTTACCTCCCCCCACCAGTATCATGTAAGGATGTGTTGTTGCATGTATGAAACATTTACTTATATAAGTTGTGCTTATATAAACCTTATACTGTATTCTTTCTGATTTAAAGCTTTCGTGACTGCAGGGATTCATATTTTTGGTTCTTTTGGTAAAGTCACGTAGAAGGGAAACAATAAAATAATAAAAATATAAAACAAAAAAAATTCTCACGACGTTTCGACTACAACACAAGCAATCGTCATCAGGTGTGAAATCCACAGCAAGAACATTTGAAAAAAAGTGGCGGTTTTTTCTTAACGTTAAAAAAAACGCCACTTTTTTGTGGATTTCACACCGGATGATAATTGCATGTGTTGCAGTCGAAACGTCGTGAATTTTATTTTATATTTTTATTATTTTATTATTTCCCTTCTACGTGACTTTACCGAAAGAACCAAGAATAAGTATTCTTTCTTTTTGTTTCACTTTCGTATTGCCTGCCTCGTTTGTATATTTAGTTGTATTTTCCTAAACACATTTGCATCTAATATGCATACAGCTTTTACAAATCATAACTCATCGATTCTCACGCGCGCGATCCGATGCACACATCGTAAGCGTAGGAATCGACTTAAAATCGACAAATCGTTACATGCCTAGTGCACAGCCACTAACGTTACATTTCCTTCTAAGTGCAAAGAATACGTTTTACGAACGTCGTTTTAGGTGTGCAAGCCCACGTACTCGTTGACCCACGGCAACCTATGGTCATGCTTAAGAGTCGTGGGGGAGACGGAGTCCTATGGGTCGGTGACGCGGCCCATGAAGAGGATGGAATCTGAAGGCACATTCACACTCGGTTAAAATAGATAATTATCACCACAATTACTGTGCACAACTCCCAAAGTCTCCAAATGCCAAGTGGACAGCAACAAATTAGTAACGTTGAAGGTGTAATAGTTTAAAAAAAAAAGGCGTGCGTTGATTAAATTGAGCAAAGTTATTACAAGCAGCTATGCGACATCATCTTCCATGGCAGTTCTCTTACACAGGGTGGTGCAGTGCTCGCTACAAGAGTTGCAAATTACGTCTTTATTTCATTACAATGTCACGTTTACAGCACAATGGGAATACAGTTGGGGAAAATGAATACATATATTAAAAAAGTTAAAGAAAAAAACATTCTAGATTTGAAGCTTTCGTGACTGCAAGGAATCATATTCTTAGGTTTTTTCGGTAAAGTCACGTAGGTAAAAAATTAAAATTAATAAAAGTAAAATAAAAATAAAATAAAAATCACGACGTTTCGGAGGCAACACAAGCTTCCGTCTTCAGGTGGAACCGTCACAGCACGATAGCTTGTGTTGTCTCCGAAACGTCGTGATTTTAATTTAATTTAATTTTACTTTTATTAATTTAAATTTTTACATACGTAACTTTACCGAAAAAACCTAAGAATATAAAAAAACATTGACAGTTCACTAATTTATAAGTGATGGTTCATTGGTTGAGCAGTGATGACTCACCTGTGTGTTTGTGAGTGATGATGAAGAGGAACGGCCGATCGCAGGCGAAGGTGGGAATGAAGGACCGTAACAGGGCGACGACACCTTCATCACGCAAGCACACACGAGACACAGCAACTCAGGAAGGCCTTTAATTGCAATCTTTTTCAACAACAAACGGAGTCATGTCTTGAAATATCCAGTGTTGAACCAGATGTCTGAGCTGGGTCGTGCCTTCAAATCCTGCCCAAGTACTATTGTGATAACCCGATAGGATATTAAGTCGTGGGATGCAACTTTAGCCAACACCTGGGATAGGTGTTGGCTAAAGGCTGACTCATCAGCCTTGCCTGCTTCCCTCCACAGATGATTGTTTTTGAGGGAACAAAGTTAACCACCACTACCACCATTCCTCACCTATTGCCCGGGAGGCGAGCCTACAACAGCCTGGGACCGATTGCCTTCCACAGCTCACTGCCATGGTATACTCCCAGGCCTTAATGGGTTTTTTTTATTTATGAAAGTAAGCCACTCCCTGTTCTATGTTGCCCCGATTAAATAACTGTGCATTCCTTGTAGTGACAGGAGCCTCACGACCAGACACAGATCAGCAGTTAGGAATTTCCATTTTTCTGGAGGCACTCAGAACGTTAAAGTGTTTGTCCCCTGGCTCCACCAACTGGAGTTTGGCCAGGGGAAATTATAGATGTCTGTCGCTTAGGGCCTCATGCTTGGTTACATTTTGTTTGCATTGTTCTCCAGTTATAAACTTTTAATGGGGGAAGTTGCCAGCCACTCGCAACCACCCAGCACCCTCATTAGCCAGTGTCATGGGTGTGAGCTCACCACCATGGTTATCAGCGGACTGAAATTAGCTTTTCCCTCCATGGCATTGCTCCACAACATAGCACAGCGTGATCGTCTGGCACAACGAAGAGGTAATGGTTGTATCACCAGACATTGTGTATAGCATGACTTCACACAAAATATTTTCCATGTAATTTTTTCCCTGCACCTCCAATTAGCACGGTTGGCTACGTACGGTGCGAAAGAAGTTCAACATACATAAAACGACGTTTATGACACTGCACTCTCGTTGCACACGTGTACCTGTGGCCGAGACGGCTCGCGTTCCCTTCTCGTCCACCTCTACGCGCGTCTGCTGCAGCACTGTCGACACGTAGAGCTGCTCCCCGGCTTCACGGAAACAGAAACAGGGCAGTGGGGATGGGGCAGTTATGATGGATACATGTACGCAGAGCCTCGTAAAACGTGCTGATGTGGAAGCACACCCGTGTACTTACGATGGAGATGCGTTACGACGACCCCATCGTAAGTCAAAAATATCGTAAGTCGAAGATGGCCTCGCCTACCCAGGAGTCTTAAAGAACGGTGATCATTTAGCAAAACAGCAATTTACAGTACCGTACTGTATAAACTATATACTGTATGTATTAATTAATTACAATACTGTATTGCACAGTAAAATGTAAAGTAAAAAAAGGATATAGAGTACACTAATACAGGATTATTATGGATAGCCATAACATGTATTCTAGTTGTGGTGCATTAGACCGATAATATAATCCCTAAGTCCAAGCCTTCGTAGCAGCTTTCCCGAGAAAAAAAAAAACACAAATAGGAAATTAATCTCTGGGGTCAATTGCATATCAAATGTAAATCAGTGTCACCTCCGAATAGCACAGTTGGCTAAGAACGGTGTGAAAGAAGTTCAACATACAAAGAAGGAAAATTTTCACTACAGGCGTTTTATACAGTTGGCCACTGATGCTCACAGTTTTCAATACTTTATTGCATTATTTTTTCAAGGCTGTGCCTGGTGTATATTTGTTATTCACAAGGCTCTGCACGTACATTCCTTCAAAGTGGCCCACAGACGGAGGGAGGAGACCCAACATCTAAGGCTGTGGAGGTGTAAAAAGTGGTGTGGGTTGATCCACTGCTGTCCTCTCACCCGTGATGCCCTTGAAGTTGGCTCTTCTCTCGTCAAACATTTCCCTGAGACCCAGGGACTGCAGTGCCGGCTTTAGTTCCAGCTTGCTCTCCACCGTGAACCTGATGCACGCGCACAAACACACACACACAGGTACTATCTGCAGGGCATATGTACACGTATAACCATATTGTCAGTCGATTAGGATGAGGGTCTCCGCACGCTGTGCGCGTTTTGGGGGAGTTGTTTAATTATACTTCACCATGCTGGTCATTGTGGGTTGTGATGGTGAGGAGTATAGACTTGGGAACACAGGAAGTACAGTACAACAATGGTGCTGCACTGATTTCTGTTGAATTCCAGGTAATATGTAAGTAATTGATTTTCTTCAAGAGAATATTTGCTGGCCCACGAATTTTCCAAAAGAAACACCAACATGTTCACAACTAAAAGTAAATACAGAACAAAATTTTAGCTTGTGGTGTTTTGTGTGTGTAGTCATTGGTGATTAAGTTAAGACCATTGATTTGCTTCGCTTGAGGGCCTGGCTTAATCACAGGCAGCTGCCTGGATTCAAAACCCAGGATGCCAGTGGTGTCAGCTCAATTGTCTGACCTCTGCGCCACTCGGCCAGCTTTGGTCAGGTTACAAAGCTACAACAATGCACGGACGATTAATAATTTTTCAAATCAAGAATAAAAATAAGTAATATTTAAAAATACTTTTTTTTTTTAAACACGCTTTAATGAAATGTACCGTACGAGTAATGGCAGAACTCCACGACTCCAGGAAGTGGCCCCGAGGTTTGCCATCACGTAAGGGACTGGGTATCGGGTAGGGTACGGGTATTGGGTACCCGATTGCGACCTCTAGGATGAAGCCATGTTGCAGGCGGGGGTGGATTGATTCTAGGAACTTGAATTGTCAGAAGAGACAAGACGTTGGGAAATGAGTGACAAACGGTGACTCACCAGTGACTCACGGCCTACCCGTACCCGTACCCGGCTGCACCAGGGTCGCAAACGGCTACCCGTACCCGGCCGGGTATCGGGTAGGGTACGGGTATTTGGTACCCGATTGCGACCTCTGGTAGTTATACACGGATGGTTGACTCTATTTTACACACGTCCTCACCTGGGCAACTGCAGGGTAAGGCGGGTTGATCTGCTCTGTCCCTCCCACTCGACAATGGTACGTCCCGTCAGGCTGCCCTCCAGTGCCGCCAGGGCTGAACCATCTTTGTCCGGAGGTGGCAGGGCCACCCACATTGCAGTACGCCCGTCAGCGTAAGGGATCTCCAAAACTTCGTAAAAGTTACCGCCGGGCAATTCGAATTCACCTGTGTATGGGCAAGCAGAGGAGAGAGAGGTCATTGTCCTCATGATGCCGAGCGTCGTAGCCATGATACAGTCGACTCAATTATCTGGTGCGATGGGGCTGGTGGGGCAGCCCAGAGCAAACAAGGAATTGCTTAAATGCCTCAGCAACTTAAAGCACCTTACATCAAGGCCGTAATTGTAATATATATAATATATATTGGGGGGGGGCACATCCCCCCCCCCCCCCATATTCAAATATGCTAAAAATGTCCCTCCCAATATATTGCTATAAAATAGATTTCTGTTTATATGATTGTGGTTATGGTTGTACTTTATTAATCCCCAATCTCTGCCATTACATACAATGAAACAAGAAAAGGTCAAAAAGGTAAAACAGAGCAATGTAATACAATACACTATTAGACATTATTGTAAAAAATACATAAAAAGTCTATCCTATGTGTTAGTGAATTTTTAAATATTTTAGGAAGGAAATTAGTTTTAAAATTTTGATTTTTTATCTGGGGGGGGGGGACCCCCAGACCCCCTGGAAGATTTGGTCCCCCCCAATGTTGACTGCATGGCTACGGCCTTGCTTTACATCACATCTCATTTCAACAATTCCGATTCCCTACTAGAGTCTAGCTAAGGGGACTACAGGGGCAGCTCTCCCTGTGCAGCACAAGGTGCACGTAGCAGCAGCCTGGTAATGGGCGTCTGTTTTTATTGCCTCTTTAAAGTTAGTGTCTGTGGCCATGTGGGCACTGAATCACTGGCCCTTGGTGAGTGAGGAGCCGCTAATTACATCATTGCACGCGTAAAAGGCGTGACTGAGAACGGTTCATCCACAACACGGATAACCCGCCCACAGATAATCTTGTGTTAACTGTAATCATCATCATCACCTGACAACTGTCAGCAGATGCACATGAGAATCAGCATTTGCGAAAATCAAGAGGGTGACATGACGCTTTCAATTGATCCATATAAGTTAGACCGTACACAAACTCATTGTTATTATAATATTATCAGGCAGCATTTGATTAATCAAGCAAATTGTGGACCAGTTTTTAAACCTTTGCGTCTCATCAAGTCAGCCTTGTTAAACAATTTCTGCTGGATTACCAGATGTTATTGGCACGGGCAATGCATAAAAACGATGGCACCTCGTCAAACGCAAAAAAAGCAATACCGAACGCAAACTACTTATTACCACGTAGCCAAACGCACAAACACATCAGGATCAAATTAATGATGGTTTGGCATGGAGTATTATTAATGAACGCATATATAGGAAAAACGGCGTGCCACTGTTTACAACGAATAAACTCTTTTATTTTACCAGGCAAGACCCACTGAGCTATGCACTTATTTCAGAAGCGACCTGGCCACATGATAGCTCAACGAAGTGGCTTATCACATGGGAATTGAACGCAGCCAAATACTCTGAACGCACGTTGATTCTAAATGTGGAGGAAAAAACCGGAGGACCCAGACAAAAAATCCATGCAAACTGCAAATATACAGACATCGGTGTCAGAATCGAACCCACGACCTTTATACCAAGCGAGGTTGTTAAAATCTCGCCATCGCTTCCCTCTCACCGTATCTGTAGACGCCCGTGCGTTGCATCGCCGGTACCATCTTCACGGGCCGCCCCGGTGAGGTGAAGGGTCGCGGGTTGGTGTGCGCGGGGTCAAAGGGCGACAGCCAGACGGCGCGTAGAACCACAGCGCTCACCAGCACGAGGCGAGTGAGCCCCGGGGGCAGCTGATCCGGGGAGAGGAAATCCTTCACGGCACCTGCCCTCGGTACACCGGCAAAATGATGATTACCATGACACCAACATCATCTGCACCGCATTCGCATTGAAGAATCAATGTGCGTTTGGAGTATTTGGCTGCTCTAAATGTCCACGTGATACGCCACTTTGTTGGGCTATTGTTGATGGCCAGCTATGTGGCTCAGTGAGCCTAAACCTGGTAAAAAAAATGTTTGTTTCGTTGGAGTACATGGGCGCCTACAACAAACTCAGCACATTTGTCAACTTTGTGGCCTTCAAAAATGTATAATAGGCGATGTTTTAATAGGCGATGTTTTGTACAATGGTCCTTCTTCGAGAGCACGTAGAGAGAGAGGGAGGGCCAGAGGTAGAGTGAATGTGTTGAGTTTTTTCCCCCATTATTTGTGCATGTGCACCACTGCCAACGCAGAAGCAGCAGCATCACTACGTCATGCGCAACTACTGTAGCACATGGATTGTGCGTTCCAAAGTTGGTTCGCGATTATAATCAGTGGTTTTGGTGGTATTTTTTTAAACTTTTTTTATTGAGATGTCGATTTTTATCACATTAATAGCCATATAAATAACAATGTAAATGAATTAAGTTTGGTCTTCATAGGAAAAAAATTGGCGTTTTTTAACAAAAAGGATATACCAGGGCACCCTGCCTGAATTATCCAGATATTTCCAGGATGTACTGTATCCCCGTGGGCAACACTTTCACAAGGATTCTAGATTTGAAGCTTTCGTGACTGCAAGGATTCATACTCTTTGGTTTTTCGGTAAAGTCACGTAGGTAAAAAATAAAATCAATGAAAACAACTAAATTAAATCACGACGTTTCGGGCGCAACACAAGCGTCCATTTCATTACAGTCAAAACGATATTTTAAGCTGGCAGACTTAGAATTATGGCAAATTAAGTGCAGAACCAAATTTAATCGAATGATTTTGTTGTGCAGTCATTGATAACCGGGTCAAGATTAATCAGCTGACGACACTTGAGAAGCCGGTGTAATTACAGAGAGCAAACTTTATCTCTTAAGCGGCCAAAAATACAAATATCATCCGTGTTAACTACACAGGCTGTTGGGGCAAGTGCTGTTAGTTAGCACCTATAAAAGCCAACAAAGCGGTGGTGTGTCCAGGACCAGGTTAAGGTATTCATCAGCGATGTTGGCCACGAGAATGGAACTCCGGTCGCTGGGTTCGTAGTGCGGTGGCGCTAACCACAGCTGCTCACACCACCACCACCACACGTCCCGCCGCTCACCGTGCGTGTGGTTGAGCACCCACGCGTTGACCTGTCTGGCTGCGGCCTCGCCCCCGTCCGAGCGCAGCGGGCGAGTCTCCGTGCCAAATACGGCCGCCGAGCGCTGAGCGAATGCGCGCAGCCCCTTCCTGCTGCCAGCGCCGCCCCCTCGGACCGCGCCGCCCGGCCGGACCGCGCCGCTCCCTCGGCCCGCGCTGACTTCTTGGGCCACACCGCCCCCGTGTATGAAGAGTGCCAAGGCTCGGGTGAGGAGGGGGGAGCGAAGGGAGCTTGGCAGCCGCGTGGCCCGGAGACCTGGGTTGTGCGAGAGTTTTTTTGGGACATGGTCAGGGCTGAGGTGACTTTGTGTTGATTTGCCGAGTATTTGTCTTCTTGTGTCCGTGTGTGTATGTGTGTGTGGTGTGTATCTGTGTAGTTCATGTGTACGAGTGTGGCTCTGTGCTTGTAAATTGCCCAGCGTCGTTTTCCGAGTCTCAGCCGCAGCAGCAGCAGGGTCTTGTCTCGTTTAAACAAACGCCACCAAATTAATTGCCTGGCATTACAGGGATTCCAGCACCAACAGCAGCCAACAAGCATCGCTTACCCTTCGCGCTCGTCCCGATGACCTTCTCCATCTCTCGCCGCGTGTTGCCCCTGGCTCCCAGCTGCAGGCTGCCCAGCAGCGGCTCCAGGCCCATGGGGCACATCGCCACGTTGCCCCGCATGGCCGTGCCACCCACCGCGCGGTACAGGTCGACGGAAAATTGCGTCGATTTGGCGGTGGAGACTTTTCTCCGTGGGGTCTTTTGAGCGTCGGATGGCACGATCAGCAGCAGCAGCATCAGCAGGACCATCGGCAATGGCAGCCGAGACGATGTGGTGGACAGAGAGGGCATGGTGGCTGAGGGTGTGTATGTATATGTGTGAGCTGACCTTATTGAGAAAGTTGACCTATTAGGTGCTCGCTAACAGCACTTAAGACTGCCCGAGGGCTCAACGGGGGGAGCTTGAAGCTTGTTTAATGCCTCTTGTGTGTAAACCGCACGCCAGTTATATTTGCAGAGAATGTCCAATGTGGACTTTGATGTAACCTTTGTGTGTATTGTATAATAATTGTGTGTGTGTGTGTAATGTGATCGTGTAATTTGTAGATACGTAGTTTATGTTTGGCCTTTATGCAAGTATATATACTGTAGTTTGGTGGTGTGTGAATTGTATACTGAACCAAATATGTTAAACTTACGTGCAATGTGTGTGTACGTTATATGAAATGTGTGTGATTATGTATATAATGGGTGCACGTGTGGTAACTATGTAATGCAGCACAGGGTATTAAGTTATCTGCTCGTCTTTCTTGTATCTGCAAAGTAGCTTGATTAATTATGGAGTTATATGCGTGTGTTTTCTGGATGAGTAACTTTACAGATTGAGCTATCGATCTGCAACGTGTAATATTTACTTAGAATGACGTCCGTTTTACTTAGTGTGTTTAAATATTGTGCCTAGCAGGTTTTATGTTTGTGTCGTCGGTATTTTCCCCAGAACTGCGCGCGTGTGTGTGATGTGTCTACAGAGCATCCATCGCGAATCTGCAACACAAAATACGGAGATTTTTTCAATGATCAATGCTATAATCGAACATTAATTCTGTACATCGTAACACTGGGGCGCTGATGGTGGTGGCTGTGCACGCCTTTAATTAAGCACGGTGAGACGAGGCTTTAAAGCCCCCCCTCCCTCCCAATCTGTATTTAGTGTAACCGGGTGGGAACTCAAGAGACGCTACGTCTCTTTTGCAAAAGTGACCTGCGGCATTATTCTACGTTCTGCTCCAAATTAAAATTATTTGCGGATATTTTTTAGAATTTTGACCATTGCATCAACCACCACAATACTATTACTTTGACTCCAACACCACCACCATCATCATCATCAATACACATATACACTGCCCACCAACATCCTTGACAGGAATCTTTAACATCCTTGCTGAAGCAAACGCCGCGTGGTATTACCATAAATGACAACCCGCAGCAGCAATAATAACCAGGGCGGGCATTGGATTCGAACCGCGAACACCCCCAACGAATGCGCTGCCTAGTGCTTAGACCGCGTGCTGCTGCTACATTATCGATCACACTGAACAATCACCATCATCCATCCCACACCGCAGCAGCAATAATAACCAGGGCGGGCGCTGGATTCGAACCGCGAACACCCCCAACGAATGCGCTGCCTAGTGCTTAGACCGCGTGCTGCTGCTACATTATCGATCACACTGAACAATCACCATCATCCATCCCACACCGCAGCAGCAATAATAACCAGGGCGGGCGCTGGATTCGAACCGTGAACATCCGCAACGAATGCGCTGCCTAGCGCTTAGACCGCGTGCTGCTGCTACATTATCGATCACACTGAACAATCACCATCAACCATCCCACACCGCAGCAGCAATAATAACCAGGGAGGGCGCTGGATTCGAACCGTGAACATCCCCAACAAATGCGCTGCCGAGTGCTTAGACTGCGTGCTGCTGCTACATTAGCGATCACACTGAACAACCACCATCAACCACCCCACGCGGCTTCACTCACTTGTTCAAAGGGAGAAGGGGAGAGACAGAGAGAGACAGCAACTTTGCTTGTACCTCGTTCACGACGCTCCTCCGCACGTTGAACCGTGAGGGTGGCCTTGGTGGTTGGTGCTGCTTTGTTTGATCCCAAAGGTTCAAGATCACCTCCCGACTCAGCTCGAACTTTGCTAACCAGAAGCAGGCTGCCACGACGTCAACTCTAGACGCACGATTTTGTGTTGTTTAAAAAAAAAACGACGTCAACGTTTTAACAGTTAACAAAGACGCGCCGATGATTTATACAAACAAACCGAACGATGAGAGGTCATCCGCGCGTGGCGTGGCCACAACAACCAACGGGTGATGCTGCTGCGCACGTGTTTGGGTTGCGCTGGGCAAGACGCAGCAGCAGCAGATTAAAGGGCTCGAGAGAGAGAGAGACACGATGTGTCGGTGGGAGACGTCGCGATCACCGGCGAGGAGCGAGTCGTTCTCTGCTCCCTTTTATAGCAGCGAGGGGTGGGGGGGCTGGCTGTGCTGTGCGGGTTGATGATGATGCGTCAGTGTTGGTGGATTGTAGCGAGTGGTGGATTGTAGCGAGTGGACGTTGTTGGGGTTGTTGGTAAGGCGACTCGCCAAGTTTCCAGAGGAAACACGGACACACACACGGACACACACACACTAACACACACACACTAACTAACACACACACGGGCACACACACACTGACACACTAACACACACACTTGACACACTAACACACACTGACACACTAACACACACACACGGACACACACACTAACACACACTAACACACACACGGACACACACACTAACACACACACACGGACACACACACAAACACACGGACACACACTAACACGGACCTCGCCCTCTCTAACAAACGCTCTCCCAACCACGACCCGGATCAACAGCAAAAAAACCTCGTTAGTTCAGACGTCTGTGTGTGTGTCGTGATGTGTCTGCATGTTGTGTTGTGTGTGTTGTGTGGTGTGTGTTGTGGTGTGGTGTATGTGCATGTTGTGTTGTGTGTGTTGTGTGGTGTGTGCGTCGTGATGGTGTGTGTGCATGTTGTGGTGTGTGTGTCGTGATGTGTGTGCGTGTTGTGGTGTGTGTGCATGTTGTGGTGTGTGCGTGTTGTGGTGTGTGTTGTGGTGTGTGCGTGTTGTGGTGCGTGTTGTGGTGTGTGCGTGTTGTGGTGTGTGCGTGTTGTGGTGTGTGCGTGTTGTGGTGTGTTGTGTGTGTCGTGATGTGTGTGCATGTTGTGGTGTGTGTTGTGCAGTGGCGGCTCGTCAATAGAGGGCGCAGGGGCGCCGCCCCCATCAATATTCAAGAAATATACATATGCAAAATGTATATAAAAATACATAAATAAAATATTTTTTTCATACGATGTGCCGGCTGGTAGTAAGAAAAGCATCAGCATTTAATAAAAACTGGCTCACCGCACTCGCCCTACAGTCTGTTACAGGCTGTACGGGGGACCTTTGTTTCTGTACTCGAATGAGTGTGACATTCCTTCTGTGTGTGTACGGATGTGGGTGGTGTGGGTGTGGGTGTTGTGGGTTTTTCGTGTGTGTGTATGTGTGTGTGCACATGTGTGTACGGGTGTGTGTAACGGGTGTGTGTATGTGTACGGAGGTGTGTGTGTTGCGGGTGTGTGTGCACGTGTGTGTTGCGTGTGTATGTACGTGTGTGTACGTGTGTGTGTCTTACGTGTGTGTACGGGTGTGTGCGTGTACGTGTGTGTGTGTACACGTGTGTGTTGCGTGTGTGTGTGTATGGGCGTGGTGCTTGCCACCCACCCCCTCGTGTACCGTTCTGGCCTTCATAGGTGCTCGCTAACAGCACTTGCCCCTACAGTCTGTTAAGGCTATACGGGGGATCTTTGTACGTGTGTGTGTGTTACATGTGTGTAGGTGTGTACGTGTACGTGTATGTGTTACGTGTGTGTGTGTAGGTGTGTGTGTGTGTTACGTGTGTGTGTGTAGAGGTGTGTGTGTAGGTCTGTGTGTGTGTTACATGTGTGTGTGTGTTACGTGTGTGTGTGTATTCGCTCGTGAACAACACTTACCCCAGCAGGCTGCGTAGGCTACACGGCTGGTGGCTGTCTCTGTACAGAGATGATCATCAATTCTCGGGGGGGAGAGGGCGGGCCGGATTTTAAAAACGCCCGATAATCACTAAATCACAATTTAAAATAGTTTATTTTTGCATTACATGTTTATTTAGGTGTTGCGTGTGTGTGTGTGTTTTGTTCGCGTTTCAAAATAAATATCCAAACGTAAAACAAAGAGTAACCCAATTCGCTGTACCGTTACTTGGCACACCAAGGTTGAAGACTGCACGGGGTGATAATGGACGTAGTTACGACTACGCTCTTGGTTCAACAACAGCAAAAACAACAACAAAAATAACCCGTAAGAACAAAGTTTTTCATTATAAATCCTTTATATGCGTGGCGGCTAGAGTCCTCTCGTCCTCTGGCTTGAGATGGCTGCCACCTATGGGTCAGATGATTGCCTGCCACCATTAAGCAATTGGTAATTAAATATAAAAAAAATCCTAAAAAGTGTAAAGTTATGGAAAACATTTTTCACGAAAATACATTGTCACGCACAACGAGTCTGTGTGCAAAATGTCAGCTCGATTTGATCACGGGAAGTGGGTTAAAAAACGACCGAAAGATTTGCACGATCGTATGCACGCAAGCAAGCACGCAAGCAAGCACGCAAGTGAACTTAATATAAAGGATTTAACAACAACAACAACTTGTGTTTGACAATCGCCGGACTGATGCAGCCGATAGAGGCTGTGCTCCGGCGAACGCCGAATTAGAACAAATCACTTTTCTCCGGATCGCAATGGCAATATATTATTAAAAAAAATGTTTTATTACTGTAGACATTAGTCATTAAAAGTGTACGTATATATATGCGTGCGGTATTGTCATTAAGTTGTGTGTAGTGTATAATGTACCCTGAAATCAACCGTAGCTCCGACTCTTTTTTCGTGTTGAGTTACCCCACGTGGTTAAATTTCGATTCAAAGCTTTCGTGACTGCAGGGATTCATCTTCTTGGTTCTTTCGGTAAAGTCACGTAGAAGGGAAATAATAAAATAATACAAATAAAACATAATAAAATTAAATTATCACGACGTTTCGGCCACAACGCAAGCAGCCGCCCTCAGGTGAAGAACAGGGCTGTCGTAAAGACAGCTGTCTTTTCATTATTTTATTATTTCCATTCTACGTGACTTTACCGAAAGAAGCAAGAAGATGATTACCCCACGTGCTGCCGATCGCCGGACTGGCTAACAGATTTTTGGAGAGATTTTGGAGAGATTTTGCCAATTTAGCCGGATCGGCCCAGGACCGACGGCTAATGTTGGAAGCAGCAGCAGGCGGATAATTAATCGACGATTCAGTTTTCAGTTTTATTTATTTGGTATTGCCCCGTGAGCCATTCGGCTCTTGAATCGGTTGCAACCGCAACAAACAAACAAACAAAAACATGAACAAGAAAACATATTAAAGTGAATGTGATTATGTGCAAACAGAAAATCCAAGAAAAGACAGCAAAATATTGCAGAAAAAGCACCGTACACCAACGCTGTGTGCAAAAATCCCAGTGGGATGCAAGTCAAACAACAACAACAACCACAAGACAACTTAGATTAAGGCCATCAGTCTAACTCCGTACTCCAACAAACAAACATGGCCAAACCAAAAAAACTTTTCGAAATCACCAAAATAAAGCCATAAAAGCAATGTAACAGTGTTCATAGGAACTGTGATCGAATTTTCACAATTAACGACATAAACAACATGTACTATCAAAACCCTGTAGCCATAGCTGGCTGCATGAGTCACTCCACAACAGCAGGAGCATCAGTCGGAGTGAGCGATCAAACGAGACGGTCAATTGCGCGTCTGCACGCGTGCCAGAGAGAGGCAGAGCGCAGTGATTAAGCGCACTGCGCTACTAACTCGGACACGACAACTTAGATTATGCCCATATATTCACACAGAAACCTATTGGCGAATGCCCTTTTGAGCTCGTTCTGTTTTGCCCCCAACTCAGTGCCGGATTATCGTCGTAGCAAAAGTAGCTACGTATGATGCTACGGGCCCCGCACTTTCAAGCTATCAATTTACCGAAAGAACCAAGAAGATGAATCCCTGCAGTCACGAAAGCTTTAAATCAAAATTCAGACTAGGGCCACTCCTTAAACAAAATATCACCGCTCCATCTCCTCGTAAATCTATCAATTCCGGTTCAGTGATTCTGCACTTGCTCTATTACTGTAGTACTATACTGCCTTCAACTTTTACGAACGACCGGGTGTTTAATGTTAGCTTTTTTCGTATTATCTGGCTGTATAGCAAATGAAAAAATACAATTACTTTACTATGCAAGTTAAACATTTGTGGGTTTTTATTTATTTAGAGCCCCTTTATAACATATGCTACAGGCCTCGCACTAACTTAGTCCGGCACTGCCCCAACTCAACTTTATCCGCACCTCGCCACGACGCAGCTGGGCGTGACAACTCTTTGCGATGTGCAAACGTTCCCCCAGCAGATGGCGTTCATCCACAGAGGACTGACTTTAGCAACGCAGCCGGTATTTCAAAGCAGTGTAGCACACCCAACCACGAATGAGCTCATACAACGAGCATTCAAAGCCCCAGGGGTAAGGTCGCTTATTATGCTCTGCTGCACGGTAGTTTAGAACGCTCTCCCCTCCTTCCCTTTCGACTCTTTTGCCCGGCGGACAAGTCCGTGCACGAGGATTTTAATTTTGTCCCCCGCCCCCCTCTTCTGCCTTTTCATTGACTGTCTCTTTCTTCAAAACAATTGCACCCATTGTGTCTCTCTGTACAGCGTCTTCAGTGGAGATGCGCTCGTATATTTAAAAGTGTTCGTAATTTCCCCCCCTCCCCCCCATTGTTATTCAACATTTGTCTTTCGATCGTTGGTTGGGACACAATGTCAAAATGAAGAATCCTTTCAGATCTCTCTCGACAACGGCTCGCGGAAGGGGATAGCAGAGCCCCTCTGAGTTATCCTCCAGTGACCTCTGGTCCACTCTAAATTTCTGGGATTTGTCGTATGGCAGTAAAAAAAAAACCTGATATTTGATTTCTCAGAGCTGGAATGTATCCAAATTTAAGTGCAGATCCAAATTTCCAATGTGGTGGAATCTTGTGAGAATATGCTGACAGACAATCAACATTTGACATTTGAAAAATCCACTTCTAACACAGGCGAATGAAACCTGGATTCGAACGTGGACCTCCGCGATGTCAAGATCGGCGCTTAAACATTTGAGTTACCGGGCCACCTCTGATGCAGTTACATTTAGACGCTATATAAATCCACGTGAATGTACCGACTCAAATCGATGCCCATATATTCACACAGAAACCAATGACTGCCTCTGTAAAATTCCTATTGCCTCTGTTTCTGTAAGTAAAAATATTGAGACGCTATCTATTTAGCCACCGTATAAATCCGCATCGTATTGTTTTGTAAATTGTATTATAGTGCGTAGGTGTTTACGGTATGTGACAACTTTCCAGACAGTGGATTTGACTCATTTCCTTGACACGGAGCTGGTCACATTCAGTCTGAGTCTGAAGACTCAATGTCACAGTGGCCTTGTGGCTCAGACGTCAGGACGCTGAGCTTGGCAACATAGAATTCAAGTTCCGAATCCGAGTTTCTGCCACCTGTGATTAAACCGGGTTCCCAAGTGCAGTGAGGTGAATGGTCTTAGCTCGGTCACCAATTATCAAAGCAACAACAATAACAAAACCACATTACGTTAAATTAATTAGGTTCCTCACTTAGTTGACACAATTTCCGAATATTTTGACCGCCATGCGACGAACTACGTAGCAGGGCAGGTGAGAAAGTGCCGGCTCCCACTGTGTAGAACCTCAAGTCAATTGAAGTGATCTCAGTTCTGTAATATCCACTGGCCATGCTATTACACGAAGGGTTTGACTATTCTCGGAGAGTTTCATCTCATCACGTGGCACTCCTAGCACAATCAGGATAAAATTGGGAGAAATATGTTTTTTTTTGTTTTTATTGTATTTCACTAAGAGCCCGGTACAGAGCACAAGCCGTGACGCAGGGACGGTGGGGATACAGCATCGGTCCCGGACTCTGGCTCCTGGGTTGAGAGCAGAGAGGGGATTGGGTTCACTGCCCCACTAAAGTTGGGACCGCGAGCGGGTTATACAGAATACAGAAGTACAGCCGCGTATACTCAAATCTCGCGGTTGGCAAGGGATTATTGTAATGTACTTCTACGTGGCGATGGGAAGATAAGGGAGGAAGAGTTTAAGAAGGTACAGGGAGTGGGGAGGAGGGGCGGGGGGAGAATTTTTTTTTAATGTCACACAAGTGATGTGACATTTCTCACAGTAAGTGCCCCCAGTAGAAATGTCCTCATCGTACTACGTGACCGCCAGTAGCAGTGCAACATTATCGGGCTCACGTAGCAAGATGAGTGAAATGATAAAGCAAAGATGAAAAAGCAAAGCTACGTTTTGCACTGAACAAATAAGAAAAATCCTGCAAATGATTGGAGATTGTAACGTTTTCCCACGTGCGTTTAGCGTAGGAAGCATTGAATTTGCAATAATGTTTAAAGCTGCACAATATAACCATGTCATCGTAACCTTGTTATGGCAAACAATGACGATCACTACATCCAACAAGGCACATTCCTTTAGTGCTGGTTTGTATTGTCATGTTTTGGATAACTTTTGTTAATTTGGCTGGTTGTTTCAAGGCTAAGTGCCGAGTAACAACACAACTATCAACTAAAAATAATATTGGATCATCTTCACGAGGGTTATCGTACCCCTCGTTACAGACAATAATAGAGCTAATACATGAATGCATTCAACCTCAGTTGGAAGAAAACGATGTTAAACGTTTGAACTTCTCTGCCCGCGTGACATGTTGCCGTGTGTGTGTGTAAGCAGTCGATATCGCTTACTGACACAGTTTAGGACCGGGCCGACTTCATTTCTTTCGCACAAAGACCAGTTTTTTTTGTCTTTCCACAGTCTCATCATTTTACATCCATGCA